AAAAAAAAAACAGTGATAAAAAGTTCTTGTTGTTGATAAAAAGTTTTTGTTGTCACTTTATACTTGATAAACTACCCTTCAAATAATCAATCAATGTTTTTATTACTTTACTTTATTGCCATAAGACAGGAACAAGCATCTTAGAATAATAGCCCAACAGACATACTGTTACTGCCAAACAACATTTATATCAATACATTAAATGTGTATTTTGTAGATGCACACTAGCTCATCTGTTATGTAAAGGTCAGCAATTGCCCAGATGCAAGAAAGTCTGGGAAATTTCAATACTGGTATGCAGAACTGTTTTTTATCTTTTCATTTTGTTTTATATACTCAAATTAATAATTTTACTTTCTTTTATAATAAATGCCCTTTTCCCACCTACACTCCTATCTAAAATCAATTGTTCATGAGCATGTAGCATTTAATCCTTCTGCAATAAATTATTTCCCCCTTCAATATAAAACACCAAAAGATGCATTTCATTTAAAATCTATCTTTGTACTAATCTACATAAAAGAACCTTATTACATTTTAATAAAATAATTGCAAGCATTTCACCGATAATAATTCATCAGTTGAGAAAAATCACTTGCAAAAAGTATAATAATTTGGATTTAAGCATGTACTTATATCCTACTTATAACAACTAAATGTTGTCACAGTTAGTGTACACACATCAAGAGTTAAGTTATTCATTATGAATGGATTCTTCTACAGTGCATTATCAGTTCACTTTACATATTTAAAATGATTTCTATAGAATAAACTGAAATGTAAAATATTAGATATATGGCAAAATCAAGCACAATCTAAACAGACCTACTTGAAGGTGATATGTGCCAAATTATTGTTCTTAAGTTCTTAAGTAGTGGGTCCATGAAAATCACATCTAATGTGCATAAAGGCAGACTAAACACTTGTGACAGATATATTAAAAAAGTCCTGGCTCTGTAGTATTCTTTTTTTTTCTACATCAGGAGCGGATCAAGAGATATTTTCTGACAGTATTCCAAATTATCTTTGTTGATCCATCCTCCATTTTTGATGGTCTTCCAACAGAAAAAAAATAGATACCTGTCAATGTAAACTTTAAAATCTGACCGTCTTCCAGAAGACCCAGAAGACGGTCTCAATCCGCCTCTGTATATATTACAGATCTAGTCAATTTTAACTGTACAGCATTTTTTGGCTCTCCAACCAAGTCAAGTGAAGACCTTGACTTAATATGAATACATAAATAACTACCAGCATACAGTATGAACAGGGCCTGAAGATAACCATCACATTCCTACTAAGCGGTGTACCCTATGATCAGCCTCTAAATTATCAAAATTAAGACAGCATATCCTTAATAGGCTAAGGTTGTGTCAGTGCTCTTGTACCAGTGAACGAGGATAATGTTAATGATAAACATAACATTTGCTGAGGTATTACTGAAGTTTGTGTGTGAGCACTCTTAAATGATGGCATATTGGCTGAATAATATTAATGGGAACATAGAAAGGGAATGGCAGTAGGTATCTGTGTAATATTTTTATCTTATTAAAAGAAGCACCGTAATGGTCTTAACCTCTGTGTTGGCATTTTCTTATACCCTCTCCTGAAAGAAGGTGTACATAAATTATATAATTATATACCTTTGGTGGTGAATAGATCTCCAGCATAAATCCACCAGCAGTTTTAACTAATGCAAGTCTACACTTCTCCCATTTGGTTTTGCCATTACTACCTTCTTCATCAATAAGTCTGTTTACCAGTCCATCACGTTTAATTTCCTCAATTCCTGATTGAACCAACTTTTGTTTTTCTTTCTCCCCACTACCACCAGCTTTACTGAGAAAATTTCTCAGTCGTTTTCCTGGGGTCTGGTGCGTGGAAGCTGGAGACAATTCAACTTCATCAGACCTCTGTTTGATGAGCACCTTTTTGTGGCTATTTTTCCTAAATCCCTTAAATGACAGTCTTCTGAAAAATGACCTATTTGATTTAGGCGAAGGAGATGTATTATCGTCCGTATAATCATCATGATCTAGTGAGTGATTCTGCACAAGGGGTTCTCTGATGTTATCAGGGGAATGGTTTCCCCTGTCTAAAGCAGTTCTGTCCCCACTACCGTCTCTGTTATGAGCACGAGTACCTGGCGACACCTCTACAGAGCGTCGTACGTTTGTCTCCAGCTCAAAATGTTCGAGAAAATGCTCCACGAAACGTTTGGCAAATCTCTCCGGTTGATTATTATGGGACGGGTTGTCTGTGATGTATAGGCGGAAGTTCCTAACGAAATCAACTGCAGCCTTTGCTGCCTCTTGTTCGCAGAATTGCGTCCAACCTAAGGCCCCATCACAGGGTCCGTTTACAGCTTCTGCCATTACGCACTTGGTAAAAGCCTTGTCGCACTAGGAATTCATCCAGTGAGACCGGCTTCCCGACTCTTGACTACGATTGTCTCACGGCCGACATGTCAAAAACAACATGCGCACGAGGCGTCTGCGCAAATGGGTACCCGGATACGGAAGAAGAAAAAATAATTATGTCATTGCCAAAGTGGCTTGGAGTTTTCAATGCGATCAAGGAGTTACAACTGTTGTAACTCCTTGATGCGATATAATAAGTACGTCAGCGTGTATTGTTACTTTTATTTAACCCTTATTTCCAGTAATGGTAGCGGTCTGAGCTGTGACGAGGTAAAGCGTTCTTCAGACAGAGTATTCACATAGGCCTACCAGTAGCTAGCTACAACATAAAATAATAAACTCTGCTTTTGGAATAGAAATATTTGTCCAAAAAGAAGATTTTTCTTAAAAAGACTGAAAAATATAACGGGATGCGAAGCCAGTATTTTTGCTTTAAAAATCAGCGTAATAAAAATATAAAGATGTGCATGCAGTAGCTGATCCAGGGAATGGCAAGTCTTCCGCCATTATGAATCCTCTACCACCCCCTCCCTCGCACACAAAAATAGATTATAACGAGGCAAAGCTAAACAAATTTTCTATCCCTGTATCCTGCATATTAAAGTTAGGCTAGAATTCATCGGTAGCTATCCGAGTTTTAAAATGTTCTGCAAGCATATACATTATTATTTTTTGTATCTTACCTTTACAGTCGTAGGCCTATATAAAATTACTAATCTTTTCCAAAAAAAAAAGATAAATAAAATATATATCGAACTAATTTACCTGCATGATGTCGATGTTTCCGTCTTAAATGTTCAAGAAGATGACCATTATAGACACTAATTTAGAACTAATTATTAACTAGAAATTATATAAAGCATCCATCCAAGTGCAAGGACGGTCGTGCAATGATTTGAGGGTGTAAAAAAATTCCTTTATTTCAAGAAAATTCGATTTGGCAGGAAAGTTCATCCTGTATAAGCTTTAAAGTGATCTTTCCCGTGCCTCTATTTTAGAAACGTTGGCCTATATATGCCGAACGCGGTGAGGCCATTTTTGTACCCTCTTTTTCCCAAAGACTAACGGAAGCGCTCAAGGTAGTAGCATTTATTTATTAACGTGACGTGATATAGATATACAAATCACCCGGCCTCATTGGCCTACAATTAGTTCACTGAACTTTGTACATATATCAGAAAAAAACAATGCCTAATAGGTTGAAAATTATTACTAAACAAAGAATAACGGAAGCGATCAAGGTAGGCTCCACTTCCTTGCAAAAACTGTGGCCACAAACAAATATTCTATTTTCAATGAATATTCAGTTTTGATATAATTTATAACGTGTTCAATCCCCTTTCTATTTCTATTGTGTTCTTTATCTCTCTGTATTTTTCTTTTTAGGATAAAAACTGCCTAAAGCCTAAAAAGTAATAATAATAATAATAAAATTATGTAAATGCTGTGGAACAACTTCTACGAACATTTCAGGCTAACACATTGGAAGTACTGGAAAAAGGTGGAATAGTGCGAACTAAATCAATGCACTCACTCCGTCAGATTGTTGAAAGTTTCACCTCCATTTTGTACTGTCACAACCCTTGATAAGGTGACAACGACAAGAACGACCGAGCAGATTGTGATACTGTTACGTGTTATCATTGTTTGTCAAGTGAACAATGCGTATAGAAGTCGTTTGGACCACAGGGCAGGGGTTTTACCCTAAATTAAATCCAATCAGCAGAGACCAGCCGATGAGATTAGAGAGAATAACACTACAGGACAGATGTACAGGGCTCCAATATAGGGGTTTATAGGCCCTCCTGATCACCATGAGATATCCTGATATCTTTTGTGGTGTATTGTTTGCATTGTTTTTACTTGTATCTCCTTTGACAACAGGTGAGCACTACTTCAACGATTTTTAAATATTCACCTTTCATTTATCTTGTTTATAAGCACAGTTTTAAAAGTTTGGTTTTGCTTTGTTTTAGGCGATTTGTAAGTAGGCCTACTATTAGAACTATACACACATACACACACACACACACACACATTTAAAAACCCGTGTACAGCGTATCTTTGACATTTTCATATCTTAAAACATGCGTGGTATTCACAGCTCTCTCTTTCCACTATTTCTGCAGCAGTTTTTGTCAACAATGGTAACCCGTTTGTAAACGGACCTCTGAATGTCACATCAAAAACCCTGTCGATTTTAAAAGACAAGAGCCCCATTAAAGCCACTGGTAGGTAAAGTTACTTTTAACTATTTTAAAAAAAAAAAAGAAAGTCGCACGTATAAGTACAAATACGTTATGGTCTGATTATTTAAAAACTGTGAAATTAGTAAAAGTTGGGCTTGGATAGTTGTATTTCATAACAAGTAATACATACATAGAACAATACGCAAGAATGCATATTTGGTCAGCCTATAAAATGATTATAAAAATTTTTCTTGATAAATGTAATGTTTATCTTAAATTAGCCATATTTTATTTCCATCGCTGCTGTAGCCTACTTCCCAACAGTGAACAATGGGTCATTTGGAGTTATCTTCTTCGTTGGTGGATTCTATGGCGTTATATGGTCAGAAAACTACAGTGATATATTGTCGAAGATTGCATCCCATGGATTCATAGTTATTGGAATGGATCCGGACTGGCCGGCTGACAGAAATGGATTAAGTTCATCTACCATTCCGAGTGCTAATTACCGCGATATGGACAAATACTTCAAAATGTACGACTGGGTATGTATTGTCATTATGTGTAAAAAAAAACTTATTCTATCTTTATAAATAACACATTTTTTAATTCTCATTTTGCTTCAAATCAAATGTACTTTTTTTTTNTTACACCTTTTACTTCAATTGGTATTACCTGTTGAGCATAATTAAAATTTGATGCTGAATTTGCAGTTTAACATAATGTACTTTTGCATCAGAATTAACAGTAGCCTATTTTGTGCATAGTTATTTCCTGCTTTTTGTCTGTACATTTGACAGCTTTGCTGCCTTGTTTCATAATAGGTGTAATACTAAAAGGAACGTTTTACAGTGATGAAACTTCCTGGCTAGAAATTTAAAATTGGCATTTTATTTATAATATAAAGCATAAGACTGTTTTTTCGATGGACACTTATCCAATCAATTGGATACTTTTCCAGTTGAAAGGCAACCTGGCCAAAAAGCTGAATCTTGACGTGGCATGGGACCGCGCTGGGACACTTTGTCATTCTGCTGGCTGCGACAACACGTTACAACTGGTGATGATGAATCAGACGATTTTTAAGGTAAGTGAAAAATGACACCGTAGCCCTACATCAGCCGGAAAGTGTGGAAGCAGAAGTCTACAGTCTATGCAAAGGATCTGATGAAGGCTTTTTAAGAACTTGCTGATCTTCACACTTTCTTCTACATTGGACTGTAGACATCATCCCGTCCATATGCATTTCATTAAAAGATCACACGTTCATGCATATTTTTAAGGAATAATGTTGGTTTTCAAACACAAAAGATATTCAGAGTATTATTGTCGTATTTAAGGCCTCTGTGTGGTTGGAGCCGTTCAGTGCATCCCTGAAAACGCCCATTAATTTCACTCATCCGGGCTACGCCTACGGAACCCAGCTTTCCGAAGAGATAATCCCCTGTGCTATACCTGGATACGACTATAGACACTACTACAAAATGTGGAAGTGCCCAAGAATCATGACAGAAATATCAGTAAGTCGGATAAAATAAAATAAAACATTTGTCGAAATTATTTAAATAAATTATTGGTTGGTTATATTTCAATTTTTATTTTAAAAAAACGCGAAGGTAGCATGTACATGCGAAAATGGAATAAGTATAATACATGTGCCAACCCAAGGAGGTGTATTACATGCGCGTAGGTAGCATGTACATGCGAAAATGGAATAAGAAAAATACATATGCCAACCCAAGGAGGTGTATTACATGTACCATCGTCAGTAGATGTGTGCAAAACATGTTCTTAACCCATGTCTCTACCTTATGGTTAAATTATTATGTACATTTTGCATTTTTTGTCATTACAGACCTTTGGTCACTGTGATCTCCTCAATCCAACATTTTGGGAAGGTATGTAAGGCTAGACGAAATATAGACCCTTTTTTATGTACGCATTTTACTAGAGATAAGCCTAGTTTGCTTAGAAAGACATAAAGATAGAAAGATTAGTAATACATGTATAATACGTACATTGTATACTTCCTTCATCAAATATAGATAATAAAAGAAAAATATAGGATTTTTTCTCTTGGATTTTGCACAGAGACAGTGACTGACACCCGGCTTGTATTTTCATTTCAGCATGCAGGTCTCTCCCGCTTTGCAAGATCACTAAAGATATCAAGCAACTTCCAGAATACCGTATGTTTGTACAGGGAATGGCCACAGCATTTTTAATGGGATATCTCCAAAATAACACTCAGGCCCTCCAGTATATTACCAGGAAGGAATTATGGCCATTGGATATATACATGGAAATCGACGTAGATATTAAATGCTAGAGAGAGGGAGAGAGAGAGCAAGAGAGAGAGAAAGAGAGAGGGAGAGAGTGCATATCAAACAAAATTTGCTTATGTCACATTTTATTACACGAAACGCTCCTCGTCTAATCGCCTCCAAAAGTCAGGAATGCAGATATTGAAAAAACAGACACAACCCGCAGTTCTTATTGATTGTGAAATTTGTTTTAATATTTATGTGTATGTAACAGTAATGTCATGAGAAGCGATATCATTACAGCTTATCACGCCAGCCAATTTATCTTGATAATACACACCTTGATAAGCGGTGGGGGTGACTAGCCATTAACCACACGCTGTGATTACATTATATCGGGAAATAATTAAGATAAATGGAATGTAAGCAACTGATTGTCGTAGTGATATTTGTACAAGACTTACACCCAATGACTTTCTTATGGAGGTAATTAGATAGACTTAGCGCCCATCCGATGTCAGAGCAATAAACATATGGAATGTTTTAATAAGATGTAAAGTGTGAAAAAAATCGGACAAGTCCTAACTGAAGTTAGACACTTTAAAATTTTCAACTAATATACACTTGAAAATATTCCTGCATTGCAGCTATGATTTTTTCTTTGGTTCTTTGTCTCATACGAGTACTAGAAATAAATGGACAATTGTCTATAAAAGGTGTATGTAAGAAGCACCATATATTCTTAAAGTCGCACCTGCACCTTGACATAGTTGGTCTTTAACCCTACGCTTAATCCGTTGCACTGGTCAAACAATACCTGTAAACAGTTACAATTGCAATACACAATGCATACAGACTGTTGAGTGTTTCTTAAAATAATATTTGTCGCGCTTTCCTTTTATGAGAGGTGACTGCCCATGGGTTATTTGCCGAGCAACGACTGAAGTTTAAGAAGTCTGTTTGGTTTAGACGTAAGGGTGAGAACATACGCACTCTGTAAACAACCACAAAATGAATAAAGGTAAAGATCTCCCAAATATTGAAGATGGAGCGCATTAGGAATGGAAGAAATAACAATTAAAGGCACATTGCCATACTTTGACGGTTTACACAAGATTACAGTTTTTTGTAAATTGCAATATTCCGATATGTGTACACATAACTTCTTCGAAATATAGATTATCTACTATAGAAGTGTGGTGAGCAGGTGATATACTATTATATCTGGTGAAACCATACCTAACATGACATCTTATTCGTGAACTGTGATTTGGCAACATACAAATACTCAATCTGGTGTATTTTTTTTAGATTGGTCTACATTGTTTCCAATCTGCAGTGACATTAACATTATGGTTTCAAATAATTATTATGTATTTCTTTTACAAATCTTCTTTCAGAACCACGTAAAATTTCTCATAAAGTATAAAAATAAAAATAAAATAAAATAAAAAAATACCAAAATCAAATATTTGTCAAATGTTCACCCCGTCTGAGCGGCTGGTGTTGGGGAAGGGGTGTCTGGATTCACTGGGCTCGGATAGTCCAAAATGTGGTTGACAGAAATTTTAGCTGGAGCATTTTGTTCGTGACTTGTATCTTCGTTGTTTGCCGTGTTGTCCTCTTCCCACTTCACGTTTTCCTCCGTTGGAGTTAGGAGATCCATAGTTCGCACAGTAGTTGGACGATTGCAGTTGATAACATCGTCAAAATAAGCGTAGGAAGATCCATAGTTTGAGCTGGCCGCTGAGTTGTAACGTCGATGTGCTGTCGGCGTTCTTGTTGGTTTATTTTGAAGTTTTGATTCTACGTATTGCTTGTAAAGCTCCGCTGATTTGTATTCCTTTTCTTCAGACGTATGAACTGTCATTGGCGGTGTCTTTACTGTGGAATCTGGAAGAGGAAAGTATTTCACTTTCTCTCTTTTTAAAGGTCTTCCCACTGGTTTGGCATGCTCAGGAGGGTCGGAGTTTTGAGATTCAGATTCTCGGGGAGAAAGCGTGTCTATGGATTTTTGGAGATGTGAGTAGAGGTTACCGGTAACAGGGTCCTTTTCTTGTTCCCCGGTCCCGTACATGGTTTTCTTATCAAAAATTGGCTGCTTTGACAATCTATAATAGTTTTCCAACAGTGGATTCCTGAGAGCCGCAGGACCAGGCTTTCGTTTTTGTCGTTCTTTGTCGGTGGCTATTGCATATAAAGTCTGGCTGATGTATATATCACCGATACCTTTTGATTTCTTGCTTATAATAGGGAGATCAAGGTGTGTTGGGACAATGGCTGCGTTTTCTAGATACGTGTTTTTGTACACTTTATCGGGGGCCATCGGAACTTTGTTTTTAAGGTCGACCGAGTTGTTCCATTTGTAATGTGGAAATCTGAGAGCAGAATCCGCGCTGCGACACACTTCTGTTGTTCTGTCTCGTGGTTTTCTTTTTACGGAAAGGACAGATCTAGGCGGAGATGCATGGCGACTGTTTCTGCTCTTACCCCCAGCAGGCATAGAATTCTTTGCTAATTTTTCATCAAAATTGAACGTTACTCGTCTGGAACCTGAAGCACTCTTTCTTTGAAGATGGTCCACAGTCACAGTAAAATCCCCGTTTTCTGATTTATCTAATCTTCCATCGACTTCATATTTCCCGGTCAGCTCACTGAGTGGAGGTGCATGGACTCCATACGGGTACATGTGCCGTGTATGAGCATAGCCACCCCTGTCCCTGGGGGTCAGCTCTTCCTTCGTAAGTTTTTTGGTAGATGCTGTCTTTCCACGTATAAGAAATCCAAATTCCATCAATGTCGCCATCCTTTTAGTTCAGGTTGAAACAGCCCTGGACCTGCCTATCTCCAACGGGCACCTGCACCGAAATATTCTCTATAATGGATCCATCGATAGAAAGGGCAATACTCGATTAGGTTCACCACCTTCGACTTCGATTATTGTCCATTTTATCGACTGCTATTACATGGTTCCTCTCTGCAACTCTAGTCTTGAATTATTGCCTGTTTATGTGTTCACCGAAAACACTTTGAATGAAATAAAGCAAATGAGATCACAACTTCGAATGAATATTGGTGTCACTGAATATGTTTGACTATAAAAAACGTGGTCTTCAAGTCTGAAGAATAACTACGCCTTGCGACATAAGTCCTTCCTTTACCTGTTAAATATGTCGAAATTCTTGTAAACGCTGCACACAAATCTGTTAGTGATGTGACATTTTTGCCCTTTAACCGTTTCACCTGACTACTGTATACATTTCTGGCTGAACCGTCATGTTCCTTTACAACCTTTCCTCAATACCTATAGCAATAGAGTTATTATGTAACATTATTCTACCATGGGGGTGTTGAATGAACATTTGCCTATGAATAACTGGTTGTTATTGTTGTTAATATGATAGGGTCCGGTCGTTATTTTGACAAAAATAATCTAGACAAGCGAATCAGTGACCTAAAAAATCAGGTTTTTATATTCTAAAGAAGGCGATTTTCTTGAAAAATGTTTTTGTATTGCAATTGATAATTGTGGTTGAGCAAATATAAAACACATGCATTTTAGTGCCTGCAATTATGGAAGTAAAGAAAAGGAAAGATTAGGTTGCAATTCAATGTTTGCTTTTGCTTGTAATCTGGTTAAGTAAATACCAATAATACAACGGTTCTGTTACGAGTGGTTGGTTGCTACGCATGTGACGTGTGCGAAAGCCGAGAGAAAGAAAACGGAAACACCCGACATCGAGCACGGTTAAAACACAATTTATGAAAAAAAAATGCATTGATTTTAATAAAAAAATATTTATCAAAACTTTCAACACACACACACACACACACACACACACACACGTGCATGTACGTTCGCACAGACACACACACACACACACACACACACACACACACATATATATTCAAATATTTTGATCACAATTGTTAGTATTTAATTTATAGCTTACTCGAAATATGAAGCTACGACGTGTAATTTTGTAATTTCCATGTAGGTTACACTTAAGTTCACAGTGTGAATTCTTCCACCGAGCATTAATTTAGGGTGAACATTCCTCGGGATATTTACCTTTTACACTAAAAGACTGTTTTCTTCACGCTGCACTTATTTTCTCCCAAAAAAGAACCTAACTGGTACGCATAAATCCCATCATTGACACATTCAACAGGGATAGAAACTATTCTAAATCTTCTAATTTGTATTCCTGTTTTTTAGCTAGAAAGTAAGTGATTAAGCTCTTTTAAGCATGGATTGCATTTTTGTACCTGTCTTTCCGAACCTACACCTTTGTATGGAGAGAGCTTTTGTTTAGCGCAAAAGCACTCGTGGAAGCAGATGCCGTCTGTAAAAAAAATGAACTTGCATGTAGACTAAGAGCCTTGATTGAAAATGAAGATTTATTGAATCCATCAATCTGTATTCATTTTCTTTATTTTTTGTGTGCAATTCGGTTCTTCTAATAGGACAGATGGAGACCAAAAACCAATGTACAGTTTGGGGTCTCAGATGAAAATGAATATTTTTTGAGTCCATTTTACTATATTTATTTATTTATTTATTTATTTATTTATTTATTTATAATTCGGTTCTTCAAATATAAAGTCTCATTTTCCAAAAAGGTTTCCTTGTGTGTCATCCATTTGATTTTACGAAGGATTTCTCAAATTTATAACAGAACGCTACGAGTATTACAGTCATATTTATTACATTCATTCTACATAAACTGTATCAGTTGCTTAAAATGTTGAGCCCACGACAAATGAAAACCTCAACGTAGAATATTTTAAACGCATTTCAATGTTTCTATAGAAATTTGATACAAAAAAAAAAAACGTCATTCATATTTAGACTGATGTATTATTTTGAACTACTATCTACTTTTTCTAAAACTGACGTGGTCAAAATTGTTATGATCTTAAAATACAATAAGTTTGTGTTGATAAGGACGCGGTGACCATAATCCGTTATGTCCGACCTAGTGTTGTTTGTTATATATATTTTCGTTGTCTAACTGACCAATATTTCTTTCAAATACCTTGTAGAGATGAAAATAGACTGATTTTAGATAAAATATGGTAAAACTTGTAAGATGTCGACTTAAAGTTGTAACACTATCAGTAGCATTTTTGTTGTGTCTTTCAGTTAGCACGTGAAACTACAACTTAATTAACAATGAACGAACGCACACAAAATAAGCATTATTTGCACATCAAACGAAGCGGTGCCCAGACTAAGAACCTAATTTGTTGTCCATTTCGACGTGCTTAGTAAGGAAAATGTAAGCGTTTGTGTTTAGAACTTAAACAACCAACAATGCACACGGGCTTGGATAGAAATATTTTAATTGATGAAATAAAGTGGATCAAAGGTCTCACCGTGCAAACCCACATCTTTCTGCCACAATGCACCTGTGTTGTACTGGTTGCACAATATCAGGCATAAAATATGTGTACACAAAGGTACTAACTTTATTGTAGTCCTCCATTCTGGGGGTATGATTAAGCGAACTCAGACGTCTCTAAAGCAAACGGAGTCAGAAAAAGAGTCGAGAAGAAGGAGCCTGCTGCGTCTTCAAGCGCGCGTCAGATAACTGTGTTGACATATTATGATAGCTGAAAGGTAAATATTTTCATGCCCGTGAGTTGGACCTTTATTTGATAATGTCCTGTACTATAGCTGGATATCTATATTCGTTTGGGTTGCAGTATATTAACGTCTGTATTATTGTTGTCGACTGGCGTCTCAGGTGGTCGTTAGAAATCATGCATGACAACTTTTTATTCTTGACAAAATATGTTCAATTACGGAAAGACAAACTTAGTCATTTCGCAAATTAGACCACAGAGTGGGATAGCGTTAGATTGCAATTGCATATTTAGGAAGTTTTGAACTGTTTTCTTATTTAAGGTAAGTGTATGTGGTTAAGATTTCATCACTTTGAATCTGATATTTTTTTTCGTAAGAGAAAATATTTGATGTTCTTTATGAAATGTTGCACTTGATGCTATTTTTAAGAGGGTAAGTTACATCTATAAACATTTGTTGACGCTGTGATATCCGTCTCAGGTTTGATCGTGGTGGTCCATCTTAGCAAAACCTATAATATATTAGTTTATCTAGCTAGTGTTATCTATCTTTCCAAAATTATTCAGGAAAAAGTAGCTGTCAATATCAAAGTTCTAGCAATGCACATGTATATCATATTATCATATATAATAGAATGACACTAGTAAGAAATTTCATGTTCAGAAGCGTACAACGATAGAACACGAACTAACAACGTTAGGCAAAGAGGCAAACGTTAGTCAAAGAGCTAGCTGTCTTGTTAATTGAGAAGTCTTACTGATAAAAAAAGAAAAAAAATAGCTAAAAACTTATATGATATGTTTAAAGTGACAGCTGTGTGGGTAGATTTCATCGCTCAATCCCCCCCCCCCCATCCCCGACTCCTTCTGCACTCTCGTGTCGTATTGGGTTTTAATGATCTGTATTCATACATGTATTCCATACACATACAGTGAAAAGGTGACTTTCAAAAGTTGCTCAAACTGATACAAGCATTTGTAAGAATCAACATAATTGCAACTTAGAAAACGAGAACAATTTGCACAAAAATTTGCACACTATGAACTGAACTTGATTGACATTGTTTTTCTTTTATTTCAATGTTTTTGGCAAAAAGACGCGATTGGTACATAATATATCACAAATGGTTATTTATGATTCCCTATTTTCTTCAGAAGAATTGTATTCGCAAAATATATCATAAACAAGTTTTCAATATCAATAGGGTTGACCTTGTGACTGAGTTATTGACGTGTACTACCATTCATTAACGTTGATTAAACAGAAAATATACGATCAAAACAACCCTCCTTATAACAAGCAGCGCGGGCGTGTTACGTAGTCCACAAAATGGGGTTGCTAATGCAAACATCGGAAACAACTAAAATCAATCAAACAATTGTTTTCAATCATGCAGTTCATTACTTTGTCCTTGTTCATGTGTAACGTTAGTAATTGACAGCATGCAGCGAATAAGAGCGGGGAGTGTTTAGTAGAGTAACGTAAGTTGATTGACATGCTCTTATGGTATTTATACAACTGCGCTTAGTGTAAACAGGGAGAAGGCCGCTACAGATTGCATGAGGTAGGAATAGAAATGAAGGAAGCGGCGCGGGTAATAACTGGACAGTAGTTCAATAAATAATAAGAAAGATAATATCTGAGTTGTATTTGCTACCTCGCGTAACATGACGAAGACAAGCCTATAGCTTCGTCACAAATGCAAACAATTGTATGGAATTAATGTGGTCATTTCCTACGGATTTTGAAACAATATCGTGGGGATTGATTTTATTTATGACAGAGAACTTATGTACCGCAGTACAAGGTAAATTGTCAAATTTTTAGGAGAAATGTCTCAAGAGGTTTTGGTGCAAAATACTTAATTACAGAAAAAATTATCAGAGATAACAGATGCTCTAGGAATACACATGAATAGGTGTAGTTTATATCTTCACTTCTCCATGTATGGAGAAATACACCTGTACGTATTACTCCAAGCACTGCATGGTCTTGAATTGGACGCTCTGGCCATTATTATTATAATTTTGGTCCCAGAGTGACATTGTTTTAAAACCTACGTAAAAACTGTAATGAGTAAGTCTCAACATGAACTAATCTCACGGTATTGCTTTGGTGGAAACGAATAACAGATTATAACTGAACTGAGTGATGAACTTTTCACTTGCGATCAGACTGGCTTATGTTAAGACACCTTGTTTACCTAGGCTTTTTGTGTCGACAAGCGGTATTACTGACTGTGGAATTGGTATCATGTTTTGAAACATGGCCTACGCACAGATTTCGAATTGAGGTGCCGTATGAAACAATAACAACTGGTGTATTTTAATGCTAATTAATTGGAATAATTGTTGATATCTATTTTTCTGCATTTAGTTATGGTATTTATAGAAGTTTTATTTCTGTTTTACATAGGTGTATGCTTGCCGTCTCGTCTCTCGTCTGCATATAATTCATTCACACAGCGAAGAGACATTCTCCATCTTCTGTTCAGACTATCTAAATTTTCTTCCAAGAAGGAACCATACAAGATTTTAGCATCCGGCATCTAAAATATCACTGTCACACGCAATGCGCTGTGGACAACGGGAATGCTGGGAAATCAACAAAGGAAGCAAATAATTACATCCATCTTTGTTTCATATTCAGCAGAATCTACGATTTGCAAACAACAAATCGACAAGTTAAAATTGTTCCATCACTTTTTATCCATCATTGCCGTCCGCAAGTTATTGATATCGAATCTTTAAAGAATGGACAGGATGAATTTGTATGTAGATCGTGATGTTCCAGTGTTGAACATTTGACGGACAAAATCGATCGAAAATGTCATGAATTAAACAGAGAAACTCATCGCTATTGCAAAGTACTGATAACAGTGCAAGTATTGCACCGCTCAATCATAGTTTTAGCTCACCTTTACAAGATGGCCACGGCAATAGAACGACTAAAAGTGCACGGTAATCCTGTTCCGCGTAAAGGAGACTTAAGACCGCGACAAGGCAATGAACGTCCTTTTACACAAGGGGCTTTTGATCCAAACATATTCTTTGACATGGAAGACGTAGCTCTTGAACCCGTTGGCACCGGCCCCACGGATGTGTTGCTTAATCCACTGAACAATCGCACTGGGTTTTACGGCAAGAAGATTTCAGTGACAAGAAAAAATCCAAAAGACAATATGGGAGTACAAGATTTCGTAATAACGGGGACTACCGTTTCACATCCTGGGCATGATTATTTAACACGTTCAAAGACTACGTCCTCAATGCATTTACCGAGACCAGCAGCACAAGAAGATGGTAATCTAAGTGGTAACCAAAAAGGAAAGTACACAACAGGGAATCAGCCGTTTAAAGTATTAAATCTTCCTTCGCTGACATCTATACCCACTCCTCAAGGTCTTTCAGAGCCACATGTTTCTAGGATAAACCACGGAAGGGAGTTAGAAATCGCTGGGGTTTATCTTGGACCAAGCACGAGCGACTTCGAAACGAGTACAGAGTACAGCTCATACAGACGTTTCCCCAAACGAATGAAGCGTTCTATCAAAGCAGAGAAACCTACAGATATAGATAAACTACAAGCTTGTTTGAATATTCGGCAACCAAGGGATTCCTCTTCATCGATGCAAGGGCATAATGTTAAATTACGACATAACACCCAGTTCATGCAGAGGAGAAATTACCTAAACCCATACAAAAACATTAACAAGAACAAACGACCAACTGCCTTTGGCAACTTTAAGTACCAATTTGAACACGTGGATAGTTATGTGAATTTTAACCAATTATATTCTCCCGGACAGCAAGATATGCAGGTGTCTACGGTACTAGCAAAGCAAACTAAAGCTCACTCAGACACGTCCATATTACAACTGATGGAGGAAATGAATAGACCAAGGTCACGTGACAGACGGTCCGGGACTTTGTATTCTGATATTGGTGCTCACAGCGATTTAGATGAATATTTTAGAATCCGATCATCTAGGATGGAAAGACGAACAACCGCTTCTTCAAAATCTGCCAAATCTGCCAAAACGGCTCTAGACAACATTGTCCCAGAAGCTAACGAGGATGTAGAATGGGCAACACAAAACCCGCCTAATTCGCCTGGCCCAAGGACAACGTAAATTTCCTCATTTACGGCATTTAAATAACGATATGTACTTTTACTTTGTGTGTAATTCTGCGCACTATTTCGAGTAATCCAATTTGAACTATAAATTGGAAAGCACAACGGAGATTTTAATGTCTAGATTGTAGCAAGCACCAACACATATTCAATACCNGCCATTTTGGATTTTTTGGCCAAACGGTAATTTTTTTCCGTGGGCTACAGCTCTAATTTGATTTAGTATGTCAAAAGGTACCCACATGCAAAATTTGGTGCTTTTATCCGCTGTGTCACGATTTGGCCATTTTTTTGCCCTAAGCAACCGGACTAATACTAAATGCTCACATTATTGTACTGCCGCTATATTTAAAGAAAGACAAAGTGAGCATGATTTTGTATAAAAAGTATAAAAGTATAAAGACCAACCAGTAGAATGCTAAACTTGCTGGTGGGTTTCGTGCAGACCTTACTGTTTTACAGAGAAACATTAACAACCTGGAGATGATAATAATACAACTTACCGCTCTCAAAATGTAATTGCTCAATGTGCATTTAAATATATTTGCTCAATGAAACTGTAGGTCCTTTAACTTTTTCTTTTTTGCAAAAATACTATCGGCTTTCTGCAATCGTATATATATAACAGTTATATATATATATATATATATATATATATATATATATATATATATATATATATATATAACTGTTAAGGGAGACAAAATGTAGTATATCATATTTTAACATATTATGAAATTTCTCCTTCTCCACTATTTGTGAAACCTCTTCTTCACCCCTATCTAGTTTTAAAATAGCTTTGGTCTCGTTTACTTTTGTAAAATAGTATCTGATTATGTTTTTCTTTTGTTTTGTTTTTCTACCTTATATTCCAACCTTTGTTATATTGCAAGCGGGCATCTTAGGGGGAAACTTGATAGAAACATTTGTAAGGTTGTTGCTGCTAACAAAGTAAAGTTGTTTTCTTCGTTATTACAGTGGCATCAACAAGCGAAATCCTAGCGGAATAAATGCAAATTTGATTTACTTAAACCGTAACAGAAAATTTTACAGATTACAAATGTCCACTCAAAAGTTAACGTTATATCAAACAACAAAACACAAACCATCAAGCAGCGCTCACAGTAAAATAATGTACGGAAGTGCAGTACATCGATAATATAATATAATATAATATAATATAATATAATATAATATAATATAATATAATATAATATAATATAATTTTTAAGCAATAAACCTACACATTCGTACATTCAAGTAAAACACAGTAGTTTCATATGCCAAAAATTACCCAAGATCATATCACAAGGTTTTTCTTGAAATTATCCATAAACATCTAGCTGAAGCATAAAACTACAGATTTTGTCTCTCAAAAAAGGAAAACGGGCCTCGAAACACAACTTGAAAAGCTCTACTTTCCAGGGTAGATCACAATCTTGCATGCTTCTTCTCTTTTCAGATAGTCAAATGCGTCTTCAAATTTGGACATAGGAAACTCGTGAGTGATGACGTCACGTAGCTTGACCTTCCCCTCTGCCACCAAGCGCTCGCACTCATGCCAAGTATGATAGAAATTGAACGATCGACCATGAATTGTCTTGATTTCGATTGCCTTCAAAACTTGAAAAAAAATGTTTTCTCTATTACTGTATTTACAATAACTACGTACAGGGTGCCCCCCCCCCCCAAAAAAAAAAAATAAATAAAAAAAAATTTATTAAACCCAACAAAGGTCCATCGAATTTCGAAATTTGCTGAACTTAAACTTCTGTATGTTTATGATCTTTCCCCAAAGTTTCAGTTATCTTGGTCGCTTTGCATAAAAGTTATGTTCTTTTTTAAAAATATGCTCCAAATGGCCTCCGAGGCATTGGATGTACACTTGCAAATGTCGTGAAAAAATTTCAAACACATTCCTCCCTGGAGATTTTCCTGAATTTTGCTGTGATTCTCCTCACAGTTCACCAATCATTTGAGAGTTGTTTTGGTACATATTATCTTTGAGATACCCCCACAGATAAAAATCTAGACAGGTTCAAGTCCGGTGAATGCAGTGGTCACTCAACGTCACATTTTCTGCTGATCAGTCACTCCTCAGATCGCTCTTTTATTTAGGCTAGGGAGTCATTGATGTGCGGGGTTGGCCCTGTCTTGCTGGAACCACAGCCCATCTTGAACTATCCCTCTGAATCGTTCCAGTGATGTCCAAAACTTCCTCAGCACTGCCACATGGCGATTTTAGGAGAGACTGATCAGCAGGAAGTGTGATATTGAGTGAGCACGGCATTCACCGGACTTGAACCCCCCAGATTTTTTATGTAGGGGTATAAAGTGGGGGTATAAAGTATAAAGGGTATAAAGTGCTCCAGAACAACCCTCAAATGATTGGTGAACTTAAAATTTGATGGACTTTTGTAGGATTTAGTAAAATTTGTATGGATTCTTTTTTTTTTTTTTTTTTTTTTTTTGGGGGGGGGGGTCACCCTGTACTTGCTTAAGGTGTGAATTCTAATTTTTTGTATGTATGCTACTTTGATTGAAAATATATTTAAAAATGACAGCAGTGCAAAATAAGACATGAATTTACTCAACACTTATCTTACCATGTAATCAAATAAAGCCTTCAAAGGCTCGAAAATAATGACCTTTTTTGGTACATCGAGGACCCATCAAACACGTTCTAGATGTCATGTAAAACACGCATACAACTCCGAAATGTGGGCTTGCCTGGATAGTCTCATATTTTGTGTGACTGACGATTTTGTCTGCACGCCTAACTTAGGCCTACTTATCTTTTATAATTTTATTCGTGACGTCAGGGAGGGTGCCTAAAGTAAATATAATTATGAGTTTTCAAATAAAAATGCCAAAATACCAAGTGTTAAAATTTCTATGCGTAATATAAACAAAAATAGCTCTTACTGATATTGGTGAGTGGCTCCTTAATTAGAATTTGTTCCTTCGGTATTGCCACAAGAACGACCTTCCCAGCTTTCCTAAGAAAAGTCCACATCGCGTTTACAACTTCGGGGGCACCGCTACATTCACATATTCTTCCGATCCCATTGCCTTCAGTTTTCTTCATAATGACGTCATGCAAATCCTGCTCTGAAGAGTTAACTATGTCGTCTGCACCCATCTGTTTCGCCAATTGAAGACGTTGTGGCTTTATGTCTGCACCAAAAACCCTGCAAAATCAAAATTGTTGAAAAGTCATTAAAGTATAAGCATTTATGCTAATCAAAAACATAGACCAGCAATGTACTGTAATAAAATGTATACAGAATTGTCCTATGAGTACCATATACATGTATCCCGAACTCTCTTTCGTTCGACAATTCAGGTTAACTTTTGTTTCTTCTCTGCGGAGTTCATTTCTTACTGGTGTTGGGAATTATACATACGATATTTCTTTGGTTTGTAGGTGATTGTTTTAGTTAAAATTATATTTGAAAATTGTTGCGAGTTCACTAGCACGCCACATTAAAGACAAGCAAAAAATAGTTTAATTGTCTGACAACATATGACCTGCAAAACAACAAATGTACTATACGACGACATAAGTCACTGTATTAACCACACCTTTTAGCACCCATCGTTTTGGCCAAAGCTATGGCTAGATTACCGATGGGTCCGCAACCAATGACCAAAACGTCTTCATCTTCAACCTCCAGTCTCTCCATTGCATTATGTGCTACGCCCATTGGTTCAAGACAAGCTGCCTCGACCGGACCTAGAATATCCAAGTATTTGTAGCTATACACTGCAGATATATTGTAATTATGTCTAACAGTTGCAACACCAAAACAATTTATAAAATGGTGACAAAAATCCAATTTATGAAAAATATTGTATGTTAATAGCCGCAAACCTATTAGGTTTACATAAGAGGAAGCAGAAGTTTGTGTTCTTTGAACGTACTCTAGTTTATATATACATGTGCTTGGTATATATAGTAGCCTATTATATAGAAACATGACCTAGAACTTTACAAACAAAATTTTAGGAGACCCGGATTCAGTTGAAATTGTAGTCATTTCTTTTGCAGCTAAAGTACTATCCTAAAGAATATATCATATAAAATTTGTGAAGACCTTTTTGAAAAATCTTTATTTACAGACCAAAAATAAACATCCTTCGTTGTGTTAAGAGGACCAAAATCCAAAGGATATATTACATGTAGTACATTGATTTAATTCGTTGTCAATTCAAAAACGGATTTCCATAGATAGTTCTCTCTCAATTTTGGCATGGATTTTCGGTCAGTATTTTTGGAGCAGCTTTGTTCGGCTTTGTTCGGGTTAGATATGCCACTAACTATTCATTTCGATGCAATGGAAAGCACATGAAAGCAATGGGGATGGATCACTCAGTTTGGATAATTCATACATAAATTATATTCGCCATTAGAACATATATATATACTCACTGATATCTGTCTTTAACTGATAACAGTATTTAGAAGGCACAATGCTGTACTCAGAGCAGCCCCCGTGTGGAGTCCCCTTCCCGTGGCCATATTGGTTCATTTTCTGACAAATCGAATAATTCTGGTGTTTGCACTGGTAACATTTTCCACAGAAATAATGATTTTCCACGCACACCCTCTGGCCCTCTTTAATCGTAGCCTCTGGGCCGCATCTAACCACAGTACCCGTTGTCTCGTGGCCAGGGGTGAAGGGCAGGGCTGCGATCACCCTAGCGATGTCGTTCCACCTGTATAAATTGATATCAGAACCGCAAATACCGGTGGCATCCACCTTGATCAAAACCTCATCTTCCTTTGGATCTGGAATTGGAATGGTCTCCAGATGAAATGATTCCTCAGGCTTTCTCTTTAAAAGTGCAAGCATCTTGTTTATGTTACTACAGGTACTAGATGCGAACTTCACATATCATCTACTATTTATATATTAATTTTCATTTCTATTATTCTAAGAAAGGGAAGGTGGGCTTTAACTGTATGCGGGTAACATCAGACTGACACTAAACATCACGGTGCATTGGCAATGAATGGAGTAACCTGTTATACAAACTGCTTTTTTTAAATTTTTATATACGTTTTTTACACACTGTCTTTTGTGCCCTAGACAAAATGGACAAAGAAATGCATTCAGTAGGCGTTTTAGAGTGGAAAACTATTCAAGCTATCGTGTGATGACAATGTTTATCATACCTAACACAGATTCTAGGATTCATGTGGATGTTGATCAAAATTGTACAATATAAATAAGCCAAACATATTTTTTGATTATGTAGGATTTTTAAAAAAATAAACAAGGACTGAAAGTGTAAATATCACCATCAAAGTTTGAAAAATTGTTTTTTGTTGACCCCAAAAACTATTTTTTGGCGATTTGACATCGATGCAGCTGGGTCAGCGACGTGATATTCTAAAATTACGCAGCAAATGTAATATTGGTTTAAAGAAACGGGTAGGGCCCCACTCTAAATGCATTTCTTATTCCTGCGATTATGATTGACGTGGGTGAAAAAGTGGGAGAACCAAACCCCTAGCCCTCTTGACTCTTAAGCCTATACAATTAGTTATGAACGTGTGTGACAGAAAATCTGTGCATAAATAAATATATAACCGATACAACCTGCGTGGCATTCCTGTTCACCGTGAACGCAGCAGTTTCCGCGTGGCAGTTGTGTCATCAATCAAAATTAAGGTTTTCGTTCTTTTTTTATCTTATTTAAAATTCCCTCTACTTTATTTCATTTAATCCATTTCTTCATTTACGTATTTATCTTTTTTTCATTTGATGTTCTCCCTCCAATAAAGAAAGCTTTAACTTGGCACAAAATCGTAACCAACAAGCTGAAGAACTCGGTATACAAAACGAACAGCCAAACGTTTTATAATGTAATACTGCGCTGATGTTCTTCAAGAGCATTAAGTAAAATCAATCAACTATATGTATTTATTGTGCATAATATCTTTTGATATTCATATAGAATGTAATTTCACGTAAAATGTAACATTTCGCATTTATTACTTTCATAACGCCGTTAATTTCAAAGATGTCCAGCCAAAACGTATGTATGGTATCATAAAAACTTTTGATCACAATCATAAGAGAAAAGTACAAACCAGTATCTTAATAAAAATTAACTAAAATTGAAAGTTCATTTAAATGGTACTATTAGGTTGTTTATGTACACCATCATTAACTTGCCTGATTAATGTTGAATTAATACAAATTCATAAATTTAATTTCTACTTTATGTAACGCATTGTATAGAAGAGTGTAATTCGCGTTATACTATAAAAACATCAATATTAAATATCTTATTCAGCTTTTCATAATTAATATTGTACACCGTTAAACTGCTTCTACTTTTTCCTCTTTTCATCCCTAGTAGGTACAAACTGGTCTAAAAAGATATAAAACTTTAATTACCTGCACAAAGACATTTTACAAAAGACAAAATATTGAAACCCTAAGACAATAACAATAATAATAATAAAATGTTTCATGTACAAAGCCCAAATTAACAAAACTCTTCATTTTCTATCCCCAATCCTTTCCTTTCAAAACTACATTTTTAAATTATTTTCACTGCTGAGGGTAAATAACAATCTTGCAAGCTTTTCCACTGAACAGGGTCTGAAATGCATCTTCGAATTTGGACATAGGAAACTCGTGCGTGATGACGTCACGTAGCTTAACCTTTCCCTCTGCTACTAGGCGCTCACACTCCTCCCAAGTATGACGAAAGTCATTAAAAGACCGCCCATGGACAGTCCTGATCTGGACGGCTTTGAAGACTATAGAAAAAACAATAATAATAATAATAATAATAATAATAATAATAATAATAATAATAAGCGTTTGACTAAACTTTTCTCCTAATTACAAGAACATGATAACAAAACTGAAACTAATGCAAACCGGCCAAGTTTCCATGGCTTATAAGATTTTAGATTTAAACCAAAAACTGAAATATGTAGAAAACTGTCTGTAGTAATTTGCTTACAAATAATCTCTATGCAAGTAAAAACTAAAGGGACAAAAAGAATTCTGAAAACTTAATCTGGTCTCAATTACAATATGGCGACATTGGGGAATGCGTTAAGGCATAAGATTATATAACGTGCTTTAGCTGAGTAGTTTTAATTAACAGTTAAAGAGGAGAATGATGTTCATTCTCGATTCCGTCAGATTGCCTTGTAGGTACTTAATCGAGTAACATCTATACAGAAGTTATAATCCGGTAATGAACTTCTATGACCATATACAGGATCGAGAGCAAGAAAAACCCTAAAAGTAACTGTTAACCTACCAACATTGGTCAGGGGGTCCTCGATATGGATAGGTTGTTTCGGCAGTCCTATTAGTACCACATTTCCACCCTTCCTAAGAGAGGTCCAGAGCGTGTTCACTGCGGGAGGAGCACCGCTGCATTCACATATTCTTCCTATACCGTTACCGTTAGTTTTTTCCATGATGACGTCCCGTAAATTATGTTCTGAAGTATTTATGACGTCATCAGCTCCCATTTGTTTTGCTAGGTCAAGTTGACGGGGATTTATATCGGCACCAAACACCCTGAAACATCAAATATTGTTTTGAAAAAAAATTAATTAAAATAACACTGAATTAAATATATGCTCTTACAAACAAGAAGGACAGTAAAATACTTTGTAAAAGGATAAAGAAATATAAACAAAAGCAGGTAAATAACATGTGCACAAAAACTTTCATTTGATGGTTATTCAATTTGAGAAATGAGAAATCACCTTCTTGCCCCCATGGCTTTAGCTACAGCTATAACCAATACGCCTATTGGACCGCAACCGATGACCAAAACATCTTCGTCTTCAACCTCCAACCTCTCTATGGCATTATGTGCCACGCCCATTGGTTCAAGACAAGCTGCCTCGGCCGGACCTAACAATAAACATACTTGTGGTAACTGACCATGTTCTTCTAAACCCTAGCTACCGATAAGTTATTCAAGTCAAATTCAAGGCAATATTTTCAAACAAAACGTTTTCTGAAACTTGGACAGTGGAGCTCGTTTCACCCCACTCCTGTATATAAATACAAAATTAAATTACACATTCTTGAACATGAGACTTCAGATATTGATGTTCTGATATGCTCAAACATGTATTTATATGAACGGTCATTTCTCCAGTCAACATATTCCATCGAGAGGCATAATTGTTTCACCTAGATAAAAAACAAATAACGTTTTTTGAAAAAAATATTTTTCATTATACGGAAGTCCGGTTAAAAGGAACATTAACATCAATGCTGTCTTTACATTTTTTCTGAAATTATATTTTAAGTTTTCTTTCTCATTCAAATTTATTATACTTTTTTCTGGAGCTATCTAAAAAAACAAATAATGTACAGGGGCGGATCCAGGATTTTAAATCCGCCAATGATGTATATCCGAAGCAAGACAGTATTATTTCTGGACATAATAGTCAACTTTCAAAATTCCCACTAAATCAAAGTCCGGGACTTCCGTTCGACCCTGACCTCTTGTAAACATTATACTCACTGATGTTTGTCTTTAACTGATAACAGTATTTAGAAGGCACAATGCTGTACTCAGAGCAGCCCCCGTGTGGAGTCCCCTTCCCGTGGCCATACTGGTTCATATTCCGACAAATCGAAAAATTCTGGTGTTCGCACTGATAACATTTTCCACAGAAATAATGATTTTCCACGCACACCCTCTGGCCCTCTTTAATCGTAGCCTCTGGGCCGCATCTAACCACAGTACCCGTTGTCTCGTGGCCAGGGGTGAAGGGCAGGGCTGCGATCACCCTGGCGATCTCGTTCCACCTGTACAAATTGATATCAGAGCCGCAAATTGCGTTTGCGTCCACTTTGATTAAGACTTCGTCTCCCTGAGGGTTTGGCACGGGAATAGTCTCAATTTTGAACGACTCTCCGGCCTCTCTCTTCATGAGAGCAAGCATCTTGCCGGGAACTTCTACAGCGCCAGCCATGGATGTTGGGATAATCTTGACCAAAGTTCAACGATGAAGTCTAACGACCTAATTGATAAGTGGTGTGATCTGCTTATTAAATGCGGGAAATCTAAATAACGAATGAGCGTGGACCAGATTATGGTTTATTGAAAATTCTTCTACCAGTATTAAAATTCTTGGCCTCGACATTTACAAATATACATGTATGTACTTATTCTACATAATCTGTACCGTAATTTCAACCACATTTTCTCGTTCAGACTCTTGCAAATAGAAGTCTATGTCATCTCGTTCGGAATTTTCATTTTGATGTTCAGGAAGTCCGCCGAAGATCAAATTGTCCCGTATAGACTTTGATTGCTTCTTTCGAAGTTCTTCTACATATATCTGGTTGAAAGGATTAGCAAGACTGTGAATGACATCAAGTCGTCGAAGAGGTTACATATGAAATTGGTTTTTCTTCTCCATTTCGTTGATTTAACCTTCAAGTAATATTGTAATGTGTTAACACGTTGTCCATTTGGTCTAATGTGTGTAGTTTGTGGTTTATGTTGCTATGATAATATGGTATGTTGTGTTATATTTCATATGTTATATTATAATTTTATTATTGCACACGGATAAATTTAGCTACATGTACACAAATACGTATTTACCCCCCCCCCTCCCCCAAAAATAAATAAATAAATAAATAAATATGTCGGTTCTTGGGGTATTGGACTTTGAGTGTATCCTCTGTGTTGGCTTGCCGTTAATCATAGCAGTCAGGGTTATTACTGAATAGCGTTTTATATGGTATCCATAGTTCACTTTTTGTTAGTCTGTGCCACCTTGAGTGCATCTCACGCAGACTTTATGAATGCTGTCACCACGCACGTTTTGCTGTTAGGCCTATTTGTGTTTTCCGTTTAATATATTTATTATTAAGCACTGAAATGTACATGGATAAGAAGATTAATCAAAAGTAAAAGCGATGCTTGGCCATCAATATTTAAATTGTGTATGGAGTACACGCTACCAAGTGCCTTATAGTTTGGAGATGCTTTCCCCAAGGAAGTAATAAACAAAGGCGATAATGATTTTTGGAATGATGTTTTAAAAGCATGGGAATGTGTAACAAGCATTATTTTTTAGAAGATAAGGGATTACTGACTCAACCTCTTTGGTATAATTGGAGGTAAAACTGTGTTAAATAAGGGATGGTATGAAAAAGGTACATGTATAAAGGTAATTGGTGATATAATAGTCAAAGATGGAGATTTTTCAGATCTGCCTGAATTTAATAGAAAATACAACTTGCAAAATACAGATTATCTTATATATCATGGTATATGCCAAGTCATTAAAGAATATATATGTAAAAGAAGAGGAATGAATATGGAGTCCATAGAATATCTATATATTATCTCTGTGCCCCCTCTTTATATTGTATATTGTTCTCTTTCTTTCTTTGTCTTTTATGTTTAATAAAAAAATAATTAATCCCCATAACTCTATTCTGTATGAAATCTTGTTTCCATTTATGGAAGTATGTCAAACAATTAGAAACGGTATTTCACACACACACACACACACACACACACACATATAAAAATCCTCAAAAGCAGTGTGCTCTGTCACCTTTTGTTTAAATCATTCTGGCCTTAAGCAAAAGCTGTAATCCCGTTGAAAGGTAGCAGCAGGAAGAAGGATCCATGAGAATACAAAAACTCATCACAAAATAATGTACGGAAAAATAATGGGAATCTGTAGTGAAAACCATCGGATTTTACTGGCGTCTTCAGTATTTTTAAGACTTAATTTCCATCACTCCGACTAGAAAATACTCTCAGGGCGTAGGCCTACATTTCTTTATGTCTTGGGTCGGGTGACAGGTTACACGCATTTTTTGGTAAATCGTTATTATATGCTATGTAAAAAGAAAATATGAAAAAATGAACTATGGATTTCGTATTTAGCGCCACGGCGTATGCTGCTTTAATACAAATGTCTGACACCTTGTTGATGACGTCATTTAACTCTATTTTTTGCAAAATTCTCGGAGTAGACCTACAGAAATGTGCACAGAATATCCAGAGAAATATCTGCGAATCTCTAATAAAGCTGTGATCCTGGTGGAATTATTCTTTTTGTGCTTCGAGGAAACCCTTAACCAATGAAATTAAAACTAGGTTATTCAAGGTCTCCTGAGGACACAGCACGCTTACCGGTGGTGCTTTGATAATACGCAAACATTATACCATGGCAAATAAGAATTTCGTCGAAGATGAGATATCGAACCACGGGTTACGGTACAAGGATAAGGTGGTACTAGTGACTGGTGGAGCAAGAGGTATCGGAAGGGGGTGTGTCGAGGTGTTTGGTAAGTAGGTATATGCTCACTTACATGTACTTTAGGGACAGGTAGAGTCTGTCGGGTCGATTACCACTGTTGTCAGTGGGTTGAGTCCTCTTCATGTAAGAATAAACAAAGAAACTGTGTCCGTCTAAACCGTACGTGTCAGTTTTTTATTTTGACAGTTTATTTTGCCAACTGTGTAGCTGCCTACAACCGATTTCCACTCTTTATTATGCAGCTCATGTAGAACTCTCGTGAGCAGAGGTTGTTTTTGCTGTTGTTTTTTTTTAGTTTAATCTGCGTGGCGCATGCGCAGTTTTTATATCCTATTAGCTAGGATTATCACATGCTGCCACCTTTAAGAAGAAGTAGTCCAAAAATAGTTCTTAATTAAATTACAAGACAGTACAGTACAATACTATACAATGAATTTTAATTCAAGTGGGTTACAAGTGAAATTTTAATAAAAGCTTCGAAGCTATATACTGTATTCCCCGACAGAAAAGAAATAGCTTAGGCTATCTATTATACAAAACTGAGTTAAGGTGTATAATAGGCGTACTAACAGGTGCCACTAGTTATTATATTGTGCACTACGTAAATAATTTGATAGAACTTAAAAAGACAACAACTGTTCATTTTAGAATTCTTATTTCCTCCTTTTTTTGGGCAAGATCAGAGATATAAGAATATGTAAGCCCATTATAGATGTCTGTGGATATTGTTCTCTGGGCTAAGACCCACCAAACTGATGGTGGTGGGTCCTAGGATGGAAGGGGTTTCAACCATTTCACGCTTTGATGACCTTTTTTGTTCTAATTTTCAGTGAAAAATGGGGCAAAAGTAGCATTTTGTGATATTTTAGGTAGGTGGATCTTTCACTTTATCTGAATACTGCATCTACTGTATATCGACTTCAAATGATTGTCCATGAGGGTTTTTTTTCACCTTCAACCTTCCTGTTTCCCTTTAAGTACATGTACCCTTTATTTATGCTTTGCCTCAAAGGCACCCTACATGATTTTGAATTAGAAAATAAACCTCTACTATTTTTTTTTTTTTGTAAATTGCATTATACACGGATTAATTTCCAGTAACCGAATCGAAAAAGGAACATTGTATTCAGATGACCCATTTGAATTCATGTATTAGTTAAAAGCATTTTTTCCCATCGAAATGTTGAAATCATAAATAGTGTTACATTTCTTCGATAAAACTGGCAACTACATGCACTGGTACACAGCTGGATTAACTTATACAGTGTAGGTATATTTCATATGAAGAATTGATGTACATGTAGGCCTACCTTAGGCGTTGTATGGCGAAATTATGACACGCGTCTGATTATTAGTACCAGAAATTTAATTGTAAAATGTATATAGACAGGGTCGCTTGCTGAGAAAAAAATACTAGGGGGATCTGTTGAAGGACTACAATACCACCCGTGGTACTTACCTACATGTAGGCGGTATCTGTAGGAAAAGAAAGAGATTTCTGATACATTTCTGATAGACTGTGAGAAAGGAAAAGGCTAACACTTCATAAATACCGGTACATACTCCCTCCCTTCGCCGCAAAGAAAAACTCAATAATCTCTGCCTCCTCCCCCCGCAGCCTACAGCCTTGACACACACACACACACACACACACACACACACGTACTAGTAATACTAATACATAAAGCATCATGATTTTAGAGCGTGAGGGGAAGGTTTTCGAAGAAGAACAGAGACTTGTTGGAGAGGCGATGTTCATTCCTTGCGACGTCACTAACGAGGAACAGATAAAGGTGATTGTTTACACAGGATGTAGGGACATTTGCATCGTATTCTACATGACAGTATAGAAAATTGAAAATAGTGTTTATTGTCCTACGATTATAAAAATTCTATTTTTACATTAAAAACTAATCTTGTATATCCTTTCAGATGGTTGTGAAGAAAACAACTGAAAGCTTTGGGCGTCTAGACTGTCTAATCAATAACGCTGGGTCACGTACGTATACCATTCACAACTAACATGTGCCTACATTTGTATAGGCCTATATGGCAATCATGCAAAGGGATTTTCTCAAAGATCTTATGGAATGAAATACAATAAATAAGTAAGTAAATTAACGCGATATAATTCTTTGAATTTCAGACCCAGATATAAAAATGATAGATGATTTTACTGCAGAGGATTTTAGACAACTGCTCAACATTAACCTCGTCAGCTATTTTCTTTTTTGTAAGGTGGGTGACAGGCAATTATATGATGCAACTAGAAGATTCTAATCCTTTAATTGGGATGGCAGATTATCATCTTTTTCTGTCAGCCCTTTTTTGCGCAGATGCGTCATCACATTTATGACAGGCTTTACAGTCCGAGAAACATAATGAATGCTGACGCATCAACGCACCAGTTTTTAGCTAATTCTATCACGCATTTTCACAAACATGACGCTTTTGTCATGATATTTTTCATTGCAAACATATTTGTTTCCGTGGTTGTTATGTGTATTTCTAACTTGTTTTCAGCACGCTTTACCCCACCTACGGTCTAGCCATGGTAGCATTGTAAATGTATCCAGCATGGTGGGACAATATGGAGCATCTGGCTCGGTGACGTACGGTGCAACGAAGGTTCATAAAGAACTTAAAACTACATTCTCCTGACAGTAGAGCAAAATGTCACTTTATCTAAGTCAGTGTTTCAATTAACTGATGAGCATTCAAGACATTCAAGACTGGTCAAGACTGGTTGTCATACCAAAGTAATAAGTCCTCATTATATCTATTGTTAAGACAAAATAATAATTATCGGCGTGTTCAATATTAGCTATATAATGCATTAAAAAGTATCTAAGTTTAGTTTTTTATTTTTTGTTTATTGCCACAGGGTGCCATATTAGCAATGACTAAGTCCTTGGCGGTGGATGAAGCCGTTCACGGTGTTAGAGTAAACAGGTCAGTGCATTGAAGTAAATCAGACAAAAATGTTAGAAAGATAACATTATGATGAATACCCGGTGACCATGCCCATCATGATTTTGATAATTTCTTTTAAAAATAAAAAAGCTAAAAAGACCTTCGAAGCATGAGCAAATGAAACACTGTAAAGCAATAAATAGAAAAGAAAACGTACTAAGCATTTCGTTGTTTTTTTTCAACAAAATCGCTATGTTATCTATGGCTTGATAAACCTCTAGAAATCTTGTGCAGACATTATTTCATACTTTGTAGCATATCACCAAGCACCATAAAAACCCCCATGCTCGATTTTTTTCTGAATCAATCCGAAAATCCTCAAGACGCCACCAAGGCAGCAGCAGATTTACAGGTATGCATTAGTGTAATTGAGCGCTTGTGTCATATCTAAAACGATGGTATCATATAAGCATAATTCAGATTTCACGGACAATCAGACCATCTATTTAAAACGTAAACCTACATAATTGCTGGCTGCAGTGTGCAAAAAAAAAAAAAAAAAAAAAAAATTATCTGGAAGACAGGTGTTTTACGTACATCGCCTGTACACGAAACGTTTTCTGACGGGGTTGTTTCTGCTGTCAATTCCAGACACTTGGGCGTATGGGCACGCCCGAAGAATGTGGGGAGGCATGTCTTTTTCTTGCAGCGGAAGGTTCATTTTGCACTGGCGTAGATATACTCTTGAGTGGTGGTGCAGAACTGGGATATGGGCATAAATCGCAAACTGGGAATGTCGGAAAGGGGTATTTTGCCTAAACAGCAACACAAATTTCATTATTTTTATGGTGAAGGTGAATATTATGTAATTCTACGATTACGTAGTAACACTGTAACTTAGTCAAGCATATCCCTATGAAAATCCATAGAGTCAATGACAACACGCAGGTGACAGAGTTAAATTTTAAATGAATGGAGTTAAACCTTTCATGTACGTTTTGAATTTCAATTCATTTCAAAAATGTAATTAGGCCTACCGGTAGATACCCTGCGTTTACTATATATTGTTGCCATTTTTTTTACTCCAGTTCATGTATGGAAATGGGGACGGATTTCCCTATTGAGACTAGTGCAATGGGAGTAGTAGGTAATTACGCCTTGGAGGTTATGTTTACGTTTTTCTGTTAGTAACATTATGTAAACAGTTATGAACGGGTCAAGAAGAATGTTTTAGGATAGGTCAGACTTTGGCTAACTTAGAATCGATTAGATATGGTGATGAACCATTACTTAAAGGGATAATAACTCTTCGTATGAGATTTATATTTCACAATAAAAACATTGTGAACAACTCATAGAAATATAATATATTCTGTTTTACCACAAAAACGGCAGTTATAGCTATTATTCTGATATTTGAGCTTGTCTATAGACCACGTGACCTCCATTGATGGCTATACACTGCTATAATCTCTTAAGAGATTATAACAAAAAAAATTTTTTTTTAGAAAAAAACCAGGGACTAACGTTAAATGTAAAAATGGATTCGTTAACCATTGGTAAGTATGGGAAAATTATTGTTTACTCCAGGAAAATTCATTTTTTTGGCCAAAACGAAGAGTTAATATCCCTTTAATCAATCAAATAATGAGATTTAAGCTGTCTTGGCGGAGGTCTGCATCCTCTGAATGCTTTTCTATTTTGTCAATATTTTTATATAATTTTTTAAAAAATCTATGCATTTTGAAGCTCAGATAAGCAATAAAAATATTCGAGATTGTCTGTTACTGCTGACCAGGTATGTTTCTTATTGTAAATGATATTTTAATAAATGGTTTAGTAATACCTTGTCTGGGCACAGTGTGCGCTTAATTAATAGTTATTGATATAAACATGTATTTTGTATTTCACTGCTCTTCATGGTCATTGGTTACTAGTAGTAGTTAGTTTATCAGTAAATGGCTGACTTTATTTAAAGCAGCTTGTACCGACAGCTCCTCGTTTATTGTGCCCAGGTACAGATAATATATTGCTACGGACCAAACGGTTTCACAGCATGTTAACGACCTTTAGTATCAACACTGCTTTTTTCGTAACATCAGTGCCTATTTAAGTATTCAAATGACCACTACTTTCCTTCCTTCATTCATTCTGCTGTTGCCACAAGATAACCCAGTCTTCTCAGGTGCTACGAGTCTGCAGTAGACAACATTGTTTGTGAGATCTTATTTCACATAATTAGAAATAAATATATTTATAAACCGCCATTCAACATGCTTTATAATCTGTGTGATGAATTTGTGTAAATGTGTGTTCTATGGATTTATTTCACGAGCTAGATACTTGATTTAGCGGGTTAATTTCGGTTAGCATGAAGAATAGTTATCAAAAAGTCATAAACTTCCAACACACATAGCTATTGCCATGATGCACATTAAACGCACGCACTGCATTACACTATTTCCCATCCTACACCACATCATGTTATGTTAGCACCATAGCGTGGTCCCATTAGTTTGGCAGCGGACTTGTTACGACAACTCTACGCGCCAATTTCTGAATTTTTTTGGCAACTATTGTGGCATGACAAGCCCTCTTGCAAAACACGAACTCATTACAAGCTGTCACCTCAGGAAGGGTGATCACAGTTGGCTACGTTGCAAATTGCGTGTCTTTGCGGTGGAGAATGGTGCCACATTGTCGATCATATTTGGGCGTGGCCAGTTCCACTTTCATGGACTTTTCACATTTATGAGTGCTTAATACGATCACATGAATATTGGTGGCAAACTTTTGTCAACCCTATGTGTCAATCGCTGAGCGACCTAGATGTACTGCAACAGTCCATAGCACTGGGGGAGAAAAAATACCGTAACTTATTTCAGTTAGGTGAATGATAAATGTTAAGTACTGTACTGAATTGTTGTACGGACACAATACGAATATTAATGCTGACAGCAACATGTGGAATGCAAGCTGTTGAAAATTGGTAATTATTCACACCTGGATACATGAGGGACCATATTTTTTCATTTTATATTTGAAATGTATTTTTACGTTTATGTCAAAGATCAATAAAATTATGATAAAATATGTGTTGGTGATACAGACAATGGACGGTGTTTCTTGCGTGAATTAGACACATCTAAACTTATTAAGACTTGCGTTGTCTAGGGGCAATTTTGGCTGAACTCCGCAACCCTACATCGTAGCCAATAGGTTAGGACTACAGGTAACACTGTATCATCAAATTCCCAGTGGATATCAGTGCACCAGGTAGAAAGGAAGTTTATCAAACTGTATTGTGGGGAAATCATCAGAGATCATATAGCAAAACGCATGTGTCGATCCAGGATTTGGGTGTTTTGTGGAATTAATGCTTTATTATGTAGCGGTATTTACCTGTGGTTGTTTGTAAACTACCATACCCATGAAGAGAGGCGCGACCACAGATTCTGGGCGGCAAAGGCACTTCGAGAGTTGTCAATATTGGGAAATAAAAAGGAAATTCGGTACAGGTTAGATTATACCAGAAATCGGGGTAAGTAGTATGCCCTGGCCAGTAAGATTATGTCATAGCCCCCGGCTATATGATTTCACAGTAAATGTCAGTGAATTTACTTCGAGTGTATAGTATGCCTTTAAGTTAGCATGTGTAATTTTTCCTCATGTTTTGGTACATTGTCCAACCAGATGAGTGGGTGGCTGTTTTAAGTGTATTTTTTTGTCATATGTGAAAGGCAGATTGCTGATCAGACACTACATACCTTCTATTAGCATGATCTCTCAATGGGTGTCAGATGTGGCCACGTTACCACGAAGTCGATCGGGTACATGTATGATATGAGAGTGGCAGCGGTCATTTCATTGCCCACGCTAGATTAATTCCTTCAATACTTATTCACTAAAATTTTAGTTTGAAAACAATTGGTAACATTGGTATTTTTTCTTTGACACTAGGAAACACGTAAAGTTTAATGTAAGAAGAATCTGTTTTGATGGATTCGATGAAACGGGAGATACCTAGGGTTACACTAGTTTATATCGAAGTGACAGCTGTACATTATTTAAATATTGAATTTAATGGTTGGTAGAATGTCAATATATTTAGCACATGGTCTGTGTATTTCATTTTACTGATATCTAAAAATCTGCCCTGTCTGCAATCGTGTGAGATTTCTCCAGTTGGCCAACTGTTGTGGGTGCAACGGACACATTGTTTTTTAAAGCAATTACAATGAAATATCAGAAAACTTCATTTCATAGAAGTTAAGATTTGTTATGCTATCTAGTATTTTCTTTTTTTAAATTTTAGGAACAAAATACAGAATCCTTTGCTGGATACTTACAGACCCAGATGATTTACAAAAGAGAACGATTCATGTAAAAAATACATGGACTCGAAGGTGTGACAAAAGTTTATTCATGAGCTCCGCAGAAAATAAAAGTTTTCCGACGATCGGGCTTAATGTTAGTAGCGGGAGGGAGCACATCGCCGCAAAGTCAAAAGCGGCATGGGTATACATTTACAACAATTTTGCCAGCAGTGCAGATTACTTCATGAAAGCCGATCCAGACACTTACGTTATTATAGAAAACTTAAGAAACTACCTGTCCTTTCGAGACTCTTCAGTGGCAGAATATTTTGGTCATTCTTTCAAGCTACCACACAGACAGCTTAATTTCACATACATGAGCGGAGGGTCTGGCTTGGTACTGTCCAAGGAGGCGCTTCGACTCTTAGTCACCAAAGCCTTTTTCTTAAAACCTTCTTGCATACCAGATGGAACAGGTAGGGAAACTTAATGAAATACCAATAAATGAACTTTAACTCAATGGGTAGTCTTGGTTGCAGAAATTAGAGCCATGGTCCTTACACGTCCCTAAGAATTACATGTAATTTAAGTATTGAAGATAACATTACAGTAACACAATCGTAACAACATCAATCGCACCAACAGCAGCAACAAGTACACCAATTAAGAAATGGCGACAGCCAGCCATACATGCGGCGTTCCTAAATACTGAGGACGGGTTTTTAGATATTAATGTGTATCGCAAATCTGCGCAGTACCGTAGGTTTGATAATGGCCATCCAACGGTAAAAAGTGGGCTCTTTAATGAAAATAGTTGGGGGCTCGGGGGGACATCTTACTCTTATGATAGTGAAGACAGTTGTCCATGAAATTCAAAAAAATATTTTAAGCAAAAGTTGCCTCAGGAGGCCATTAAACTACAGACTTGACTAAGGTCCCGTAACCAATACTTTATAGTTTGTATCATAACACCCAGTGGCGCACAAGTTACGAGCAGTGCATACTATACATTGGTGCCTGTAGTCAGTGACCGACCCAGAAGACCAAGAAAAGAAAGATAACACCTTGTTATGAACGAGTAACGATGTCGCATACAATAACCAACTATTCTAAGTGTGAAAGATCTAGGCAAAGTATCAACCACATTTAATAAAACATTTGGATATAATAATTAGAATTGTCAAATACTACCATATATAAGATCCAACGAAACTATTTTGTGTTTTTATCCATTTTTGTTTCAACATGACAGCTTCGTGTCGCGCGCTATTCCAAAATGAAATCCGCTTTGTATTTTTCATAGGTATGTATTTATCTTAGGTGAGGACTGGAAAACTGCTCAATGTCTAAGCAGAGTCGGAGCTAAAGCAGTAAACACAACTGACGAACTTGGTAGGGAAAGATTTTTGCCGTTCACACCTCTGACACACATCTTGGGACAGTACCCTAAATGGTATTATACGTGGGATCAGAACAGAGCCCGACGGGTTGGTGGTTCCTAATGTTGTGCTCTTGACTGCCGTCTTGATTGATTTGACGAACTTATTTTGTAGTTAAATTAAGGAAGAAGACGGTTGGATCTAGTCAAACATCAGAAAATTGATGATAAACCCAGTTATAGTTAACCCAGTTCCTCTTCTTAGAGACTTCACTTGCCAGTGTTAGATTTAATGTGTTAACAGACCAGTAATTTTTTTATTTCAATTAAAACTGCGCTACAAGCGAATTGTGACCATTATAATTTATTATGTTATTTATCACCGCTATCATTATTGTTATCATTTATATTTATCATTAAATGTTTGTTTCCCATTTTCAGGGGCTGAACTGCTGCAGCAAATATCCCATCTCATTCCACTACATGAGTCCAAGAGAACTGAACACTTTGGAATACCTGTTTTACCATGTTCGCGTTGCTAAGGAAAAGGTTTAGACACTTAAAATTTTGGAAATACGTAAGCATCATTAGATTTCAAGAAAGAAAAGGATGTACATCTCTGGGATATATTCCTGTAATGTTTTGGTTATATCGCTATGCAGCAAAATGATCCAACAATTTTAAGTGGGTCTACTATTTACTTCAAATACTACAAAAATATTTTAAATCGGAGCCACTTTCGAAACGTCACTCCTTCTGCGTTAATTCTTAATACTAGAACGATGATTGAAAGGGCCATTTTTCCTTTCTAAGTATACACGGAATGTCCTGAGACTACAAATTGGCATGACGTTCTGACAAATGATCGGATTACTTGGGAGTTTGTCATTGGAAAGCTAATCACGTCCAACTAAGCCAGCTGTGGGCAATTATTACACATAATGATGTACTACCTAGAAAATTGACTCTCTTGAAAGTATAAATAAGTCCTTTTCCTCTTATTTCTCAAACACAATGTTAAGTCTATGCGTGATGTGGATCTTTTATACGATGCTGTGGTCCCAGGTAATTTTATGACACATTTACATTGTAGCTTTTCTAACACTTAAAGTAATTTAGTTTAAATGTAAACTTTCGGTAGATCAATAACTTTAAACGAAACTTCATTCAGTGGTCTAGAACAAATTTGTGCCTCGTGTTGTCTTCATTTAAGTATCATTACTGACATGTTACGTTTTTAGGTAACAGGTGACGATTTTATTCACAACAGAGCTGTACACTTGTTTTAAATGTTAAAATTAAAAGAAAAACTCGATGGTGTTACTTTAAACACACACACGCACGCACACACACACACACACTTAAAGTTTGAAATTTATGCAGAGCGTGCATTCTATTACAAATCGTTTCTGTTGCACGCATGTAGACCTTTTGTCATACTGTTCATCTTTAGGTTTTAGACACAGCAAGTTGTGAAAGAACCTGGGCAGCCCGAAGCATTTCAATATCAGTTACAAGGGAAAGAAGCGAGAGAAAACAAACAGTTGTAGCAGTGTTCCAAAAATCACAAAATGCAGATCAATTGTATACTATTTCAGGCCCAGAAAAGTGGATAAAAAATTTGGAGAGGACAATCAGTATGGACTATCGGAACATTGTACTTGACATTGCTCGAAAGGGTACGGCAAAAAATCGGCACCAAAGATCACTCACCGGTTCTAATTACAAGGAGACAATTCTAACAAAAAACTTTTCAGAGAACTTGGGTTCGGCCTTGCAAGAGAACATTGATTTCAACGCAACAGTTCTGTACGAACATAAAGTGGACTGGAGTTTGCCAGTATTTGAAAACAGCAGTGAGAATTTAAATGATAGCAACTCGGCTGATCGTGGGAGAAATGACGCTATGGTTTACGTGCTAATTTCCACAGATGTTTGGTGTGTTTTTACCAACATAATGAACACACTGATTTGGACAAAGTTGAAAAAAGAGCCTCATTCCAAGCATTTTATATCTTTTTTCATTGTGCTCGCAGTTTCCGATGGTTTAACTTGCGCCATGAGATTCCCAATATATATGGCTAAGGGTATAGCTCCCTTACTTCCGAAATATGCAAGTAAAGACCTCAGGATGTTGCACGTCTATTGTAGTGCTATATCTAAACTGATATTTTACTTTTCGCATTTGCTATTGACCTCTATCTCAGTAGGGCGTTTCTTAGTCCTCAGATACCCTTTATTAATCTATAAACGAAAATCCGCCGTGAAAAAGTTAACATTTGTTTGGATATCAATTTTACTCTTTGTGGTGATTATAATAGCTATTACCCAATTTCAGACTTTGGCCTCCGGTAAAAAAATAGACAGAACACATGCCGAGATTGTTGCCATCGTTATACCCTTAGCGATCCAACTTATATCGGGCTCATGTTTGCTTCGACTCATGACCATTCGCAACTCCCAAGCGAAAGGGCCTACTGGTCCAGTTTCGCAGAGTTTGTCTGCTCAAAACAACATCACCGCGGCTATTACGTTTAACACATTAGCAGCGTTCATGTTAATCCTCCCGTACACTGTCCACACTACTTTAGTAAATGCTGGATTGGTTAAGCGCTCTGGTCTCATCACCCATATTCTCAGTACATTTCGCGTTATGAACTGTGGTGTTAATTTTATCATATACTTATTAACACATGTTAGATTTCGCAAAAAGATTCAGGAAGTGTTACACATTGATGTAATTTGTCGCAAAAATAAAATCCAGGCGAATCCCGAAACCGATAATGAGTCGATACAACAATCCGGCAATGGGGGTAATCCTTTCGAAACTTTTCAATTTATCCGACTGGGTGTAGTAAATAATTTGAATACTGTAGACACGATGCCCCAATCTAACGTAAATGGCCAAGAGTAAAGAATTCCCACAGAACCTTGAGTTGGACGTGTTGTCTGTAGCAACCACACAGCTTCACATCCAACTTCTGGTTCTCTTATTGGCGATCTTGTAATCAAATAGAGTATCCCGAGCGTTAATAACCAACATCTATACTAACCATAAGGTCTACCAATATTTTTTGGGGGGAAAGTAGGGATCGACTACTCCCGTTATTGAGCCTGTAAAAAACGCACAGACTTTTTATGGTTTTCTCTAAGTTAAGTTGTGATTCACACTTGTATTTTGCTTGTATCACGCACACTAAATATTGTTTTGCTTTGCTTTGTAGGTCGGTTGTATAAAATACATAAAAATGTACGTTTCCAGATAAATATTTTTCCTTGTTCATTTGTTAGGAACCTCTTTCAAACAATAACAGTAATAAATTGTACTATCAATTGGTGATATTTTTCTGCAAATGCCTTATCTGATTGGCATACCTGACTGTTCATTATCAAACTATTCGTTTATTTTATATTCACTGAATTGGCTGGCATTGAATGCTGCCAAGAAGAACGAATGTGAACCAAGTGCTCTTCTGATACCATAATGTCCATTTTATGTCTACATGAAAGGTGGCAGATAAATGGAGTCCCTCGAGGACTCGGCGTGATTACAATAAATGTGTCCGTGGTATCAATTTACACCTTAATAGGCAATTCCATATCCTTATCGACTACCATGCGTCAGAATAATATCAATTGTGGTTAATAGTATTTTGCGTCTGTTAATCATCCAATCAGTTGTACCTGGTGGATATTTCATTAAATAATTATCGATATCCGTTTCCTTAATAATATCAATACTGCCAAATCGCATAAGATTCCGCTCAATTCTAGGACTCATCGAGGCTTGGAGTTAGTAAAATCTCGGTAATAACATTAGCTAACTTCAGTGATTTTGATCGAGTGACGTCAAGTACAAAAAATTTCTATTTACTTAAATCAAATCTCGATACTTGTGCAGACAATCTCCCAGTTTCGGACTTGCAACAAATAAAAATCAAATTATACAACTATTCGCTTGATTAGTCTGGATACTGGCTCTTGTTGTCCTTTTTTTTTTTGTTCTTCGAATATTTTACTTGCATTGCTCGAGATAGTTCAAAATGACCCGATTAAGTGTCCACTTTCCGTATAACCATAGCGTTGTAACCCTAGCTTGCATTCGTAAAAACGTGATATTTCTTCCTTTAGGACTATTCAGTTAGATCTATAATGTTAAATGCGATATCTTGAATAAACTGCACAATGTGAGGGGAGCAGCCACCTCCTGTTATGAACCGGTACCTACAGCTAGGTTAGGCGCAGCAGTGGCAGAGTACAATACTAAAACATTCTTAGTTATTTTCTGATCATTTTAGGTGAAAAAGGTTAAGTGAATGTAGAGAACTGGTACTGAGGACATTTAGTACATGTATTTGGTTGGATGGAAACAAATGCAATAAATGCAACAAACCCTTGGAGTGCCGCAGTAATAAAGCAATAATTCAGAGTAATCAATCCCTATTAAATGCAGTTCCTAATCACTTCCCATTTGAGAAGAAAATCCTGCATATCACTCCCACTTTGGCAGGTTAACACGAAGGTCTTGTTATTAAATCATAAAGTAACAAGTGTGTTTGTGCTCAATGCATTTTGTCCTATCAAAAGCATACTTGCAGTAGGCAAGGCTAATGATAATGGAGTACAAGTTCGTTGATCAAATAACGTTCTTAAGCAGCTCAGAGGATAGCATGACACATTGACCTTTCATGCCATGGAAAATAAATTAGAACCAGGACTGGATGTGGAAGTGTCTGGTTGGCAGCTTGAATGTTGTAAGCCCTTGGAGTTATATTGGGGTGCTCTAAACACAAAAATCCCAGACTTCGCTGACTAAACCTGAAACTCTCTGGCTGACACAATATGTTTGACAGTTTTCCAATTATGTCTCCATCTGCATACTCCACTTATTCAACTTTTGACAACTTAAATTAATCTTTTCCCCCTCAAACTGAGTTGAAGTCAGTCATCATACTCCTCTGCTAGATCTTCATCAGGCACACACTAAAATACAATTGTGAATTACAGATTTAAAATTGCTCAACAATAAACCCAATGTGAGAGAGAGAGAGAGAGAGAGAGAGAGAGAGAGAGAGAGAGTTCTCAGGAATTAATCACATCAAATGATATAATAACAAGACATTTTTTAAATAAATAATAAGAAACTTGGAGGTTGTACTCACATAATACTCAACAAAGCACACTTGGCCATCATCAAGCTTGATCATAAATTGCAGTGACAGGAACCCTCTGTTATCAGTTCTAATGGAGACACGCACAGAAGACGCCAGAGCTTTCACGGAGGGTTTGATTAAAGAAACCTTGTACCTAAAAATTAAATTAATTCAGAAATAGGAACTAGTGAAATATATTAAAAAATGATACATAATATTCAGACACTTTTATCCAAGAATACCGCAAAAAAGTATAGAATCTGAATTTCTCCTTCAGGGATCTCAAAGCGTTATACATATTATCATTTTTCTCTTGGTTTTTTCATAGAAAAATAATGTCAACAATATGGCAAAAATACAGGAGTATTTACCTGTTTGTCTGGGTTTGTGCGCAGTTAAATGCTTCCATCATATCTGAATCCTTGGAAAAGTCAGACTGAAAAATAGTATGAAAAAACACACAAAAGTCATTTCTGCTTTTCTATAATGTCTAAATTTTGAGGAGAAAATCTTTTTTCAGATAATTTAAATGGCAACAACAAGAACAGCAACAGCAACAAAAGATACATAATAAATAAACAAATGTAATTTTCAAGTGAAGACAGCTGTGATTGAGACATACCCTTGAAAAACAACCAGACTTAGACAGAAATGGAAACCCATTTGTCATTAATTAAAACTAAATAGAATTACATGTGTACTCCCTGCATTTCCAAATGTGGACAGTCTGAAGTAAGGTCTGTCAGGTGACATCACTATCTGTAAAACTTCACTGGTCATGTCCAGTTCATTGAATGCTTCTTTAAGACACTCAGACTGAAATATTAGTCACTAATCATGAGCATATTAACACTTATCAGGAAACTTTTTATATCTTGGATGATGAACTATATATAATCAATAATTGCAATTAAGCTAAAAGATATAATAATCAATAACAATGCAAGTAATTTCTATTCTGCTTATTGTAAATAGTTAAGCATTTACTTTCATAATGATTTTGTTGATGACATTAGCACTGGAAAAGTTAAAATCAAGGGTGTCATCTGGTTCCAAAGTCTTGATACTGCAGTCTGTAAGAACTCCTTCCTCTTCCAGCCTGAAAAAAGAGTATTTTAAAATATTTTATTGTAACTGCATCCATTTAACATTTAGTAGACTTCCATAACTTAAACATTGTAAAAATGGTATATCTATTTGATTTATGTACAGATTCAGCAAGTACCGAAGGAATAAAAATCAACATGATTTGTTCAATTAAGCAACTTAAAGGTGTTATGTTATGATGATTCAATTCAAACAAAGTTTTTCACAAATTATGTCAAATGTGCACTTATTTTGTGAGATAAAGCCCATATTCTCTCTCCCTCTCTCTCTCTCACACACACACACACTTTTGCACACAATCACTATACTGGGACATGATGAATGCACCCATATAGTCAAGTATCAGTATGAACTATATTTTAGAAAAAAATTAATGTTCCTGCACATCCAGTTCAATAATTTCCACAGACAACTTCACAACCTAAGACTCATTCTTTTTTGTCAAAAAAGTATATATATTGTTTTCTTTCTTCATATGTTCCATTTTACGAAAACTTTTGCCGTGGGGCATGCATTTTACTCCTAAGGTCTTAAACTTTTTCCATTTATATGCTCATAGATAAGTAAGAATGTCATCCTTGATGTAAATTAATGTAAGGATCACAATCAAAACAAAAACAGACGAAAAATTAACCTAAAAACACACACACACTACATGAGTGCAACTAGTCCTTACATTAGCTTCAGAGGTGACCCATATCCACCATAACACATCTTCAAAGCTGCTGTCACACCAGGGTTGCTACTGCTTCCAAATATATTCAAACAGTCCTAAAAGGTAATGAACTACTTATAGATACAAAAGTCATATCATATACTGTATGTTTTGTCCAATACAGAAAAACATATTAAAGTAAAATATGTAATGCCATGTTTTACTACAGTTAAACAATGTTGACATTTGCTCAGTATATTAGAATGTGTATGTATGTACCTTGAATCAATGTGCAAGGTACATACATACACACATGCAACCCACTAAAAAAAGGATACCAACTTATTTAACATATTAAAATGAGCAAAGATATCACATACCAATAGTACTGTCAAGTTGATTTTGAATGTTGCTTGTTCCTCTTTGATGATAAATTCTTGAAATACTTCTGCTTGCAGAAATGCATTAGCCTGAACACACTTTGCATCTTCAACGGTTACTTTCAACCCCCTTTCACTGGCAAACACTGTGGCAGTCTACAGTATATGTCAAAATCAATAAGTTTAAAGAAAATTTTCAACAAGGCAGCAAAGCTGGGAAATATACAGACACAAAGCAAAAAATACTGATGCTAGATGGTAAAGCAGCTGATCTTAGCAGCACTATTCTGAGTGCTAGCTGGCAATGCTAAAAAACAAATCATTGTAATACCCCTTGCCTCAGTTTTTGGTCTTACATGCTAAAAGAGTTCTTACCACATATAGATAAATAGGTAAAGGTGCCTTCACAGGGGCTGATCCAATATTCTTTGAAGGGGGGTCCGATTCTTTAGAAATGACAGGCCTCAGATAAGAAGACGACCCTCAGCCCCAGGGTTCGGGGCCTGCTGAAGGGCCCCATAACATTTTGTTGTTTTAGAGGGCAAATGGTGCCTTTTCGAACAGTTAAGAACTTTAAATAAGCTATTAAAATTTCTAATTTCAAGAGGGGAATATAAGTGTGTTTTTTTCAGAAACCAAAGGGGGGGCAGGACCCCCCTGATACCCCCTCTAAATCCACCACTGCTACTGGGTACATGTAGCACGAAAGGCCAAAAACTGGGACATTTTTTTCGTAAAGGTGTACAACTAGTACTAGACTTGTACATAAGTATGCTATTTTAAGTCGTTTTTTGTGGTTTTTAGGTTTATCCACCAGGTGGATTTAATAACCATGGTGACTACCGAGGGTGGTATATTGCCACTGTAGACTAGCTGTAAGTTCTGCTCTTGCATGATGGGTCTGGTTAAAACAAAACCAGTTTTTACCTCTTTAAAATGAATCGCCTTTAGTATGTTTGACATTGTTCTCGCGTTGTCCATCTTTGCCACTAGTATATAATGCTCATCCTCTTCAGCTTGTTGTGTCAGTAATGCCATTTTGAGAGGTGAGGCCTTCAACTATATTTTCGAGAGGTTTACCCGCCAGACATTTCAAGTGTCGCAGGAAAAGCGTCTTATCGGGGTTTTAGCCTTAGTTTCGCAGAATTCAGTTCCAGATTTTCCGCTAGAGGGCACTTGGGTGACACCTGAGCAGTTTATCAAACAGTGCTCGCTGTCTCCATGCAAAAGATGTACTTGAAAATGATAAAAAGGTATAGATGTTTTGCAAATAACTCATTAGAACAGAGAAAGTTATTTAAAGTTTCTCGAGGGTTCCAAAAACACGGAAATATATGTTTTGGGTCATTCCGTAAAAGAAAAGGCAACGGCCAGAAATCAGAAAAATGTCCTGCCAAAGCAGAAAGACCTTTTTCAAAAGGTTATATAAACAAATTATTCATAAAATAAGGTGTAGATCTAATTTTATGAGGGAATTTATTCCGTTCATTTGGAGTTTCATCAGGCAAAGATAAAGCTACAAGAACAATCAAGGTTTTCACGATATTACTTGATATTTGAGGAAATATTTAGTAGGAAAAATATATGTGTAAATTTAAAATTCACGATGAAATCAACCTTAAGTTTAAACGTATACTTATTTACCCGTGGCAAATAATAGCCTCGAAACTAAAGGTGGTACGGCTATTAGCGCTCGGTCGCAAATTGCGATGGTTTCGAGTTATGGAATAGCGACGAATCGCCATGGTTGCGCTTAGTGGCAATTCACGATGCTGTCGAGTTACGGAGCCCAGTATAAGTTTGTGTTTTAAATTTCATTTTTGTGACATACGACTAGATGATTAACGTACATGTTTAAGAAAACTGTTCGTTTATATGCAGGCGCGTAGACAACATCTCATTTATACCTACGTTATACACGTTTATGCGGGATATGGGGGTATACGCACCAATATTCCACCGGTACGAATAAGAATCTCTCGTCCTTTTGCAAGGCCTAGGCGGATTTGAAATTATATTCTCAAAATTATTGAACAAACCCCTTCACCTAAACGATATATCATAGATGTTATACAAACAACTACATTTCCTTGTCTCAGTACTGGATGATTTACTACCGGGGTAAGTGTTTCTGCATTTCGCTCTTTTTTTAATAATAAATAGACGAATCGTTGAAATTCACTAAAATATATATCAGATGATAACAGCAGCATATTTGAGAAACGAGAAAGATGATAAACACAGAATTTACAGATTTTACTGAAAATGCATCAATAATTACAAAATGTTATTTCACTCCTTTTACACATTTGTATTGCAAATTACAAAATGACAAACATACATTAGCGTAGATAAGTGAACAACGCAGTTACTAACAATCAGTCTGTGTGCAATGACAAGTAAAGCTTATGGTTTGAACTAGAAACATCCATCCTCTGCATTCTTGTTTAATTTCAATAGATTACGGTTGAATACAGTTTTGATCGGTATGAACTATCTACAACTCTGTGCCGTGTTTTCTCCTCTCCATCTCTCTCACATGCTCTAATTTTGACCAGACAGTTATACTTTTGGGACTGTTCTACGTTTGATTAAGCAACAACACCGCCGCGTCAATATCAAAATGGAAACACTCAAAAGTATAGAGGCAATAAGAAAATTTACTTTAAAATTTTGAATGCGCATCAAATTAACCAGGCAAATCTTGAATCAGTTCTAAATATAAAAAAAGAGGCCTATTTGGCTACTTTTAGTAACTCCTCTGCTGTTTTCGTCGCCGACGCTGGGTTTTGGCCTGTCACAACCCTGCGAGACACCTGCCAAAAAAGAACATCAACCTGCATAAGCATGTTACATTGTATCTGCAACATATGAGTGTACTGTACTGCATGTGACAATTAACACACATGAGAATCATACAAAATATAGTGACATAATCTTGAGCCTTATATATTTGTAGCTCTATAGGCGCATTTTTCTAGATTCAGAGTTCAGATTGATATGCAGGAGAACAGAAAGAAAGAAACATAACAGCATCAGCAATCTTTTGGACAACCATTTTAAGAATGCGTTGTAGGCTGTTTAAGGAAAGTTATGGTTTGAAAACTTATTTACAGTAGTGTCCGAGCCGACAAATCATAAATAAAATCGTTATTTCCCCCACTCGTTAAGGAACCTTGTTTGCTGAAGTACTTTACAGTGTTCGCAGCTAATTATATATCTGGAGGGAGAAATGCACCCCACTTAACATTTTATTCTTCAAATCTATTCAAAGTCACAAAAGTTAACTAACAAAAACATGATTTTGTCTATTTGATAAATAAGAGATCTATAAGTATGGCCTAAATTGATGTATTACCTGCACGTTACAAGCAAAATTATCAGCTCCTTCAAACACTGCCTCCAATTCCTTCAGTCGCGTCTCAAGTAAAAACGGCATTGCCCCATCAAGATTTACCGCTTTCTCCTCTGCGTCTGTGAAGGAGGTCAACTTTAAGCCTTTGATCAGAAGTTCACCACTGGAGAGTTTTACGGGAATAAGACCTGTAATCATCAAAAAAGCGATATCAGGACCTAAGGCGTGAGCCTATTTTCACGATTATCCGGTAAAGATATGTATTTAATACCGTTGTCAACTAAAAAATACCTTTGGCAAATAAAAAAATGCGACTCGGTTCACGAATTCCGATATGTTATCAAATACCATAAAAACAAAATGGCGCTTCTCAGATTGTTCAATTTAAAAGGCACGTGGGGCGAATTTTTGGTTCGAACAAAATAAACCAGTTGGAGGATTTTGATCCTAGTCCCGATACCCATTAATCTAATCCATCTGGCTTATTCACCATGTGGATAAGGTTAATAAGTATCGGAAGCAGGATCAAAATTTATCTATATGGTCTATTTTGTTCGAGTATTTCGTCTTTCAACGTATGATATCCAAATGCGTTTTCAAAGTCTAGTCCGATCGTTTGACTAGGTCTATACGACAGAAAGCTATTCCGTTGTATTCTCCAAACGCCCTCTGGCTTCCCGGCGTAATAAATCTCGAATTACGATGCTTCTTTTTTTAATTTTGAATAAAGCTATATGTTTTAAATGTAACAAACTTACATTTAATCATGGCATTAAAACCAAAAAAAATGCTTCATATCAAAAAATGTCTCATTCCACTTACAATATGCCTATTTAGACCTAAGTTAAATTATTTTTAGGCTTACCAAAGATATCCAAATGTACATACCCACTGTCCCATGGCAAACAGCTCCCACAGCTCCCTCAGCCTCATAAACTGCTGTGGCAAGTTTGGCAATTTCCACATTATCTGGTAAGTCAAACATTGGGCCATGACCACCGGCATAGAAAATTATTTTATATTCCCTAAAAATAATGTAAACATTTCATTGAAACACAGACATTTTCTCTACACTTAACTCCAACTCCAAGAAATCAAAGGGGGAAACGCACTTTTCAGATGTTTTAATAGTCCAACTTAAAAAAATACTACAACGTAGAGCTGAAATCTGATAATGAACCTTCAAAATAACCTGCAACTTACCCAGGTGTAACCTGTGCCGGTGTTTTGGTGTTAGCTATGGCATCCATGGCGGTCTCGTTCGCCAAGAAAGCCTTGCAGACGGCATCGTCTTTGAAGGCTTCAGCACTCCCTGGGTCCTATAAATATATGTAAGTTTTTAATCATGGTGGAAGAGGTTGCATTGATTTGTTTGGTGGTGCTACATGCATTAATCAAAATACGTGTAACAGATAAGTTTAAAAATAAGGAAGAAAAAAAGATGCTGTAGGCTACACCCATGGCTCACAGCATTTTTGGTCCGAAAAGCAAGCTTAGTAGGCCTACAAAAGTAATTCTAATTTATGCTACATGGTGTAATTTGAATATTGTAAATAATGATTTTCAGACATCTAGGAGGACTTAACAAAGAGATAAGACAGGTCTACGCTTACGAAAAGGTCCCGAAAGACCAACGTAATCTTTGACAAATAATACGTTTTATTTGTCCAAGACGTAATTAACTTTCAATATTGTAATCTAATCAAACCTGCCGGTGACCGTTTTTCGCCGTTTTAACAGCTCTCAAGATTGACGAGATAGGCCAATGTGAATCGCTTTTAAATATATATCCCAATATCCGCAACCGATCGCTTCGAAAATTACACTATACTAGTAATGAAGTATGCAGATTACAGACTGTATCAGGGATTTTGTAGGAAATTGTTTGTTTGAAAGCTATCACCTTTAAAGTGACCAACCCGTTGTTCAAAATATCGAGTAACTTAAGGCAAAAGACGATATTTAAAATGAGATAGAAGTCTTTAAGGGATTTCTTGGTATCACTACTGATACAGTTCCTTACGAAAAAGTCCTATAGGATCCTCGGTTTCGTTACACTGGCACCTCGTAACTAAAAACAGGACTGGTCGATGACTAGGCATGAACTCACCGGGCCCCTAATAAATGGCCTGTGGTAGATAAATTATAATGACATATGGAGTAAGCTACGCTAGAGCTCCTTATTGACACGACCACTAGCAGTTGGTATGACAATTCGGTGAACAGGAACAGAATTTAGAATGTAGTGGAGACACATTTGCTTCACGATACGAAGTTTCTGGAGAACGAGGTATGAGGACACGCCCTGCTTTGTCTGAACACCTCAATTAGACCAGGAAATGCAATTTGTTCTCAAGTCATTCCATTGACATAGTCCACATTAAATACAAATGAAAATTATCGAATGATAAGCTCAAGTTTAAAAAAAAGGCAGGCAAGTTTCAACAATCATGTTATAGCTCACAGGTAAATATATAGAGTCTTACCATAGGAGCCATTCCTCCATTGGGGCTTACAAAGTCTACCTGGACACCGGCCTTGGTGAAAACTTCATATGGATGTGCAACTTCGGGGAGATACCATCCAGTCTTCATGCCAACTGTTTTAATCTCAGAGCAGCTGGTGAGGACGAACAGGGCCTTCATCTTGACGGTGGTTGTCCGGACTTCCAAGTTCGACTCCAATCTAGGTCATTCCATTTATGTAGCAACAATGCGCAGGCGGCACCTTTGTCATGTGCTTTGCGGCTTTAATAACTTGTATAAATATATCCACGTGACAGTGACACTGCAAGTTTTACGCGTGAAGAACACCGTGGCTCTAGGTTTTAGCTTGGACATAATAACGAAGTATCGCGGAGATCAGACCACTGCTTCGGTGTCGAAATATTCCAGGGTTAAGATTTTAAATGCTACTATAATCGAAGTGCTCAAATCGCATTATTTTGGTGCTTTTCAAGGATTCGTCAACCATGATTTTGCAAATTTTGTTACGTTTCACGTGAACTAGACAATAAATAAATAAACTGAAAAGTAAATATTAAAACAAATAATTTAAGATAGATTCAGTTACATTAACGAATTAAATGAATAATTTAATAAAGAAATTGATTTTCCTTTCATCACCAAGGTGTTCCTTATCGTAAATTGTTGACAAAATTACGATCCAGACATCCGTTTATGAGTTCTGGATTTTTTTATATTGTCTGACAATATTGCACCACGAAGCCCCCCATTTACATGTACGGCATATTAACTGGTATAAGAGTGAAAACGGGTTTATGAGTTCTTTTAACGGTTTTTGATATGCCATGTATGGTATACCCGGGAGATGAAAAAGGTATGTGCGCTAGACAATTTCATTCATGTATTTTTTATGTCTACACTTGAACTAAGGCTCTATTCCCATAGATTTTAGATCGATCTATTCCCGCGGGGAGTCTCACTAGATTACTTTCAGATAATCCGGCTTAAATGTCCGTCCCGCCTACTACAAGCTGTAAGGGGGTAATTAACTTTCGTGTCCGCCCGGCTGACAGCTACTTAGCGTGAACCCCCAGGGAGTTAGGTCGATCTAAAGTAGGTCGATCTAATCTATGGAAATGGGGTGTAATAAAACGCTTTTTCGCCCAAGAAGTTACATATCTCTCTCATTCGACCAAGGTAAATGCGGTCTAGGTGAATGGCCAGTCATAGAACTCTGAACTAAATTACTTAATTAGAGAAAATATAGACATCGAACCCAGGGGCAGATCGAGCACTGATTTGTGAGTAAGGAAAAATGACTTTTATCGAGGAAATTCGATTTGGAAGATAATTCCGAATGGAATACCTTTAAGAGAAAGTATTGAAATTTAAAAATGAAAAAAAAAAATACTTACGCTCATTGCATGCTTTAAGTTCATATTTTGCTTACTTAATTTGAGTTGCTTGTATGTAAAAATTGTATAAATACGCGCTGCAGCTACATTTTATCAGCCTAAAAATACCCTTATAGATTAATCCACTGCTATATTAGCCTTTTTTATGAATTGGAATGAACACACTTCAGGGGCGGATCGAGGATTATTTGAAGGGGGGGGGGGGGGGGTCCGGAACGACAAGCCTCGGATGCAAAGCCGACCATCACCCCCTTGACGTGGGCCTGCTCAAGTGCCCGAAATTTTTTAGTGTTTTGGAGGGCAAACGGTACCCTTTGGTACGGTACGGTTAAGGGGGCCGTAGCGATAGTCCGAAGGTTCAATAGTCCGAAGGTTCATTGGTCCGAATGTTCACTATAGAACCTTCGGACCAATGAACCCTTGATTAAAAAATCGATGAAAATGTAACCACTTTTCGGACCAATGAACCTTCGGACTATCGAGACACCCCCCGGTTAAGAACTGATATAGCTATACTCACAATTCTAATTTTAAGAGGGGAATATTGGTGTGATATATTTTAGAAACTGAAGGGTCAAGACCCCCCTGACGCCCCCTCTAAACCCGCCACTGAACTTGGCCAATAGTCCTCCACCTCTTTGAATTATTTTTTCTTGGTTTTGTACCCGACCTTTACTTGCATGATATGAGGACTGTTTCTGTATTCTCCGCCGAAGTTATACCTTGCATTCGAAAGATATGCACAGCACAGCCTATCTTCATGAGCTATCTCTATTTTGTGTTTGATAACATAGTCATTTTAGGCTCAAAATTCCACATCAAAAGACGAATGCGACGTGGCCCGGGGCAATCTCGTTTCCATGGGACCTGTTTAACTACTAGACACGGACATGTCGATTCCGTGTTTTATAACATATTCATTTTGGGATCAAAACACCACAGTAAATGAAAAATGTGACACGGCTCGTGTCAATTTCGCATATTATATAAGATCCAACATCGACATGGTTCACATCGCTTTTGCATGTTTGGGGACCATCTAAATCGCATGCACAGGCTACTAAGGGGCTTGGTACATTCCATTATTCAGTGACAACAGAGCAAGTCTTGTAGAGAGCGCAGGGCCGTTTATGACGTAGAATTTCGACGTTTCGCTTGAAAAAGAAATGTTTTAAATATTGCTCATTGAGGATATATATTGTCAATCAATTGCATATATATATAATTGTATGATTCCCTGATCAAGTAACAAAGTATTCTTTCTTTTTTTTTAATTTTGAAAAAAAAAAAAGAAATGACATTTACAATTAATACATCTTTATCTCTTTCAAACACTTTCAGGAATCCATAAAATATAAGTCGAACTGATAGCAAAGCAAAACCGAAGGAAAAATATGTATCTTATTTTTATTTTTTACATGTACCATATACCTATTTACATTTATTTTTTTACTCTTATCATCATTGTAAAAAAACTTTCTTTCAATTTCTTGTTTGAGATATACATGTACACAAGTAAATAAGTGGATAGTTCATATAAATTTCCTAATCCTGTGATGTATGCCATTCAGCACATGAATGAGTTTTCATGAGATAAATTTCTCCCTTTTTTTTTTACTACGGGGATTTTAGATTTTTTCAGTCCTAAGATGGCTGCACTGATCGTCCTATTACATGTGCTGCTTCTACTACTGTGTGCTGTGGTCTCCTCACACGGGGATCTGATACAGGGACGTTCATCCTGAAAAAAAACAAAATCAAGTTCTTTTTATTTCATCTTTACACACAACATAGTATTCTCCTTTTACTTTTTACAAAATTGGGATTATTTCTAACATAAAGGCCAATCTAAAGAAAAGAATAGTAAGAAGTGGTATAGTGGATTTTACAATAGTGTTAAGTTAAATAATGCCAGTTAAGAATATATAATATCTACAGCTAAGTAAAAATTAAAATTTTGCTCCACATACTTGACATTTGTTTGATTATTGACAATGAAGAGAGGGTTCACTTGGCTCAGAATCTCATCATTCACAGAGATACCATCCAAATACTGCTTCAACAACATGCGCAGTTTCTGGTTTTCATCCACCAATGTATGCTTTTCCTTGTCCAATGCACACTTGTCTAGTAGAACTTTGTTATAGCGCTTCCAAAAGTTTTCTAAGGCAGCATACTCATGCATAACCTGAAATGTGGGACATCAATTAAGGTCACTGGTTTGTTCAAAGTTTTGTTCTGTACCATCAAATTGTGAAAAATATCACTGCACAATATTTAACTCAAAACCAAAAATATTAAATAATCTGTACTAGTGATTCTCTTGTTTCTCCCCATTGCAGTAAAAAATTCAACTGATCAATGTTGCATCTCTGTAGAGGTAGTACTATCTTGGGCACTGAAATACTATTTATGCATGATACACTTACCGAGGCTAATCTTTCTGATGGTGGTTCAGCCACAGCTGCTGCCACATCTTCCTGTTCTTCTTGTGTCAAAGATGAGGCATAAAATGGAAGCACTTTCTCTTCCTCTGTCTCACACTTTCTGCTCATTTCAGCTAATTTTAGGATACGCTCACCCTAAATTAATGACAAAAATTTATCTTATAATTTCTTACACTTTCTACAAAGTGTGCAGCTAGTATTTAAAAATAAAAAACCAATTACTATACTTCTAAACAAAAATTAAGAGGTAAACATCATTCAATGGGCCAAATCTGCTATAGACAACTTAATTGTTAAAATTTTCTATTTTAGATTTATGAGAAGAATATTCCAGGTCAATTATAATCCTTCGCTAGGATAATCATTAAATGGAAAAAATATTTCCTCACCTTTTCTGACACTCTTTTTAGTTCCTTTATTGATGCATTGCTTTCCAACGTTAATTTTGTTAATCTTTCTCTCTCTAAGTCACGTAGCTTGTTCATCTGGGATTTTAGTTCTCTGAAGTGTGCTACCATAACTTCTCGTTCCTAGAATAAGGTATATAAAATTGTTATTTATTTACAAAATCTTTTTTAAAAAAGGTATACGCTCCATGATGTCTCTTCACAGAGTTAGAGTAAGTCGATAAAAGCTGTCAGTTGCAAACAAGTCCAGATGACAACAGAATGGAACCATCAGCAGCATACTAAAAAGGTACAAATCTGAACAATGAATATTCACACTATAATCATGAATGAATATTTCAAATATGAGAAACAAATTGCAGATAATTTTGTATTTGTGTGAAATATTTCATGGCAACTAACTGCAAAAATGTACTTACCTCTTTAAGGTGTCTATTTCGCTCTTCATTTTCTTTGGCATTTTGTGCCATCTTTGCTTTCAGCTGACTAATGTGATCTGCAATTCTTTGCAATTTCCTCATCTGTGTTTCTATTTCACTAGCACTTTTTTCATCCTTAGTTTTTAAATCCTCAAATGCTTTGCGCCTTTCCTCTGTTGTTGAGCTATAAGTTTGTAAAGAGTTCTCAAAGTCTTTCCATAATCCTTCCACCTTTCCTTCCAAATTGACCCTCAGTGCATGCTTCTCTTCCAAATTCTAAAATAAAGGGAACATTTTTAAATCAATACATTCATGTGTCACTAAATGTGTAATTCTAAATGTAAGGTCAAGCAAAGCTGTATTAAATGACACCTCTTTGCAAAATATAAAAATAAAAATACATCTGATGTTAGTTAGAAGTGACTTAAAAGTAATAAATGGTAAACTTACTTTATTTTTAATCTCATCCCTCAGGCTCTGGAAATCAGATTTTGCATCATTTTCACGCTCATTAAAGTTCTGCTCCATAGCAAACATAATATCTGCCAAATCATTCATTTCCTGCAAATGCTGTTCAATCATGAGTGCTCTCTCTGTATCAAACTCCTTCTTTAGCATTTCCAATTCTTCCTCATATTCCAATTTCAGTGTGTCTAACCTCTGGTTTTGGAGGGCTGTCAAACAATATAACACATCAGTTAAAAAGGCTGTTCAAATGAATTTCTTAACATTAATTCCTTCAAAAAGAATTTTCATTTGACATTTTTTCTTTTTACTTTAAAAACAAATATAAAAATATAGCCTTGTAAAAATATAGCCTAATGCAGGGTTCATACTATGAATCTATCAACTAAAAGGATTATTGCAGCTGTATGCCAAGAAATGTGAAGATATTTATAACATATTTATGGCTTACCTATCAAATTGTCAACATTCTGCAAATGACTTCTTAATGCCATGGCATATTGCTCTTCTGCTTCCAATAAATCTTTAGCCAGAGACTTGATAACACTTTCCTTTCTATCCACAATTCTTTCAAATGTCTGACTTAGGATCTCAATGTCCTTCTTGAGTTCCTTAGATTTTGCTTCTCTCATGATGTTGCGCCATTGGTGATTGAGCTTGTATAAATTGAATTTTGAGGCTCTTTCTTCTTTGGACAGTTTATCCTAAAGAACATTAATATAGAACCAAACATAAACAGCATATAAATAGTATTGAGAAAGAGATACATGAGATATTCATACCATCTTCACCAAGTTACAGAGACCATTCTTATCTGAGCATATAGTGCAAGTGAAAACTTATTAGGATCTGCAACAAGATGAATATCTGTAGTAACAAGTTATACATTTTAATTAGAAAAATAGAAAAATAAAATATTATTGTGAGCAAATGTGTACCTTTAGAAACTGAGTAAGCATGTCTTCTTTCTTTTTCCTCATCTCTTCCTCTGCTAGCCTCTGTGTCTCCATATACAGAAGCCTCTCCTCCTCCGTCATCTTGGACAGTTTGCCTGACTTTTTCTTTGGCATTTTGGTATCTAAAATAAACAGAATAATCCCATATATCTAAGTCACAAGACAGAGTTCAAAACATCTAAAAATTTTTGAACCAAAAACTCATACATGCGAAGGATACATAGATATGAATTTTTCACAGGCTTACCTATCTCTCACACTCACATGCCTGGTCAAAATATGCATGTTGCCAAAATATGTATGACTCAGATTAGCATATTACTGATAACTGCCAAATAAATATCTTCAAAAAGGACATCAAAATTATCATTTCAAGTTCAAAACACAACATTGAAAGACATGATGACTTTGACTGCATACATTACCAGTGTTCATAAGTGCAGAACCAGCAATATTTTAATCATTCCAACCACTGTTTTTTCGCCACTACCCCATCAGTGGTATTTTTAGGTTTATTTATGCAAAAATGCTCTGATGTAAATCTATGCAGTATGACCACAATATGCACATGTTGCTTTCCATATTTGTTCATCTCCAGACATTTTTTTTTTTTTGTGGCAGATGTACATGGAGTACCATCTTGTACATGTAGAATCGTACTATTCTACTGTATTTTTTACCTGACACTTGCATTTATAATGTTTTCACCAGATGCAGGAACTTCACAATAAAAATAAAAACCTTGTGCATTTTACATGCAGCAACAGTGACCTTATCAGTAGCAAAAGTACATGTACTAAGACAAATATTATCAGAAGCAATGTTTTCTCAGTCAGAACCACATATATTTGGAACAGTTTGCATATAGAAGTTGTCACAGCACTGCCAATCAATAGTTTTGAAAACAAACTTGATAAGCTTTGGAAGGACTTACCAATTCTATTTCAATGTACTGGGGGGGGGGGGGGGGGTAATTGTGAAGAACCACAACATTCCAGAGATAAAACTTACATAATATTCCATAGAACCAAGGTAGCAGGCAATGAATAGCCGACTGCAGAGTTGCTGGGATGACCCTTTAGTGATCTATCATAATTTGCATAGGTAGGTAAGACTGGGCTCAATATTTTCAATTTGTGAAGATTTACGACTTCAGTGCCAAAGTGTCAAACAACTTGTCAAATGCATAAAGTGTCGATCAATCATCAAAACACATTTTAACAGTACCATGAGAGATATACGTTCTCTACTCATTTCCAAGTTTGATGCATAGAAAAATCCCATTATTCATATGCTTGCAATATCTTACCTTAATTTGACTAAACCACGAAAATATATTGATAGTATAATGTCGGATGTCGCAGTGTTCACGGATTCTTTGTTGCTACGGACAACAACCGGAAGTAAACATGGAAAATAGATGTCGCTAGTCAAAATCAAGCCCGCTCACCGCTCGCTCACCGTCGATTGATTCCTGCGTCATCATAGGCGTTCGGAAGATAGCCGGAAATTGTCGAGGAGTTCCGAATGAATCAAGCCCTTACTCTCAAAGCTAAGTTTTTGTTTTAGGGAAACCTTTATAAAAATATATTTAATACTTTGTACTTAACCTTATAATAACAAATAGTTTCCATGTCATTCTTTATTTTATTTGATTTAAAGTATCTGGGGACTAGTGTTCGCAGGTCAAGGCCACAGATTGCACGTGTCACATGTAAACAGCTCGGCGATTAAATCTTCAGCACTCCAGCATGGATAAATGCCCATGTAAAGTTGGGGTTGTTGGATTTGGACACCTTGGTTAGTGTGCTTTTGAAAATAAATCAACATGTTTTTAATTTTTATTTTTAAAATTACATGTACATATACTTAATAAAAAAGCGGTTGTAGGGCCGATAGAGACTACACGTACAAATGCTGGTAGGCTCGAATAATGTTTTCAGTCTTACAATTTTATGTATTCTTACATGTAGCTGCGCTTACCCTCTAGAATGCAGCGTCGAAAACTGAGAAAATGTGATCGGCTGGAACACTGCATGTTGGGAATATCACTTTAACTACTTAGATTTATTTATTTATTTATTTATTACACTCCATGAGATTTACTCGTCAAATGGCTTTGCCCAGGAAAATAAGCAATTTTCTCGTACTCACGAGTCATTTATCTATCCCTCTCTGCACTTGGATTTGACTTTTGATAAAATTCATAAAAGCTGGTTTTAGCTTAAAATGACTGGCCAGTCATATTATAACAGTGACCTATTTCCTATCCAAGCTCCAATGGAAATATCATCATCAGGTACATTCTAGAAACAATATTTAAGGGGTTATATCATTTTTTAAGGTATATTTAAGGTTTTATAAGAAGCTGCGGCTGGCAAAAATAAGCATATTGGGGATTTTCAAATCCATGTAATGTACCTTTAATATATGATATATTAAATTTTCATACTGCCTGGTAGTGTACATGCATATTTTAATTCCTGAGTGAGTACAGTGCCATTGTACTGTTATTACTTTCATTTTATATTTGATTTTTAAGGTCAGTACTTGGTTGATGCTATTCAGGCAAGAAGTGACCTAGAACTGGCATTTGTATGGAACAGGACAATTGATGTAGTTAAAGGAAAGCTTGACAACAGTTATATTTTAGAAGACTTGAGTCAATTTGCTACAAGGTACATGTACTAGTAATGTACCGCACTGTGTTGGTACATGTGCATATGTATAAACAGTGTGTTTCCCTGAATATTTATCTAATAATTAATGTGTAAATAAAAGTTCTATAGTAAATATATAGTGTTCCATGCTAATCGTCACTGTGATTGCATAGGATTGCACAGTATAGTTTCAAAAATGTCTTGGCAGTGTACTGTAACACGACTGGCCCAAGACACACACTCACAAAGTGAGTTATAAAGAAGAGCACACTGCATGATGGACCGATTTTGCCACCTTAATGATAAAATTTTAATGCATGTTAATTGAATTAAAATGTTAAAGGGATAGTAACTCTTCTTATGAGATCTATATTTCACAATAAAAACATTGTGAACAACTCATAGAAATATAATATATTGTGCTGTACCACAAAAACGGCAGTTATAGCTATTATTTTGATATCTGAGCTTGTCTTTAAATCACATAACCTCCATTGATGGCTATACTCTGTTATAATCTCTTAAGAGATTATAACAAAAAAAAAAAACTTTTTAGAAAAAAACCAGGAACTAACTTTGAATATAAAAATGGATTCATTAACCATTGGTAAGTATGGGAAAATTGTTGTTCACTCCAGGAAAATTCATTTTTTGGCCAAAACGAAGAGTTATTATCCCTTTAATCTATATGTTTCTCAATTTTCACTGGCACTTTTTAATTTTATATTTTAGAAATGCTGACCTGATTGTTGAGGTAGCCCATCCTAGTATTTCAAAACAATATGGATCAAAATTTCTACAATGTGCAGATTATATGGTAATTTTATTTGGGTAATATTGTGGATTTTTGATGTTAATGTTTAGGAAGAACATGAACAAGTGACACAGACAACTGTTGTTGAGCATGTGAGATAAATGCATGTGAAAAATATGTTATGTGGATTATTGCCCTTGATCTCAGGTTGGCTCCCCAACAGCCCTGGCTGATCAAGAAGTAGAAACTGAGTTGAGAAATGCAGCAAAGATCCATGGACTTTATATACCAAGTGGAGCATTTTGGGGAGGAGAAGATATCAAGAAAATGGCTGATAGAGGGTCATTGCAGGTGTTTAAACCATGCTTTATCTGAAATTATTTACTGTCCTCTACAGAATTACCTGAGTATTTTTGCTTGGAATTAATGGAAGTACTTTATTTGCTTGTGACAACAATTTCATCTGTTAATTTTAATTATTCTGAAATAATTTCTGAAACCTTGGCAATGTATTATTGTTATTTAACTAATACAGATTTATTTTAGGGATTAAAAGTAACAATGAAGAAGCATCCTCAAAGTTTTAAACTTCATGGAAAACTCAGAGATTTAAATGACACTGTTAAGACTGAGGCAGCTGTTTTGTATGATGGTAATATTTTTATTTTGTAGGAGCTATCTTGAAATTAAAAAGTTACTGTTGATTGTTCACTATTGAACTTGGAATTATAATGCATGTTGCATATCATTCAATGTAATATCATTTCAATTGCTAGATTCAGACAGATTGGTCAGTGGAATGTTTATAGTTCAACCTTTACCTCATTGTCACTATTATGCAATTAGCATATTTTTGGTGACATCCTACTTGATACTCTTCTTTTATACTCATGCAGCTGCAATTGTTTTTGTTATACTGCACTCAATAGGTCCAGTGAGGGATCTCTGTCCTTTGGCACCTAATAATGTCAATACTATGGCAGTAGCAGCTATAGCAGCATATAACCTGGGTTTTGACCAAGTGCAAGGATGTTTGGTTTCTGATCCAAGGTTTGTCATGTCCTGTTTTTATTCTTATTTATAATTGATTAATGCTAAAAAAGGAAAAGAGACTGGTTTATAGTTCATTCATTAAATTTTCTCATGTAGTGCACAAGTTAAAAGTTCCACATTCTTAAAGGGATAACAACTGTTGATTTTGGTCAAAAAATGAATTTTCTTGGGGTAAGCAACATTTTCCCAAAGGTACCAATAATTAATGAATTCATTCTGACATTCAAAGTTAGTCCCTGCTTTTTTTTATAAAAAAGTTTTATTTTTTGTTATAATGATTACAGAGGGTAGCCATCTATGGATGGCAAGAATGGATTTCAGAAAAACTGTGTTAACCACTGTTTTGGTGGTAAAAGAGAATTTATTATATTTCTATTAGTTGTTTACAATGCATTTATTGTGAAATATCGATCTCATGCGAAGAGTTGCTATCCCTTTAAACACAAAATATCACTACCACCCAGTATAGTGGAATAACAGTGTTGTTGTTGTTGTTGGGTGAAGCAGTACTATAAATGCAATATTTACATTAAAAAAGATGATGAGCATCTGTAACTTGTGACTGTAGCTAGTCTTGAATTGCAGCCTGACGGACTGGCACATTGTGGAGGTGGATGTATTTGGGCCAGGTGACATGAAATCTGGCACCTGTTTTCAAGTTAACACATCAAGAAAAAATCCTTCTAAACTTGGAGCTGTGACAGGCACTGCTACCTATGCATCATTTCTTAGCAGCCTCTTAGGTAAAAACCTTTCGCACATTTAAAAGTGTTTATGCGTCAATCATGTGAACTGTCTAGTAAAATTTTTTGGAGGAAGTCCTTCAGTTGATTTCAATGTAAAAAGGACATATTTCATATGGCAGTTTTTGAGTTCTGAATCAGTTCTTTTTATCTTATCACTATTAATTTTAAATTCTTTTTAATATTTAAGGAGCCAGGGGAAAAGGTGCAGGAACCCATTTGTGCTGAACTCGAGTCAAAAGAACCAGAATGATATTACCTAAACAGCTGAACAAAACTTTGGCACTAGGAAACAAAAACAATACAAGTTAAAACATCATTACAACAAGGCAGTTCTATAAAGAACTACGAGAGACCAAAAACTAATTCCAGTTTAAATACTTAAAATCTCTTCTTAATCCTAGAAAAGGCTACAGGCTTTGGCAGTGCTAAAAATCATTTTCGGATCGTCAATCAGGAAAAGAAATTTGCTTTGTTCATCCAATAAATCAAAATCTGGCTTAAAACATTTAGCAGTTCTTATTAAATCAATATGATGATCATTAAAAAAAGGACAATTAATTAAGAAATGAANAAGAAGCATCCTCAAAGTTTTAAACTTCATGGAAAACTCAGAGATTTAAATGACACTGTTAAGACCGAGGCAGCTGTTTTGTATGATGGTAATATTTTTATTTTGTAGGAGCTATCTTGAAATTAAAAAGTTACTGTTGATTGTTCAATATTGAACTTGGAATTATAATGCATGTTGCATATCATTCAATGTAATATCATTTCAATTGCTAGATTCAGACAGATTGGTCAGTGGAATGTTTATAGTTCAACCTTTACCTCATTGTCACTATTATGCAATTAGCATATTTTTGGTGACATCCTACTTGATACTCTTCTTTTATACTCATGCAGCTGCAATTGTTTTTGTTATACTGCACTCAATAGGTCCAGTGAGGGATCTCTGTCCTTTGGCACCTAATAATGTCAATACTATGGCAGTAGCAGCTATAGCAGCATATAACCTGGGTTTTGACCAAGTGCAAGGATGTTTGGTTTCTGATCCAAGGTTTGTCATGTCCGGTTTTTATTCTTATTTATAATTGATTAATGCTAAAAAAGGAAAAGAGACTGGTTTATAGTTCATTCATTGAATTTTCTCATGTAGTGCACAAGTTAAAAGTTCCACATTCTTAAAGGGATAACAACTGTTGATTTTGGTCAAAAAATGAATTTTCTTGGGGTAAGCAACATTTTCCCAAAGTTACCAATAATTAATGAATTCATTCTGACATTCAAAGTTAGTCCCTGCTTTTTTTTATAAAAAAGTTTTATTTTTTGTTATAATGATTACAGAGGGTAGCCATCTATGGATGGCAAGAATGGATTTCAGAAAAACTGTGTTAACCACTGTTTTGGTGGTAAAAGAGAATTTATTATATTTCTATTAGTTGTTTACAATGCATTTATTGTGAAATATCGATCTCATGCGAAGAGTTGCTATCCCTTTAAACACAAAATATCACTACCACCCAGTATAGTGGAATAACAGTGTTGTTGTTGTTGTTGGGTGAAGCAGTACTATAAATGCAATATTTACATTAAAAAAGATGATGAGCATCTGTAACTTGTGACTGTAGCTAGTCTTGAATTGCAGCCTGACGGACTGGCACATTGTGGAGGTGGATGTATTTGGGCCAGGTGACATGAAATCTGGCACCTGTTTTCAAGTTAACACATCAAGAAAAAATCCTTCTAAACTTGGAGCTGTGACAGGCACTGCTACCTATGCATCATTTCTTAGCAGCCTCTTAGGTAAAAACCTTTCGCACATATAAAAGTGTTTATGCGTCAATCATGTGAACTGTCTAGTAAAATTTTTTGGAGGAAGTCCTTCAGTTGATTTCAATGTAAAAAGGACATATTTCATATGGCAGTTTTTGAGCTCTGAATCAGTTCTTTTTATCTTATCACTATTAATTTTAAATTCTTTTTAATATTTAAGGAGCCAGGGGAAAAGGTGCAGGAACCCATTTGTGCTGAACTCGAGTCAAAAGAACCAGAATGATATTACCTAAACAGCTGAACAAAACTTTGGCACTAGGAAACAAAAACAATACAAGTTAAAACATCATTACAACAAGGCAGTTCTATAAAGAACTACGAGAGACCAAAAACTAATTCCAGTTTAAATACTTAAAATCTCTTCTTAATCCTAGAAAAGGCTACAGGCTTTGGCAGTGCTAAAAATCATTTTCGGATCGTCAATCAGGAAAAGAAATTTGCTTTGTTCATCCAATAAATCAAAATCTGGCTTAAAACATTTAGCAGTTCTTATTAAATCAATATGATGATCATTAAAAAAAGGACAATTAATTAAGAAATGAATTTCATCCTCAACACAGCCTGATTCACAGAGCACACAGGTTCTCTACAGGATTGGAAGTTTTTCATACCGTCCAGTTTCTGTTCTGAGTGGGGCCACCCCACATCTCAGTTTAGCCAATTTAGCCAGACCCTGTGCTGAAATCTCTAGGTTGATTACATGGCTGGTAATTGTTTGCATAACTACTCAGTTAATTGATCTGAATTTAATCAATTGCTCTTTTGTGACAGATAAAAATAGCCCCTTCTGAATAGCTTGTTAATTACTTAAGATTGAAGTTAACTGGGGAATCTCCCAAAGTAGCTCCCTACGGAGTGAGTACAATGCCATCTGCACATGTGCAGGTTTAATTGCTTCCATCTGACCAAAAGCTACAGGGTGGCTGGTGGAAAATGTGCCTCTAATATCTCCCACCCTGGTAGAAGGTACCAGTATACAGGGAATGAAAAAAGGCTTGTAGGACCTTTTTGTCTATCGAAGGTTTGGGTCTCTCTGAATAATTATTTTTTAATCTAAGTATGAAAAAGTCATTATTTTTTTTAGTAAGTAGGAACAGATAAAATGCCTTTTTGTCAAATATCTTGGGTCTTAAATTAAGTCACATTTTTTTTCAAAATTTTTGGATTTATCATTTATTTTAAAGTTCAATATTATCCAAATTCTGTGTTTCTTTGCTTTCTTTTTTCTTGCTGTTGCTTGACCTTGTCTATTTTTTCCCTAAATAGTTAAAAGAATAGTTCAACAGGTTGTTACCTAATATTTTTGTAACTGGTTGACAAGTATAGTTACTTATTCTGTCACGTGGGTCACATGAGTGGGAGATATAAATTCCCCACAACAGGTCATTCTTTGTTTTTCTTCAGTCATTCATCACTCATCAGATGTATAGTGTATGTGCAAATGTATTTCTACAGTGAGAATAAAGAAGCTGGTGATAGATTAACAGTATATTGTCTACGTGTCATTCTATACTTGACTATACATTCTATTTATTAAAAAATGGAATGGACATTGTTATTTATCAAATTGTATTTCTGTGATCAATTGCCTCCCATGGCATTTTTTTCTGTCTTATTTTTAAGTTGCCTCAAGGAAGTGAGGTAACTTGACAAATACATGTGTTTTTAAAAACCAATGGCAACAAAAAATTCATTATTATGTATGTGTTATAGGTAAGTTTCACGTTGGGTATGTCCTGAAATTTCTTGTACAGACAGACCTGTGACCAGGAATATCAAAGGGAAAGGGGAGTCCTGTAAGTGTGGAGCGATCACCTCCTCTCCCTTCGTTGACACACCCCTAAAAGTGAGAAAAGAGCAGTCCACCCTCTGCTCCCATCCACAGTAGAAATAAGTGAATTTCAGGAAAAAAACTTATTTTGCCTGAAGGGTTTCTTAGTTCTCAGAGAAGCTATCAATGCAATCATTATAAAAAACAACTATAGAAAGCATTACCATAGAAGTAGAGAAAGTTTCTCTACTTCTATGGCCATTATGTATCACTGTCACTGACAGTAATCAAATTGTGATACACTTCACATTTGAAATTGAGAATTTTTTAAGGTGGTGGGTTCCTATACTTTTAAGAACAGGTAATTCTGCTTATTTAGGTGAATCTTTTTTTTTTTTTTTTTGCAAATGATTTACTAGTATTTGTCAACGGCCTTTAAGTCATTCACATTAAAAAAATATACTTTTATAAATGCTTGTATATTTCTGTACACTACTGCAAAAAAATTTAACTCATTTATTCAGTTAATTGAAAAAACATTGTTTCAAGGTGGTATAGATTTCTCTAACTTAACTGCTATAATATAATATAATATAATATAATATAATATAATATAATATAATATAATATAATATAATATACATGTGAGGGCACAAAAGACAAGTAAAAAATCCCAAAGTAAATATTTTGGTAAAAACAAGGGTTTTCTCCACCGAGATGAAATAATATATAATACTACACCCCATTTCCATAGAATTTTAGATCGATCTATCCCTGTGGGGAGTCTCACTTGATTACTGTCAGCTTGGCCGGCTTAAGCGTCTGTCCCGCCTACTAAAAGCTGTAAGGGGGTAATTAACTATGATGCCCGCTCGGCTGACTGCAATTTACCCCCAGGGAGTTAGGTCGATCTAAATCTTAATCTCTAGATCGATCTAAATCTCTGGGAAAGCACCCCTAGACTACAAAAGGCTACAAAAATGCAATCAATGCGATAGTTGAGACGAGTAGAAATATATATGTAACAAATCTGGTTTTTGTGCTTTCTGATTGGCTGTTGGCATAGAGAGATAGTCACGTGGTAACAACAGTGAATGTCATTTGGTGAGGTGATGTCTACTGGCTAGGGCAGGTGGTGTTACCTGTAGATACAGACAGAATGTTGTATCTCGGTAAGTATATTAACAATCAAAGCTATCATCAGCATACATGATTGAACTTTTTTTATGTTTAACGCAATGGCATAGCACCATTCGGTTACTTATGATTCCTTTTGAGCGGTATCATGCAACCACACAGTTAAGATGTCTTACCGCCCAAGCAGAAGCTAGAAAGAATCGTCGAAGTGATATTGATACAGGCCCTGTGTATGATTTACAAAAACTCAGATTGATCCACCTATGTCTTATGTAGATGTCACACAGATCAATGTTAAAAAATCTCATACACGCGAAAATCTAAGGAAATCGGTAAAATTTCCAAATTTGCCTGATGGTCATCGGTTATTATCAGAGGACACATTTGTGGGTTCCAGAGGTTTAACTAGGAAGGTTTATAGATAATAAATGTCATAATCTATATGTCTTGTGCATTTTTCACAAAAAAGAAAGATATTTTATGACAGTGTTTTGCAAATTCTTTTTCTATTTTTCTCAAGTTTCTGCTACTGTACTTCATCTTGCTGCTAGCATCAGTTAGTAAATTCCTCCCCTATCATTTATAAAAAAATGTAATCATAACATGTTAAGGTTATTTTTTGTAAAAATGTGTGTCTCAACTAAGAAACTCAGATCTCATGTTTGTCTATATTCTCAGGTATAATGCCACTCATAAGGAAAATGACAGCCAGGTTTGCTAGCTGACAACAGCATGAGCCTTAGTAAACAGCTGGTATTTCGACTCAATGACAATGGTGTTGGGCCAGAGCTGTTGAGAGATGTCTTTGTAGAACGGGGATGGATTGAATTTGATGAAGACACTCAAGAGGAGTTTGACTGGAACATTTGGTGGAAAACAAGCAGATTTAGGAACTCTGAGTATGAACAAATTCTACCATGGCAGAGGCTTAACCACTATCCTAAAACCACAGGCATCACTAAAAAAGACAGCTTGGCAAGAAATCTCAAGCGAATGAAAGGAGTATATGGTCCTAATGTATATAATTTTAGTCCTTTGTCATACAACGTACCCAATGACTACACACGTTTTGTGTCAGATGTATCAAAACAGAAACAGCACAATCCTGACCAGTTGAACTTTTGGATATGCAAGCCAGCAGACCTATCACGTGGAAGAGGCATCTTTTTGTTTAAAGACATCAACCAACTGCAGTATGATTGTACTGCAGTTGTCCAGAAGTATATTCAAAACCCTTTGCTCATCTCAGGATACAAATTTGATATCAGAATTTATGTGTGTGTGTCCAGCTTCCATCCACTGTATGTCTATATTTACCAAGAGGGACTTGTGCGCTTCAGTACTGAAAAATTCGACCTAAGCTCTTTGACAAATGTATTTTCACACCTTACAAATACTTCTATCAACAAGCATGGGCCCATGTACACATTAGAAAAAGAAAGAGTTGGACCTGGCTGCAAATGGACACTCACACAGTTACGATATTATCTCCATCAAGCAAATATTGATGATCGCCCTCTATTTGCCAAGATAGAGAATCTCATTATATTGACATTACTTGCTCAAATTCCACAAGTCCCAAAAATCAACAACTGCTTTGAACTGTATGGTTTTGATATTTTGATTGATGATCAACTCAAACCTTGGCTTCTTGAAGTCAATTTTAGTCCTGCACTGGGTGTGGACTGTGTCACAGATGTGACTGTTAAAAAGCCATTGGTAAATGATGTGATTGATATGCTGAACTTCAAAATCCAAGATGCAGATAGAGGTGGAAGTGATTTTAAGAAACGCTATGCTTGTAGAATGTTTACTGGACGCCCTCCTAGACCAAATTCAGCCAAGAGACCAGTGTCAAAACAACTATCAAAAAAGCCTGCCATAAATCCTAATGGTTCCAAACTTCCCAGTATCAACTTGAATGGTAATATGAGTGGAAGCAGTGAAGCAGTAAATACAGCTGGTGATGATGATCTATCCCTTTTTTCTGATTATTCAGCACAAACCAGACGCTCACTTGCCAGTAGAGAGGCTCACTCCAGAAATGCATCTAGATCTGATAGTTCAGACACTTCAACATCATCATCCACACCTCGTAGCAGCAATGGAACACAGCGAAGCCTGACTTCAAAGTCTGGTTTGAAGAGAGTCGACTCAAGGGCCAATAATTTGCATACAATAGTAGAGGGAAGATTGAGTAGGTTGACCAAGGACTTAAATGGAAATGATTTAAAAATGGCCCGTGAAGATAGTATTGGATCATTTCATTCAGAGATAACAATGTCTAGTCTTCCACCTGACAGTGCAGACTCCTTGTCTTTTTCAAGTGAAGAAGCATTTGAAAAACAAGCTCATTTCAGTGACCAGCGCAAACAGCCCACTAGTGAAAAGAAAGAGGGAAGAGAAAAGAAAGGTCAAGTGATCACTGTAAAGCAGTCCTCATTGTCACAAACAAAACAAACTAGCCATAACAATCCTTTGCAGTCACGCAATTTCCATGCCAATTCCTTTCATAAATTCAAGTCAGATGACATTTATGCCAATAACAAACATTTCTTGTTTGATGGTGACCGTGAAAAGGCCACGAGAAGCATGTCTTCTTTAAAACAAATGAAAAAGACTTCTAGTTTCAGCAAGCTTCGTCTGAAGTCCCAGATTCACAATAAGGAGAGAGCAGGGATGGGCGCACAAGGACGGTCTTCGGTTCAAAGCCCAGACAAGCCTCATGGGGGGAGGTTTGACAGTGGGGATTCCCAGAAACCTCACATTAAAAGTGGTCCACGTAAGAGGGTTGGTGATTTTTATCTAGTCTACCCACTCAGTGAACCTGGCAGAGGATCCCACACTCAGAGTCTGGATATCAGGGCTGCAGTACGTGAACTCCAGCAGAAGTTAAACTCTGTTCTAGGAAAGGGAAAAGTGCCAAAGAGCCCAACACGTGCAGGCCATATGCGTAAAGCTGCAAAGGCAGATGAAGAGGTGGAACCTACTCTGTGGGCTCCTATCAAACCTGAAGAAGGACATTCAAATGCTTTGCATGAAACATAACAAAGGTACATACATGTATTTCAAGCAAAGTTCCGTTGAATAATTTTGTGGTATGCCTCATGCTGATGAATGTTTGTGCAAAATCTGAAGCAACTCTCAAAGTTCATTTAATTTAATGTTTTGTCAGTATGTAGTATTACATGTTTTAATTTTATTTTACTTTTCAGAACTCCTATGATCAGCGCTCAAAAGAGGCAATCTGGGAGGTAGCCTTCTGGGTCTTTGATGCCATAAGGATGATGTGTACCAAGCAGTGCGGCTTTTTAAAAATCATAATCTGGGGAAATTGTTATTAAATAACTGTGCACTTTCAAAGTTTGTATGATTTGGTGAATTGGACAGTAAGTGATTACTAACTGAACTGTGTGGCCCAAAGTCTCTGTGTTATAAGTCATTTCATTTTTAATTTATGCCTTTTATATTTTAAAATTGTTATAGTGTCAATTGAAATTCTGTATAAAAAGCATCCTATCATAAATGTCACAGCAAGCTGCAGCATACATTACCAGTTGAGTATATGCACAGATACTTGCCCACTATGCAGTTTCAATGATTCTAGGAACAGATTTGCTTTTTATAGATTTTCAGGATGCCATATAGCATATCAGCTGTTGATATTATGTGTGGTCTATGCATATTTATGCATAGCACAAGAACTGCGAAAAGGCAAAAATTGTGGTGACATGCTAATGACAGTGTCAGTCTGCAGTTACCTACATGTATGGTTTACATAAAAGGTTCCGCATATTAATGTAATCTAACTTGCCATAAGTCTATGCATTATCTATTTGAGTTTGCCATAAGACAGTGAATGTGATAGTTGTAATCTTAAGTAACAAATTTAAATAATATGCTCAATGTATTGTAGTTTGTTTTATAAGATTATTCTCCCACCTTATTAGATAGTAACTAAGTTTAAGAGGATATTGGAAGACAGTGGTGCATTTATTAAGGCATAATATCTCATACCAGTCATATTTTAACATTTGCTTTTCATGCTGCTGTAATGTTCTGTGGATTTTGATGGTTTGCAATTTATGTAAATTAAATGTTTTAATTAACTGTTAGCTAGTACTTATAATTACCTTTAAGAAGGTTGTGTTGCTCTAACATATGTTTCTTTTGTTCAGTTAGTCAAATGTTGTTAATTGTTATTCATATTTTGCAACAAGGGAATGTGATACTTTAATAAAAAGGACTTTCAGACAGGCATATTTCACCAAGATGTACTGTAGATTTTTATCATAATTGAACAGGCCATACAGATTGACCACAGTTGTTTTGATATGGTTCCAATTTCTAGTACTGTTTAATTGGTACCTGGCTTAATTAAATGTACAAGTTAAAAGTTTTTGAATTATAGATTTTAAATGAAGGAAATTTGTGCACAAATTGAATCGAAGCTAGGCTTCGCTAGGGTTAAATAATATGCCAATTCTGAGTTGTTGCTGAGTTATTTAGACATAGGGTTTTCTTACAATATGCTTTGTATTCTGACTGCTTTGTATTCTGACTTAAGTGGTAATTTATGCTAACTAATGATTTGTGCCTTTTCTTAAATTTATTTTAATGTTCTTAATATTTAAAAGCTGTTTTAATTAACAATGGTGTTCTTACAACTGTAGACCCCAAAATAAAATCCCTGAAAGAATTTTATGTGGCTTGGTTTCATTATCTTTTTATAACATATTACTAGTTTGTAATGTGTCCAAGTGTATCCATCGCAGTATTGTTGGTTTCTTATGACAGCAATAATACTTGTTTAGTTTAAACATCTTGTGGGGGATGTTAACATTTTTTAATATGAATTTTGATTCAGTTGAAAAACCGTGCTAAATTGATGCCAGTCTGTTTCCAAATATTCTCCAAAACCTTATCTACCTGACCTATACACTGAAATTTAATTAAAAAATATTATGACGTGATTTCTAAGAAGTACATTGCAGTACTACATGTACTAGTGCCACCAAGAACGAGGTGTTTGAGCGGAGGGAGTAATTCCTTATATCATATGTAGAGCGAGAGCGAGATTGTTGCCTCCATTTCAAAACCTCGAAACCGAGGCTCAATTTACATGTGTTGAGGAGAAAGGGTACTAATATCGTTGATAATGCAGAAGAATCCTACATGTCCTGCGTGCTGCCACACCTTTGGCACGAAAGGTAATGTTAAGAATGCATTTTTGCTACTGTGCGTTAAAAGAATTTTTGTGCAAATTATTTATCTAAACGTGCAACTGCTGTCTATTCATTTAATGAGGACAAAATTCGACTTCATTCGTGTCATTGTCATACATGTACATGCAACTCGTATATCGTAACATAAATATCTAGCGATTTGATGTATATCTGCCACATAATTGACTGCAGGGAGCGTTATTTTTTTTTGCTTTAAAATTGGTTTTAACTTTCAGACAAAAATTGGTTTATTGCAATTCAAAGTAAATCCAAAGCAATCGATTTAGATAGGTATATCAGAAAAATTTTCAAACTGATCAGAAAATTATAATACTTATATCATCTGAAAGGTAATGCAAAAACCGGATGAAATCACTTGGAATTTTTTAAATATTCCTACAAGCAACAAAGATATTGAAGTTTTTTAACTGCAAAAATTCACCAAAAGTGTCCACACTCTTCAGCTTAAAACCTGTCACTACTGTCCAGCGGTGATCACTCAGCTGTAGCTGCAGCTCAAATTGCTTGTGACTAATTAGGGCAATTATGACTGTATGTTAATCTAATGACCCGGAAACAAACCCAAATTGGCAACTGCACAAGCACATGGCTGGGATGGCTTCCGTGCAGATCATGTATTATAAATATTGTGCATCAAATAAACTATACTTCGCATGGTTTAATTTTCATGTTTTTTCTACATAATATTGCAAATTTCATAAACTTTATTCGCTATAAATTTCAAAAAGCTGCAACCAGCACTTAACTGACATTTTTTAGCATTTTGTCGAGGCAAAACTTCAAACGCCCTGAACTGAAACTTCTCAAAGACTGCAACACGGGAAAATCACGTGATCGGATTTTACTCTTTGATTTACAGCTTATTTAGTTAATGGCTTGTATTAGTTTTACTAAAAGAGAGATTTAAAAAAGGGGTGCTATTGGCGAGCTGTCAGAAGGCCGATATCAGTTTTACACTTCACTGCCCCTGGATAGTTCATACTGTAGCGCCCCTAGCGGATTGTGATATACCTAATTTAGATTTTAAGAAGTAAATTACGTGTGAATGTTATTTTGTGAAATTTTGAATTTGGTTGTACTGAATTTCCATCAGGGTATGATATGTTATTGTTTTGATAAGAAAGATATAAGACATGTTTTCTTGTTACACTGTGTGGACTTGTCTTACCGTCACATTAACATGATATCTCTAATTCTGCATGGGAATGGCTACAACTAGACTGATTTAACTTCTTTTCTTACCAGACCCAGCTCGGCCTCATGGTCCACGAATGCCCCTGTTGCTGAGATGTGGGCATACATATTGTGAAAGTTGTCTTTTCAAACTTGCCAAATTTCACAAGACTGGTATACCATGCCCATCATGCAAAGTGAGTATGCAGAAAAATATTTTGGCCATGGGTGTATTGATTTAAACTACTTAAATGCCTACCAGTTCACAACAATTGTTGTTGCCAAATTAAGGTACCTCTTAGTTGTTTGGCAGATAATAATTTTGCAGATATCAGCATCCAAGTTATTAAATTTTGTTTTTTTCGTCCCTTATGATCCAAAGATAGATTTGGTGGATTTAGGTGGGGATGTGGTTGAAATTACATTTAACAATCCAACTGTGTCAGGGTTTGAAATAAAATTGAAAACAGGGAAGACTTTACTTGTTAAATGTAAAGTAGGCAATTTGAAGTAAGCTTGAAATGAAAGATGTAATTATTTACAGAATGTGTTTCCCTTTATGTTCACAGGTTTTGACACAGCTGAAAGAAGAAGGGAGTATAAAATGTTTGGAGCCAAACATATATTTACTTGGTTTGCTCTCTGCACAAAGAAGAAAGAGTGTTGCCAGCAACAAGTAAATGCCATAAAACATATTACATCAACATAAGGGGTTTATTATATATATTATGACCATTCAGTGAATCCAGATTTGATATAATTAAAAAAAAGTGTCATTAAGTGTTGTTAGTCTTACTACACATGCAGTCATATTAGATAATGAATTGATTATTATTTTTTAAATACAAAGAACATTGGATTCTGAATGAGTTTTAAATTTATGTGCCAATTGAAGAGATACTACATATGTACCAATGCATATTAACTAAAGTGATTTCTTTTTGTGTGCTCCAGAAAGTGAACAAGATCTGAATTTAGATATTTATATGTTATATATCCTTTGTTAATTTAGACCTTGTTTGGCCAAAAAAAAAAAAAAAAAAAAAAAAAAAAAAAAAAAAAAAAAATATATATATATATATATATATATATATATATATATATATTGCATTTTACAACTTTTCCAGCAGCGTCCTTAACTTTACACCAGCTGGAATGTTGCCAAGAAAGAAGAAAAGCAGCCTGGAGGAGTCAGAAGACTGCGAAACAAAAGTTCCTTGCAAAGAGTGTAATTTTAATCCAGCTACATGCTGTTGTCTCAAGTGTGATGTAACCATGTGTGGGATATGCTTTGATAGGGTATGTTATCTGAAATATAAAATTAATGTTAGTTTCTTAGTATTTGTTGAATTTTATTATTAATTTAATACATTGTAAATGATTAAAAATATAATGGAGAACAGAAGTATCACATGCTGTTTCACTTTGCGCTGTTTTTTTAAAGCTGATGATTTTAAAGCAAAAGAATTAAGCAGATGTGTGTTCTATATAATTTGATTTGAATTGCTCCAAGGGGATAACAATCGTCCAGAAGTTAAATTTTTTGTTGTGATGCTCACACATACTCTTGGTAACTTATTGTGATTAAAACCACTGATGTGTTTTATGATAATTTATTTTATCTGGATGCTCTCACTGACAAATGTTTTGAACAGGTTCACTCTGCCTCCAATACGTTAAGGAAGCATCAAGCTGTGCCAATCTATGAAAGCGGGTGAGAAAATGGCATAAACTGTTACAATAGCAGTACAAAGATACTGTCAGTCAAATTATGATTTATAGAAGTTAATCATAAAAGTCCCTGTGATGTACTTTCTGAAAAGTGACATTGATGTTTCTGTGAAATTTAAAATGTTCTTTCTTAAAAGTGATATTAATAGCTCTCTTAAATGATCTTTTTTACTTTGAAATTAACCTTAAAAACTGTTTGAATAGTACTTGCATTTATTAGGTGTTGTATCATGTGATCAATAATACTACATGCTTTGCTGAGACAGATTTTTTGGCTTAAATAATTGTGGTGGTATATTGGTTTTTCAGTTTGTCACTTGGTGGCAGTGTTTGTAAGGATCATGACAACCGTGCCATAGAATACTTCTGTGAGGACGACCAAACTGCAATATGTTCACATTGTGTTATTGTAGGGGAGCACAAGAGCCATGCCATTTCTTCTATGGAGGACAAAGTGAGAATGCTTTCTTACATTGTGAAAAAAATTGATAATTCAAATGGATAGTGCATAATGTGCAAGCATTGATACCTGTTACATTTACAGATAACTTAAATGTTATTTTTTGCAGTTTATTTTTTTGGTGGAATGTTTATTGGTACAGTTTTGAAGTAAACATGAGAAACATTCCTTTAGAATGGAAATTTTGTTTGTGGCAACACTGAAACCTCTGCACATTTTGTCGTCCACTGTCACCGAGTCTTTTCATGCTTGTGATGAAATTGTATTTGGCACACTTATAAATGTTAACCGAAACAAATTTTGATATATGGGCTTTTATTTTTGTAGAATAAAACTGTGTTTGCAGACATGGAACCCGTGATTAACACAGCTGCCAAGGTGCTAAAAAACCTGAAAAAGTCAGAAAAGGTAACATATTTTTATGTTGTTGAAAGTACTGTTGAGATAAAGCAATCAATTGTCAAAATGTTCTTTACTCATGAAGGGTCATGAATAACTACAGTGGCTTATTGATAGGATTTTTATGAAAACTTGCAATATTTTTTGTCTCCTGAGCATTTTCAATGAAATAAATATCTGAAGTTTGTGTGCATAGATCACATGAACATGAATTACATAATTACACTGTTACAGGTGCTGAATGATGGTATTCCAGATAGTAGAGTTACAGCAATTCAGCTTGTTGAGGAAGTGCAGTCTCATTTCCAAACATTACATGGACTGCTTCAAGCAAGGTGAGATGTAAATATTTAGACACACTTTTTTCAATGTGGTTGTTAGTTTTTTTATTGTTTGTATGTCCATTCATAATCTAAGTCTGAACATATTAAATTAATTTGCAGGAAAGATGAATTCTTTTATAAACCTTTCAGTTCATGAAATTTGACATTTGTATAAGAAGTTAAAAACCACCCAAAATGTTTAATTTCAGGGAGATAGAGTTAACAGCAGAAATAGAAACAGCATGTGCTGAACAGATAATGCCAATGGAAGATATGGTGTGTTCTTTTTTCTATTCCGCACATACTGCTAAATTTTAATTAACAAGTTCAGTATGTAATAATGTTAAGATGTTTTAACTATTTGTCTGGAATTGAAATTTTGTGTCCTCAATTATTGCAGATATTACATCTTACATGGTGAAGTGACATTTATGTCAGGGATTTTATACTTTACCTGAATTTGAAATACCTGTTTCCTTTTCAGAAACTAAACATTGTCGAGGAGTCAAAGAGGATAGAGTTTCTTTTAAAAGGTATTAAAAGTATTTCAAAATTTATCAAAGACTTTTATGTTTTGTGTTAAATGTAAAACAGGTTGGGAAAGGAGGTTGTTCTCAAAGTTCCTCTCAAAAAGATGTCTTTAAGAAATATTAACCCAGAACTACAGAAATTAACAAAACTGTATGTTCATATATTTGTAAAGATGCCAGAAAGGTGATGAATAACAACAATCAACTGATACTGAATGCCAATGAGATTTTGAGTAAGCTGCAGTCTATAGAGACTTTCCCTTGTCACTGTGTTCCTGTGGTTGAGGAGGAGCAGCTTGGGGTGAAGTGAGTACACTTTTTGAAAACTGTTCAGTTGAGGTACCAGACATATTTCTGTTATAATTTTAATCTTTTATGAAGTTGAAAGAAAACTGTGAATTAGTTTATGGAGTTTTACATTACCTGATTTTTGGTTGATTAAAACTCTCTTAACAGTGAAAACACAGTTTGATGGTATGTGGAAGTAGTCTCTGCATAACTTGTAACCTTATAACTTAATATGTTTACCTGAGCAAATCTCATGGAACAGACTTTTTGTTTTACATGAACTGAAAATTACAAAAAATGTCGACAGTTTACTGCATTTGTAAAACCATAAATCTTTTTAAATTTTGGACAGTGCTTTTGGTTTGAAGAAGTCAGTTTTTTTGCTTGTTTGTGTAATCTTATCAGTGCTAAACCTATTGCAGAGTTCAGTTCACAGAAGACTTCAAAAACATGATACCAGAGTATGGCAAGATCCAATCCACCCCAATCAATAGGTGAGTCAGCATTTACGTGATAATCAAATCATGTACACATGTTAACCTATGTATTTAAGGTTTTCCACTAGATTTTGCACATAAGGGTCATTTTGACCCCCACTTTTTAAAAATGGGGGTCAAGAATTTATAAGTTTGAAATAACATTGAAATAAATATAAAAAGCAATAAAAACAACAAAAGTCACAAGTGTTATTTATTATCAGTTTACTTTCTACTTCCTTCTGTTTTTGTCAGCTTTAAATTTTGCAAGGGCAGCACCAAAATTAAACTCTCCCAGTTTTGACCCCTCTTTGGAAAGTAACATTAACTTTTCCACACGCTCTGGACTTAATTTTCTTGGCGATTTTGTGTGGATTCTGTTAATACAACTAAATCCCCTTCACAAGGCACACTACTAATTGAGATGTGCAATAACAGTGCAATAACAACCAACTTGCTAAAGAATGGATACAAATCTTTGTAGTCCTCTGTTGTTAACACATGCTCAGAAAAAATCAATGACAGACCTTATGTGAAAACTGTAGGTGACCAGGGTCATTTAAAGAATGTCACTAATGGAACTTTCTGACCTTTACTGACATTTACAAAACAACAAGTAGATAATGTTACACTCAGGACTGAGATAAATGTGTATCAAATGGGGGTCAATTTTGATAAAACAGCATCAGGGACACACAAAAATTGCAAGTAGTTCATATCCAGTATGTTCTGAGAACTAGATCTGTAAGCAAACTTTGGAACAATATTTTTTTAATGTTTTCACATTTTTGTGACACATTATTTCTTTAGGTTTGAGCTGGTGCCTCTTAGTGAGATTGTAGATAAAGGAGATGATAGGACCTCAGAAATCAGTGATGATGTCATCATTGAGGGTATGTAAACAGTGTTCAACTTCACTAAATTCAGACTGCAATGTTACCCACTGGCCTGGAGATAACTACATAACTGGGCCAGTCAAAGTTTTCCAGAATCTGATCTTTCTTCACATAAATTTCTGTAAACCTTTAAATTTAATGTTGTTTTACCCACCTAAAATGATAAAAAGTATTTATTTTAATAAAAATTACTAAAATATCAAAACCTCTGTATGCATAAAGTGGGTGTGATACTATCAGTAGGCATTGCTTTCCATTTATAATAAAAGTAAGGCAGTTTCATCTTCAGGCCCACCAGTGCACCTGTCAAGAATTACAGTGTGCACCTAATTATGTATTAAGTTATTATCTGTGACATTATAAAAGTATATCAAAACCCCCTTCTTAAAAGATAAGAAGGCTGCTTTCTTTATAAACTCTGCCAGTAAACCAATGATTGAAACTCCCAAGTTTGTAAAGGACAGAAAACCAGTTTAAACTTGAAAGTAGAGCTGTGTGATTTTATAACCTCTTCTTAGTTAAAGTAATGGTTTCCAAAAGCACTTTCGAAAAATTGAGAATCCAAGCAGGGTAAAGACTCACTTGTTCATCTAAAAGGAAATGCAGAGGATCATTTTCAAAGGCAGGTTTTAGTTAAATAAGATTGTTTTTGAGACATATATATAATTTTAGTTTACTTTTACATCTTGTTTTGTCTTAATCAAGATGATAAATATCATGCAGGCCAGAAGATTTTAAAAAGCTGGTGGCCAGAATGTCCAGTAAGCTGAGTAGGTTTTGGCTCAGACTAAAAAAATTTGTTTTAAAGTAAATACTTTAATTTTCAAACAGTTACGAAATTATACAATAAAAAGATATAAGGTATTTCCCCCACATTGCAGAAGAGATAGAAGAGAGCTTGTCTACTGATGGTAGCTTGTCTACCTCTCAACACAGCCAGCACAGTTCTGGGACTGGCACCAGTGTCTCTGCCACTGACACCATTGCACATAGAAAAAAGATGGCTCAGAGGACAAAGGTCAACTTTGGTAAGCATGATCCTCTCTTGTGCTTAATATTAGCTTTAAGGAAGTGCAATACCAGCACACTGGGGAGGGGGGGGGCTAAACATGTGGGTTTTGATGTTTTACTTAATCTCATGTAGTCAGACTTTTCAAGACTATTCTTATTTTGTTCACATATTTTTATCATTTTAAAATATGTTTAGTTTTTTAGTGTAAAATTTAACGTTTTTGAAAAATATATAGTAATGATAATGATAAGTTTGCTTTATGAAATTTAGTCAGCGAATCAGTAATAGAAAGCTTACACTATTTTAATAAACTGCATATGATAATATTGCTGAGTTTTGATTTCAGTACGACAAGAGTTGGTGTATGTCACCCATATAAAAAACCCTAGTCACTTCATAATCCAGAGAGTAGCAGATGTAGAGAGGCTCAAATCCTTAGCCAGGAATATGAACAAATGGTGTAATGGAGATAAGGCAGAAAGACCGTCTTCTGCATGCAAAGGTAAGATTCTTGGAAGAAACAGTTTGGCATGTTTGACTCTGAATCTGTGTAGAATGTCTTGTTATCAAAGTCTTGTTTATGTGAAATTGCATTCTGAATAGTATCTTGTATTCTGTTGTATTTATTATATTGATCAGTTAGGATTTAAGGCAACATTTTTTGTAGTTTTCAGAACTGTATCTGTATCTTGTAAATAACCAAGCAAACTAAGGGAAATACTGCCTGAATAGAACTTTACCCTATATCGTATCAGTATGAAGTCTTTTTACCATTCTTTGTTTTATTCACAGATGATCTAGTCCTTTGTCAGTATGCTTTGGATAACTGCTGGTATAGGGCCAGGGTGAAAGATATTTTGTGGGATAGTGACACCACCACATCAAGCAAGCCAAAGATAGAAGTATATTATATAGACTATGGCAACACTGAGATTGTGCCCTTAGAAAAGTAAGTGTTTTGCTTTGTATCATTGTGTGTGTTTGTTAATTCATCTGTATTGCAGTAATCTGTTTCATTGCATAGATTGGTTTTCATTACAGTTTCTTTGCGTAAAGGGAAAACATACTTAGCAATCACCATTCCTATTGGTGTATTTTTGAACATTGTAATGGGATGGATACGACTGATTGCTGTTTGTTTACTATTGAAATATGTTGATCATGATGGTGTAGGTAGTTGGTAAGTTGCCATTTATATATTACAGAGTGCGTGCAATGCAGAACAGGTTCTTGCGTGTCCCAGAGTTAGCTGTGCAGTGTGCCCTTTTGGACTTGGTTCCTGCTGACAAGGTACATTTAAGAACATGCCCATTTTTTTTAAATGAGCAATATTTAATTATCCATTCTTATGCTACATGTGTGGAACTTTTGTGTATGTGGCTTTATGATTAAACGTTTGTTTGACATTCACTAAGACCCCATTCCCATGGATTTTAGATCGATCTATCCCTGTGGGGAGTCTCACTAGATAACTGTCAGCTTAGCCAGCTAAAGCGTCTGTCCCACCTACTAAAAGCTGTAAGGGGGTAATTAACTTTGTTGCGCGCTCAGCTGACTGCAATTTAGCATGAACCCCCAGGGAGTTAGGTCGATCTAAATCTAAATCTCTGGATCAATCTAAATCTGTGGGAATGCACCCTAAGGCAGTGTTGATGAGTTTTAGATAGATGATTCATTAATTACTTGCAGACCAACCCACAGTGGTCCCTTGAAGCAATCCAATCATTTGCAAAGATGACAGAGGATAAACCCATGCTCATGAGTGTAAGTGGCACATGAATTTGCCTAATGCATGTATTGACAAAATAATATTTTTATAGTTCACATTAAATAGTAGATCTGGATCACATGCTTCAAACTGTTAAAATCTAGAATTTGGTTACTATCCAACATTTTTTTTTATTGAATCAACATTCAATTTTGTCTTAGAAAAATATCTTTGGGGCTTTTTCCAGGTTGTTAAAAATGTAAACAATGTGATGCATGTGGACCTGAGTAAGCCTCCCAATGATGGAATCCAGGATGACCGCCCTGTTTCTATGAGGGATTCTCTTGTATTCCTAGAACTGGCCTGTCTAGCCACCCCAGAGTCCACTCATGTTACTTCTGGTAAGAAAAAGGCCAAAGAAAATGGTGGCAATGGAAGAGCTGCTGCTCGGAAAAATTAAGTCTTACTGGAAGTGATACAGTTACATTTTAGTTTAATAAAAATTTCCATCTGAGATTGGAACCCATATAAAGACGTATATAACAGCATGTTTTTTTTTTTGTTATATTCAGCTCAAATATGAAACATGATTGTATTGTTAGGAAAATTAAACAAATCTGTACTTATTTTAAGATTTGATGTCATTGCTTTAATGAATCCAATGGAAACAATTGTGGGTATGGTGCTGGTGCTTTTGAATTAGGATAAAGATTATACTTGTTTATATATGAAATGCTAAAACATTTAAGTAGTAAGGAAAAGAGCATTTTAGCAGATGGGTAAAATGCATTAAGTGGAACTTTTTGACATGCAAAGTGTTAACTTTATTAAAATGTAAGTCATAACCTGTCTGTAAATAAATGTTTTCACTGACAATTTATTCTGTGTCATTTTTTCATTACACACACTTACCATTGGATTTATTAAATATAGTGACAAGAAGGGTTTTTATATAGTGATTCAGCAAATTGGATTAATTCCCTTTGCCAGGTTGTCATCACTATTACTGCCTTCCTAACATCCCAAAAGATAAATGTATATCATGGAACAGTTACTTTCCATATGTCTGATACCCATGCTTATTTTCGTTATTGGTATCAGCCTTAGCATGTAGATGGATGATGAACCTTGGTAATATAACTCCATCTGTGCTTTATTGTTATTTGGACAGTGTGGTTGTAACATGTCTAAATTTTTATTAACTAATGCATGCATTTATATGATGAAAAATATGGAAAATAGTTATTCCTCAGGTGCGGATTAAGGCCATCTTCTCGGTCTTCCGGCAGACGGTCAGATTTTAAAGTTTACATTGACGAGTATCTAATTTTTTCAGTCGGAAGACGGTCAAAAATAGAGAATAGATCAACAAAGATAATTTGGAAGACTGTCAGAAAATATCTCTGGATCCGCCCCTGTTTCTAGTAGTAGCTTGACTTGAATTTTTGCTTAAATTTATTTCACATATTAAGAAAAATTTACAGTGAATATTTACGTATTTTAAGAGAATAAGTTGAAAGATGTACCTTTTTAAGGAACACTCTGGGAACATCAGGCAAAAACGTGAGATGCCTGGAGAAAATTTAATTACTCATCTGGTCTCTATTTCTTTAAACCTATAAGTTTGAAAAACAATTGATGTGACTTCACGAATTTAATTTTATGGACTTAACCTTTTGATGGCAAGTGAAAAATCGAACATCCATCTCCATTTTGAGAATTCATTCCCTGGTATTTAGCCAGATATTCTGGCAATTCTGAGACCTTAAAAGTTGTGTAAATTGCAGGCCCAATGCTACTACCTGCCAGAAGATACCTCCATTCAGAGCTGCCAGAAATAGATGACATATTAGATGTGGTGATAAGTCATGTTGACAGTCCCAGTAGCTTTTACGTACAACAAGTAAGTGAATAGTTGGAAATAGTGTTAGATGCATTAATTTTACAGTAAGATATTTTAAAGACATTAAAAAATGAGATATTTAGCCTTAAGATAAAAAGATGTTACTGTAACACCAGAACATGCATTTTTGATCTGACAGGAAATCCTCAACCTAATCAGACCTGCCCTTCTTGAAATCGCCCTTCTGAGGGGTTGCCACAGTGGAATGAACACCTGCACCTGTGCTTTGTCCACCTGCCTCCCGCAGTCCTGTTTAGCATCCATAAACTTTTTCCTCAGCCTCCCACATTTCTCTTTCCTACTGATTTCATTGCCAGCATTGTATGCCTTACATACATTTCTTCCATCCTTCTGATGTATCCATACCAGCACAGCCTCCACTCTTGCTATCTCAACAAACCTTGCCATCCCTAATAAGATCTCTCACAGCTTCTCGTTTCTCACTCTATTCCTCCATGTTTTTCCCAGTGAGAAACCCAAGTGAGCATAATCGTTCATTGATCATCAAAGCTTCCATCTTCTTGTCTTGTTTTTTTTTTCTTATTGCTACTGTTTCCATCCCACACAGCATACATGGTCTTATATATGTCCTGCACACATTTCTCTTGGCAAGCAATTTATGTCATTAAGAATTGAAATTCAAATTTCAGACTAATGATGAGGCTAGATACTTTTCACAAATGATGGAAGAGCTCCAAACTGTTTACAACAATACTGAAGATCTGTATGCTGTTTTGTGTCCACAAAAAGGTAAATGTTATTGACCTGAACAATCCTTTATAACAATTTGGCACTGCCAAAATGAGGTAGTAGGTAGTGGCACATTTATAGCCCTAGCAGGTTTGATGGGTTACAGAGAAGCTGATACCTACAGTATGAAGTCGGTGCAGGTGAAACGTCATTTTGGTAAATGAAATGCATAGCTGGCATCAGTTCTAGACTTGGTCTGTGTTATCAACTAACTGTCAAGTGTCAGTTTTCACAAAACCATGTTAGCTTGAGAATGCCATTGTGGTTAAGTATTTTAAATTTATCTACATGTTTGAAACATTTAGCTAACAATCCAAGAGTGTTCTGTAGTCTAGCCAAGGGTTTGTGGAACTGCCTCCAGGACACTCAGGCCTGTAGCCAGCAATTTCAAATGGGGGGTTCGTTTTCTGAAAAAGTGGACCTTTTACCATAAAACCTACTTGTACCTAAATCAAATTTTATCCAGAGTGGACCTTTTCCCAGCAAAAAGGGCGGTTCTTTCGAACCCTCCAAACCCCCCCTGGCTACGGGCCTGACACTCCTGACTTAATGTCCAGGTGACACCTCATAGAAGTGGCATACCAGGTCATTTAAACAGTGGGGAGGGGGTTATATACAAATAAATGTACTCTAATATACATGTACTAACATCCTTCATATTCAGACATGGTGTGTGTAGCCCAGTACCATGACAACCTGTGGTATCGTGCCCAGGTGACCCGTCTCCCTGGCAGGAGAATGGTTGAGATCCAGTATGTGGATTTTGGAAACTCAGAAATCATCTCACACTTGAAGCTCAGGAAAATTTTGGACAGGCATCTAGTGCTTCCTGCTCAGGTAGGATTTTCTTAGGCATTTGGTACCATGTTGAAAGCTACATTATCACATGTAACATTTGCCATATGTTGTTTGTTGGTAGTGGTTTTTTAGACAGAATAATTAATGAACTAATTTGATTTGAGAAGCTGTGTGTGCATGTTAGAAGAAACTTAACGGAAAAACATGGATTCATTCCAGGGACTGCACTGTAGTCTTGCTGATATTGAACCTGTTGATGTAGAGGTGGGATGGAGTCCACAGGTATATCAAATAATGTTCCAGTTATTCTGTATTTTTATTTAATTTGAAGGACATTTGAAGTAATCTGAGTGCATTTGAGGAAAATTGTGTAGTTTTTATAAATGTCAAAGCAATGAGTCAGAGAAATTAAGACAACATCTGAAACAGGGCATGGCTTATATATTTTTCTGCAAATGTTTTTGGTGTTTATTGTGTCTGAACTGATGTGATTAATGTTCCACCAACTTTGGTGTTTAAACAATTAAGTGATCTGACCTAAGTACCTGACAAGCAACCAATTCTTAATCAATTTTTATTAAGGTCGTGGATCAGTTCAAGACGAATGTCTTCCAGCAAAGAGTTTTGAGAGTCAAAGGTAATAATCATAATAATTGATAATTTTAAGTGCATGAAAGTGGTATGTTGGTTATACAGTTCATAAATTAGTTGATATTTAATGAAAGGGTCCATAAACTAATTGTTCAGATTAGTTATATGTCTTTAATTGTCCTGTGATCAAAATATAATTTGCAGTACTTAATATTTTCATGTTTACTTTGAACATTGTGGAACAGGGAAAGGAGCTAAAATGTGGGTCATTGTTTAAACAGGGTATGGTTTGATTTTCTTTGCAAGTTTTCTCTCCCTTTTTTGAAGTACACTGTTTGGTGTATTTTGATTTTGAAATATCTCTAAAACATACATTCACTTTTACTGTAGACTTGTAACTATGCTTTTTAGGGTTTCTTGATCAATGTTTGTCAGTGTTGCTGTGTGCAGTGACTGACAGTGGTGAAGTCTGCTTTAATGCATATTTGGTGAATGAGGGACTTGCTGTCAGCACAGGACCTGGGTAAGGGTTTTAGAGCCTTAAGTTTTTTTTTAATCCTTCTTGTTTGCAATTTTCAAGGCTCTGGGAATAAATGCTTACTTACATGCATTGTTGTTATTTTTTGTGAAACGGTTTATTTTTTTGACACCTAAGTCTATCATTATTTACCAAAAATTTATTTTATTTGTTTAAAATGCTGTACAGTACAATGTCATATCTTAAAATGTGAAAGGGCTGTATACTCATTTATGTTCCAGTTCCAAGCCAACTAGCTTAGCTATGCCAAACCTAATATCTTACGGGAAAAATCAGTGTTCTGCAACAGAAGATTTGGAATCGATACCGGGGAACAATCAGGTTCACCCTAATGCACTGAATTTGGTGAGTTGTTATGTTTTTATAATGTGACATGAACCATACTGTTCTACTGTGCAAGGCGTCTAAACTTAAAAATTAATTGTTATGAAATTCTGAACCAGAAAGGGTATATCATCTGCTGACATAGAAGTGATCAGTATAAATATCAAAACTACACAGATCTAAATAATGAGTATATTGTACTGCAGGTGGATTCTGGTATATGTTTGGAAAACCAGGAAGTGGCAAACATTGCCAAAGATGCCAAAATTGGTATTTGTGATCCAGTAGTGTCACAGATTGCCCAGGGTGATTTGAGAACAGATGAGTTGTCTGAAGAGGACATGGCAAAGATTCATGGAGGCTGGCATCGACCTCAGTCTGTTGTCCAAGCTAGTCCAGCAAGTGTGACCAGTGGGGTGACTGACCTAGAAGTAAATGTAGCTTCAGCAGGACAAGCAGAATCTCAGAAAGACAAAAAACCTTGCCATTCTACTATACCAGAGATAGAAAGAGATTGTGACTGGTTTGGAGATATTAACACTGAGAAAAAAATGAAACTTGGCAAATCTGCTACTGCTAATAAAGAACAATCTGTCAAAATTAGGAAGTCAAAGAAATTGAAAGACGTGCCTGGAACCCCAATCATTGTAAGCCATGTTGAATCTCCAACTCTGTTATATGTTAGAACAGTGGATGGGGAAACTGATCTTAACAAGTAAGTGCAATATATTTTAGTTATATTTTGAAATGTAGTCATTAATGAATTTAAGAAGCAACAATAGTTTGATTATGCAGAGAGTGGCTCAGCATTAGTGTAGATCACATTGTTATGTTATGTAGTTTACATGTACCTACTAAAAGCATTCACCATGGATATCTTTATTTAAATTATTTTTTTCTGGTGAGATACTCAGCTTGATAAAAGGAGACTAAAAAGATGTGTTGTTAAATGGCAAACACTGATTTTATGAAATGTGTATACTACTGATAGGTTGATGAATGAGTTAGATGAGCAATTTTCCAAAACTTCACCAGTCCAGCTGACATTAGAGCCAGAAGATGTCTGTGCTGCCAAGAGTACAACTGATGGCCGCTGGTACAGAGCCAAAGTCTTGAGCATATTGTCAAATGATTTTGTCCAGGTAACAAAATGCAAGAAAAATCTTTAAAAACATTTATAGATATTGTATATTTTGCATGATATTCTTCCTGTTTTGTTTATATTACTTCTGTTATTTGTGATAGTTAAATCATCAGCACATAAATTTTTTGTTTATATTACTTGTGTTGTATGTGATAGTTAAATCATCAGCATATGAAATGTGACAAATCATTTTTGTATCTTTACAGAGGTACTTATTTTGATATTTTAACAGAATGATGTGAATGCTAGTGTTTAGATTTTGGTAGCCCTTAACATTGCTTGTCTCTATATTTACTTATCTTGTTTATTTTCTGAAGGTGCATATGCTTGACTTTGGCTTTGAGGAAAAGCTTAAAATGGAGATGTTGCGCCCCCTAGAGGCTAGATTCATAGAATACAATCTGTTTGCCATTCGCTGTCACCTCACAGACATCTGTGCTGCTGGGGATAGGACAAGGTGGTCCAAGACTGCATGTGAGCATTTCAAAGAACTCATTGCTGATGCAGAGTGTAATATAGAACCTAAGGTGAATACTGAATTGTGATATCTGTGTTATAAGGCTTAACTAAGGCATGATTGAATGATTTTGAGGAATTGCAGATGCATTATACCTAAATAAGCCTAAAATTTGTGATTGGCAATTGTAATTGATATGTCAAAGCATTAACTTGGATGAAAAGTTTATGACATATTACTTATTACAAAAATGAAAGGTTTGTTTTTGTAATGCATACATTTTGTTAAAAAGTTTTTAAAAGCATTTTAAAAATATTGAAATTATTAAAAAATATCAATTTATAAAAAAAAACCCCTACATTATATGTTTTTACAACAGTAGTGCATTCACAAGGCACAATGACCTTATATCAGACTTTGATGTTACTTTTAAATCACCATTCTTTGTATTATTTCACAGGGAGAACTGACTGATGGTTCCCTGCCAATTGACTTAATAATGATAGAAACACTGGAAGGAGATGCTTTGACTCCAGCAACAACTGAATGCAGATCTTTCAGCAAAATTTTAGTGGAAGAAGGTTTAGCTATTCCAGTCAGGAAGAGGTACACAGCAGTCAGGCAAATAAACAAATGCCATTAAAGAGAGAGAGAGAAAAAAAAAGCTGTACTTTACATATTCTATTTGCATGAAAAGTATTAATGAAATGCCATATCCATGCACATTAATGTGCATTACACCTAATATTGTTATTGTTCTGTTTTCAGGTCACAAGTAGCAGCATCATTACAGGAAAACAATGAAAGGAAAGCAACTTCAGAACAGGGGCAATTAATTGTACAGTCTAATACATTTTCTGATGCAACCAAATCAGACATCCTGCCCACACAAGCATTAGCCGCAGAAGTAACTGTGGCACCAACCAAAGATCAGCATTCAGAAGCATTAACTGAAGAACCACTGTTGTCAGAGACCATGGCTAATGAGCCTGTGGCTACAGAGTCAAACACCAAAGAATCTCGTTCACCTGTGGACCTTCCAATTGAACTCCCACCCAACAGCTTGTTACTAAAAAAAAGAAAAAAAAGAGAAGAATTGGCCCAACCACCCACACAATTCCCACCATTTGAATTGCCACCGTACCCAGGCACCTTGACAGTCATTCCCACGTATGTTGGTATAGATGGGGTTATATATGCTCAGGAGTATAAATCAGGTACACATTACGAGTAAATAAATAATCTTTATGTAAATAGTGGTCCAGATTCTTTGAAGTAGAAAGATGCTTTAGAAAAGCACAAATCAAAAACAATTTGAATCAGTGGTATAGACTGTCCCCAAATAGATACTTCTGAGTTGACACATTCACTTATACCAAGGATCAAGTGATCACTTAGTGCCAAACTTAAATAATTCTAAGGTCTGCTCCAACAAGGTGTTTGTCTGCTGATCTTTTCCATTGAGTTCACAGAAAAAGGAGCACTGCTGCAGCAGGTCTGTCATGGTTGGTCTCCACAAAAAATGTAGTTAAGTTTGAAAACAGAAAATAATACTTGGAAAGGAGTAGCCAGCAGACTTTACCCATATCAGAGTTTTAAAGTGTTTTCTACTTTTGCTTTAGATGAGGACCCAGAAGGGAGACTTGGTTATATCCTACAGGAGTCAACATTGGAAGTGAAAGTACAAGACAAATATTTACAGAGTATAGGTATGAAAAGGTATAAAATCATTGCAGATGGTAACTGCTTATTTCGAGCCTTTGCCCAGGGAATATTTCAGGATCAGAACCAACATCTGATTGTGCGAAGTGCAGTGATCCAGGCTTTGCAGGAGCAGTGGGATGTTTTCAAGGATATCATCTATGAAGATGACAAAATGAAATATATACAAAACTTAGCCAAGCCAGGATCATATGGTGGCGAGGTAGAAATCCAGGTGGTCTGCTACATATATGACATTCAAACTGTGCTATATATGAATGGCTTGCACACCCCAGTTTTGACTAGGACCTATGGTGCTGGCTCTGCAGATGTTGTGGAGCTGATCTTTCTCTCAGACGGCAGGGTGGATAATGGTCACTATGATCTTGCCATTCCCAGTTCTCTCTGTGTACCCAACCCTGACTACGCTGCATGGAGGCAGATGAGAATATGTGAAATGCAGCAACATGCTGATAGACAAGATGTCACTTCTTTTGGTAAGTAAAATCTCTGACAGTACTTCTGAATTTAAACTCCTCCCAGAGTTTAATATCTACATGCTTCTACTAGCTTGCTATCATACATAGGTATTGTGTTTTTGTTTACTGACAGGTATTTCTAGTTGTCTTACAATTTGATTCTTATCTTCTTGTGTTAATAAACTGCTTTCCTACATAGATGGTATTTTTTTGTCATTTGTGATGTTTTTTTTTTATGTACAGACATTACCCGCATAATCTTGGCACAGCAGCCAGATTTGTAACTGCAGTCAGGTTTGAAACTGGGCATGATAAGATCATACCATATTTATTTTTGATTACTTTTTCAATGGTTTTGTTCTTGTTGACACTTTATAATCCATATACTAGGTCTGTTTTTAGTTAAACCTGCTGTTACCTATAACTTAAAATGAGGGGCAAATTTGGAAATGTGCAAGATGTTATCATTCCCTTAATTTCTTATGATAATGATAAATTACACATGTAATAATTTTGGTCTCTTCCAAAATTTTTTGTGTGTATGACAATCCATTTCTTTTCCTTCTTTATGTCATATGCAGGCAGCTGTTTAATGATAGGGCTGGTGCGCATTTAGTCAATGCACTAGACTTTTTCTTGATATTTAAACTAAAATAGGTCATCTCTTTAAATTTAAGTTTTAACTAGCTTGTTTAATAGCATATCCCACTGAATAGTTTGGAACTGATATGTACATAGCCACTACATTATGGATACATGATATAGTTCATTAAAATTTTTTTGTACATGGTATCAAATTTATTATTATTATTATTATTATTATTATTATTATTATTATTATTATTATTATTATTATTATTATTATTATTATTTTTAAGAAAGGCAGTAACATTTGAAATACTGGAGCACTCTTGCATTTTTTTACCAGTGGAATAAAATGGCGTAGGCTATAGCTGTGTAACTGCATGTACAAGGCCTCTTTTGGAAAACAGAATATACAAACCTTTGCTCCTTCAAAAAATGCAATATATATATATTATAAAAATATTTATTTGTTGTTTTAGATGACAGCACCTTGGCACAACTGATGGATGTCTTACAACACCACTACCAGAACACTGAGCCAGACTTGAATGTCCAGTGGGCAGTTGATCAAGCCTGTGTGGCCAGGTTCAGCCAGGATATGCACTGGTACAGAGGGAGGGTACTGGAGATAAATGAGCAGGGAATATTGGTGAGTGTGTTGGCCATTGGGGGGTACAAAAGCTGCTCCTTATATTGGAGTAGTTGGTTTGTTTGGAATCTTCCAAAATATAGTGGAATATCAGTGCAAAGAACTGTAGGTGTTAATGTTTTCATCATTGGATTAGTGATTGTCTATAAAATAATGATTGCAGAAACAAAAATAGAAACTTAACATATAGACAGCACCAATCTAATTTAGCCTGTTAATCTTATTAATGGAGCTGACAACATATGGCTTATATTGCAGCAAATGTACAATTTATTCTTTGTTACTGCCACAGTGACTGTTACAGAAAATGATGGTTATACAATATTTTCCTTTTAGGTCCACTACATCGACTTTGGCAACAATGAGTATGTATTGCCTGAAAATTTAAGGAGTGATGTCATTTTGACTCAGATTCCTCAGCAGTGCCTGGAGTGCATTTTATTTGGGATCAAACCAGTAAGAAAAATTGTCCAACTCTTATTATATATTTCATTTATTGGATCACACCCATTTCAAGATATTGTTGTCACCCCACACCCAAAACTACTTATTTACTGCCTTATATACATTCTTTTGGGTAATAGATAATTCTTCAGTGTTCAGTGACTAAGTTAATTAACATTTACACAATGTCATAATTATGTCATTTTAGGGATGACATCATAATTGCAATTTTAGGGTAAAAACTGAAAAATTGGTTTTTCAAATTTCTCCTTTACCTGAGCACTTATGATCACCATTTCAATGCAGATTTAATGATACCATTTAGTACTCAAAACCCTGCCAGTGATTTTTCTTAGAAGTCTTGGTTCAGATTTTATCATCAATAAACCAAAATAATGCCTTTGTTAATGAAAATCTGCAATAAGGGGCTCATAACTCCATAACAAAAACATGTAAACCAAGATAGCACAGGATTGTAGTACATAAACTTGTGGTCAACCCTGCCAATTTTCGTGATAAAATCTTGTTCAAGGATGAAGTTACCCCATACCGATTGCTATCTCACTTCGAAATAGAAAGGTATTAAATTGATGATAAAAGCTTTGAGTTGCCTATGCTTATACATTGCAACAAGAAATATAAACACTGATGTTTATATTTTTGAGGGGGGGTTATTGTTTTAAATCAACGCAAAGATAAATGCATTATTGAATAATTTAATGCAGGAAAAAACTCATTTTTGGTATCTGGATGATGATAAAGGGTTACAATTCCCTTAAATTTCAAACATTAACAGACTGAAAAAAATTATAAAACTGGTTTTTATTTAATCTGAATATTGAGATGTCTCTGAGCATTTTTTTTTTTTTTTTTTGCTAGAATACAGCAGATGGCCATTGGACTAAGTCATTTACAGAGTTCATCCATGACACCATAGTAGGGGTGTCCTGTATCATGGAGTTACAGGTTGGAACATTTGATAATTGTGTATTTCTTTTCTTTGAAGTTGATATATTATTAATTAATAATTCTTAAGATTTGTTCATTGTAACACAATTGGTAAAAAGAACCAAACAGTTTTTATATACAGACACTATGAGTGTCTGTATATATTTTGATTGGTCTGTCGCTGTCCAACACGACTTTCATCCCATAACTGCCAAACCATATTTTTGATTTACATTAAATTTACTGAGGGGCTTTGTTTGGTAATTATTCTGTTTTTTTGCACAATTTTGTTGATGTTCGTCTAATAATTTCCCAATGGTAATTTTGTTTTACTGTAAATTTACTCAGTGGCTTTGTTTGGTGAAGTGGCAGGTTTCTTTTGAAAATCAGCATGATTGGTTTACATTTACGGTAATTATTGTTTCTTTGTGTGTGAAATTTTCATTTTTCCCACATTGGCACTTTCATTGTTTTATATATCACATGAAACTGAATCACTTGCTAGTTTTGCAATGTCCATGTTACCTGTAGTACATAATGTAAGAGGGTAAAGGTGATTATGCTATTTTAAAGCACTATATAACAGTGCATCAAAATTGTCCAAAACATTATTTTGTGCACATTTTCTGTGTAATGTTTGAACATTTGACAGCTTTGCTGCCTTGTTCTGTATGGTGTCTGTATATTTGCAAGTTTTGCTGTCCAGTTTTTAGTTGAGTTTGTTTTGCATATGTCTGTTATTCTTAGATGAAGCCAAAAGAAGGTGAACCATTGGCAGTGTCAATAACAACATCGGATGACAGACACTTGGAACAAATACTACTATTCTTAGACATAGCTGTCAGATATGAAGATCAGCATGCACTGCCTGTGACATCTGAAGAAGTTGAACAGGTGTTCTTTCAGGTTTCATGCTCTTAAGCCCCAACAGTTACTCCTTTTATAACAATATTATACTTATTTTCTTATGCTTTTTAAATGGGATATTTACCTTGTGGCAAGACCTGTCCTTTTAGCACTTAGAATGCAATTTTAATACTTATTAGACTGAGGCATACTTACACTTTTTGACAGTTTGTTTTTATTCAGAAATCTTTTATTTTGATAATGGCTGATAAATGATGTATTTGTTAGGGAGAGGATTTGGGACCTTACACACCACTAGAACTTCCAGCTGTGAATGAACTTTTTACAGCAATTGTCACACAGGTGGATGCAGTTGATAAGGTGAGAATCAATGGAAGCATTATCTGTTGAACATGTGAGTAAGAAAATTTTAATTCAGTTGTATTGAGAATAAATAGTTATGATAATGATATTTCTAGTCTAAAAATGACAGGTAAAAAGGGTTTTACTAAGGTACTTATTCTCATAATGAACAAGAAAGTTAAAGTTGAAAGTTGGCATAAATTCATCGCTTAAAGTCAATCATTTTTGGTAAGGTGAAATTAAAAAGTTCTTCTTTCATAAGGTTTTCTTCTGATGAATATTGGAATTAAATGTTTCTTTTAAGATGTACATCCAGAAGTGCCATGTGGAAGAGACAGAGGACCCCAAGGTGTACCTAGCAAACCAACAGCTGGAGGCCCTCCTCAGCATAACCATGGAGCTGAATGCTTCAGCTGAGAACTATCCTTCAGTAGAGACTATCAGTGAGGGTGAGTGAAATGTTGCAAATGTTTATTTGCCAGTTCTTCTTTTGGGAATGGAAAATGAATGTTGTGATTTTATTATTATTTTTTTTTAATTGAGTCAAATTACAATTCTAAATAAAACTGTTTTGTGTAGTGAGATTTATTTTATTGGAAGTGCTGAAGGTCTGTTTTGGCTTTTGGCAGGTATGGCTTGTGTGGCCCAGTTCACTGCTGATGGCTGCTGGTACAGGGGCTTAGTTATTAAGGTGGAGGAGATCTGTGAAGCTGCAGTGCTCTATGTGGATTATGGGAACAAAGAAATTGTACCAAAGGAAAGGTCAGACATTGCTTGTTGTGGCAATATTTTTTCTCGTTATCAATTTTCCCCCTGATAGCTGAAATAAGATAAATTTGAACGGCAATTTGATGGTTGCTCAATTTTGTAGTTTGGGCACCTAATGAAGTATACTCCAGTATCTTGTATTAAGTCGGTGGTGTCTAATTCCTTTCCAATGAACATGTGAATCCAAGGGGTTGACTAAAAGGGAGTGATATGAGAATGTTCTGGAACCCAACTTGTTTGCCAAATATTTATATATTTGTTCATCTTTGTCTAATGTTTCAGATTACGTCATATCCCAGAAGAATTTCTCAGTCTCCCTGCTCAGGCAGCCCCTGTAAAGATTGAGGGCTTGATTTCTCACTCTATACATGCTGCAACTTTAGAAGATGTACAGCTGATTTCTAATGAACTTGGGGACAGTGTCAAGGTTGCTGTTGTAAAGGTAAGTTTGAATCAGTTTGAAGATAAAATGAAATATAAACTACATTGTATTTCATATACATAAACTTGGAGTATGCTTAAAAATATGTAAAAACTTTCATGTAGATCACAACAATTTTAAGCCTGTTGTCATCAGCTTTAAAGACCAAAGGTTTAAACAGAAGGTTTAACAATGAATATTTTTGAAGAATTTTAAAACAACTTGTCATGACTTCAGGGGTGATCTTACTTATGTTTATTGAATATATAGGCCCATGGTTTCCCAGCCAGTATAGAATTATACACACACGTTCCTTGCCCTGGTCAACCTAAGCCATATGCGTACCAGTCTTTGATAGATCAAGGGATTATAGAGATACAGAGTGAGGAGAGGTAAGGACAGTTTAAAACAGGAGCCTCTATTTGTGTTCATCCAGTCGTATTTGTACATCAATGCCACAATAAATACTGAATTATGTAAAAAATGAAAGAACACTGATGCTTTTACTTTTAAGATGTAATGGTTGATTTCAGTGATTTGCTTTACTCTGGAGCTGAAGCCACATCAGTCACCTATGGTGGTTCAGAAGAAACTGTATCTTTAGCAAAGAGCACAGACCCAAGGTCTGAACTAAGTTGGTATGATCAGACTGCCAACTTTCTGACTTGTGATGGATAGCCCTGACCATGCTTTATACTCTTGCATGTAGAGTGGGATATAGAAATGAACTGCAGGAATTTCAGTGGGACATTAGTCTTATAATTTGACTGCAGTTGGATTTGACAGTGATGGTGCTGTCAGCTCACCTTTTATTTTTATGAGAAATGATTGTAGCAATTGAAAGATTATTCGTTGATGGTTTCAACTCAGAAATCATAAATTTATGTGACATCTTTAATGGATGAAACAGGTTGTTTCAAGGACATTTAGAAGGTCTTTATTTTAAAAACAGTATTTTTTGTATTTGTTTTATTTCTGCCTAATGCATCTTTCACTATTTAGTTGCAATTTGATAAAGATATCAATTAACCTAGATATTTAGAAAATTATATTTTGTTTAACTTGTTGATTCATGGTAAAATTGAATACAATATAACAATGTAGTTTTTTTAATGAAAACTTTATACTGTTAAAATGTTATTAATAAAATCTTAAACAATTTGTCTTGGAGTTATTTAACAGGCAAATGCTAAACAGCGTCCAGTTGTCCCCTTAAAATGTGCAAGAAAACAAGTTACTACATATCTTTATCTAAAGATGTGCCAAGGAGTCTCCCTAATATATTCTACCCTAGTGTTGAGCAAACAAATTTTTTTCTTTATCCTTTCAATAAGGAGTAAATGACTATATTTGAAGGTGAGCTGTCTTAAAGTAGTAAGTGCCGAGTTTGAAGCATTGCTTCTCATTTATGTCAGTAACAAGAAATGCGAACCTCATTCTGGCTACAGCTGTTGACACCAGCAGATGCATGACTGTGTTGATGGCATTGTTGCTGTACAATAAATAAAGATGAAATAAATAAGAGCCGTGATTGCGCTGTGATGACAAAATAAAAAATTAATAAAATGACAATAAGAACAAATGTTCTTTAATTTTTATTGGAAAAGAGCCAAGTTTTTACACAATATTTAACCTTGTAGTTGATCAATATCGTGTGGCTTTGATTTCTGTACAAAAGTTTTTATGTACATGAATGTAAGCAAGTGTGTTTATGTACATGTTACATTCGGTGAGTTCTCAATTTCAGTTGTTTGGCATTGTTTGACATGAATGTGTCACAAAGGGTAATAATAGTAGAATCTGTACCTTGTATCCAAATTTCTGATATCCTGTAAAAGGAAGGCATTTAAAGCCACATCCTCCACTACTTGAAAACAAACAGCCTGATAACTTGGTTGCATGCACTCATTAACAATTCTTTAATCACATCAGTGGGTCATACCATAAAAAACTGAACATCTGGGTCATATCTGTGATTCACATATTTTGTGTTTTATACCTCCTTTTGATTACTATTGATTTCTTTTTATATTAGAGGCTACTAAAACTGTGAAAATAGTGGAGCAAGTCAAAATTGTGAACATATTACACAAAATAACCGATTAGTCTCAAATGACAATTTTTCATGGAATGACTCCAGCTGCATTCCCCACCCCAAGCCCATGAAGTAAAGCACAACTGAGTGTTAACTATAAGCTTGATCATTTAACCTTGACAGCAATATGCAATACTAAGTATTTTCACATGCGTAAATATGTCATTTCATTTTACCTGTACTGCCACTACATTTGGAAGCTTAAAGTGGCAATTTTTGATTGTTGCCACCACTATGCTCAAGTTGAATGCACACACAAGATGTTTGAGATTTTGGCAGGAAACCAGCCAACACAAACAATTGGGAGTTTTTTATGAAACAAAATAGACAATCTGTGGAGCAACATCAGAACAACTTAACATTTTAAGCTTATATCAGACTCGATGTCAGTGGTGTTTCCAAGAATAGATAAATTGGAAAGTTACCTACAGCGATAAAGCAAATTTCTTCATCAGTATTAGACCTCATCAGTCTTGACTTGGCCACTGTTAACAATAAAGCGAAGCGACTTATTCAGTATAATATTTATATTACACTTCAATTTTACAGAAAGACCAACAAAATAAATATTTTTTTCTATGCTGTTTACAACTTAGATGATGGCAATATTTCAAACAATGTTTACTTAATAATCTTCAGAAGTGACACCGTTTCATATTCTCTAACCAGACAACAGCTAGCAGCATTATGCCCCATATCTCAGAGTACAAATGTGCCTTTTAAATTTGGAAAAACTTTTTAAAAGACTTAAAAGGACAGCCAGACTTGACTAGTAGCACAGCATCCTCAAATCTGAACAGGAGAAAGCATGTTAAATCCTCAAAATTCAAAGCCACCCTGGGGTGCATTTTGTCCTCCATTGAACTGAAACTGTTGAGCATTTTCATCAACTTGTGGGGCTAAAGTTTTATCTTCTTCTTCAGTGCCGAAGTATTTTTCTATTATCTCAAAAGCCTTTTGGTAAACTTCTTGATTTTCATGACTCTGGAGAAACTCGATCTTGTCTAAACCTGGAACAAAAGGCAAAAAATAGGCGTATTCTAATTAACACTGCATCGCCACATTAACCACAAATATCTTTCAGTTACAAAATATATTTCTCCTGGGTTTTGAAATCCATAATTTCCAATTCTGTACATCATGAATATGCAATTCTATAATCTCCACTTATTTTACTATGAAAACAATGTTGCATATAATGTTTTTCCATACCATAACATTCCTCAATCATCACGGCATAGGGATTAGCCCCTCCCAGCTGTTTGGCATACTGCTCTCCAAGTTTGAGGATATTTTCCAAACCATTTAGTGCTACTTGTACTATCTTCACATCCATGACTGTCAACAAATCACACAGTGGCGGAATACAACCAGACTGCACTAAGAACCTGAAGCCAAACATGGTCATTTTTATCTCAAAACAGCAATCATTGCAAGTAATATTGGGAAATAAAAAGTTATAATCAACAGACTGATACACTAAATTCAAGTTATATATAATGTGGAAAGTTAAACAGTACCCGTTATAAAGTGGAAAAAATACTTGTTATTTGATTACAATTCTTTTTAAGCATAAAAAAATCCCTGATACTGGGTTAAATCAGTGAGTATGTTTGAAAGGCATCATTTTAATGGTGATTTTCCAATAACAAAATTAAAAGCATGTGAATTATTAACTTTTGTAATTAATCAGTTTTGTAGAGACTGTTTTGTTAAACAGCCTAAAGTTTGTACTTTATTTGTTCTGGTGTTCCTCCTGATGTGGCATTCGTGATGGCCCATGCTGCTTCTTTCCTTGTCTTAAATTCAGCCTTGCCCAGTATTTCTATCAGAACTGGGAAGATATTGGCATCAATAACTGCCTGAAAACAAAAACAATAGACACGTAAATGTTTATATGCTTCTATTCCACCTTACATGAGATTTCAATGACAACTTAATCACAAATTGTTTAAATAGAAGAAAATCAAACAAGCATGTGCAGTCCATTTTTGAAGTTCTTATGTTTAACTTAGCAGAATGGGAAATTGAACTTGAAACATTTCAATCAATGCTAAACATCAACGAAACTTGCCTGTATCTGTGCTCTATTCCCAGCAGTAATGTTGGAGATTGTCCAGCATGCTTCTTTGCGAATAGATTCTTTTGAACTGCCAAGCAAATGTAATAAACAGGGCAATGCTGAACAATTTAAAATTATCTGGAATGAGAGAAACCTTGATTAAAAAAATAATTAATTACACAATCAACATTTCTACTACTACTATCACAGCACTTCACACATTATAGTTCTTTAAACTGAAAAACTTAAACGGTAACTAGCATATATTTGGACAAATATATTTAGCACAACTGAGACCTTGTCCACTCTACCTGTGTTTGCACATCATCTCCTGTTACAATATTGCCTACAGCTCTCAGTCCTGCAGAAACCACACTCTGTTGGTTATGCCTGAAATGAAGATGTCTGATTAGCTGCCTTTTTACTTGCTCAGATTTTTAAACTGACAGCAATGTTGAAATTGCTTGTCAATTTCCCACCCTATGACCAAAACACAATAAATATTAAATGGCGTTAAGTTTTATTCTATATTGAAAACTGAGTGAATTGTGCATTTATTTTTTTAATTTCATACAACAGATTAAATACCAAAACTTACATTAAAAGTTCCACCAACCGCCTGCAAACCCCAGAATCTATAACAGCTTGAATTTTCTCATTTGGCCCATCTGATAGGTAAGACAGGGCCCAACAGGCATCTGCTAACACATCAGCATCATTGTGAAACAAAAGCCTGGCTAACACTGGTAATGCAGGGGAAACCTGGGAAGAAATTGACAGGTTTGTACTGGTTCCTAATTGATGTTAAAAACATGGTAAGACAAAAGTATTATGGTCATTTAAAACAGTCAAAATGATTTAGAGTTTCAAATTGTTCCATTTATAGCCTTGAAGCCAATAGTGGATAAAATCAAAACTTGCTAGATACTTTGAACAGAAACTTCAATGTATGAAGTGGATACCCAGGTTTTCAATGACATTTACTATAATAGAACATTAAACCAGATAATATCTATAAGCACGCATACTTTTGTAAATTCAGGAGGAGGATTTTTGCCACGGCAGAGATTGGATAAGCACCATACAGCATTTCTTGTCATTGTTAGACGGGTGGATTTACTCAACAACCTGAAATACATACACCATGTAACAATTAACACTTATGAAGAAAAATGTAATCATGTCCTCAGAAAACTTTCAGTTAATAATATAAACCAACTGACTACTATAAAAGCTGGTTTCCTATCAAAGTGAAACTTTTTTAAAATCAATAATTCAATTTACCTTACTAAACAACATTTGATAAGCATTTGATCAGACTACCAGATATCCAAATTCTTAATTCAAACAACAAAATATGGATATTTACTTACTGTAAAAGAGGGACTAAAATACTTTCATTTAAAACATAGTCCCTACATTCTGGGCTGTCTCCTGCAATATTTCCTAAAGCCCATACAGCCTAAAAGATAAAGTTACACATATACTACCGATCCAATATTTATCCATCATATGGTTACCCATAACATCTATATCAGGGAATTGAACTTGAAACAATTTAATATAACTTACCACATAAAACAATGTTTGTTCCCCAGAGACAAAAAATGGAGTAAACATTTCATTGTTTAGGCAGCATAAAATCTCTCAAAACTGTATTCCCCATGTTATATACATGTACCTTAGCAAAACATAATACAAAGGCATGTTTTTTGCTTTAAGTTTCACTCTGCACAATAAACAGTACTATCGTTTTACCTGTTCTTGGACATCCTCAAACTCAGATGCAAGTAATCTGATAAAAATAGGTACTGCACCAGCTTCAATCACAACTCTCGTTTGAAATGATGTCCCTGATGCAATATTTGTCAGTGCCCAAGCTGCTTCAAACTGAATAACAAAAATATTTTGTCCATAGAACACTTTTCTATAAACTTCATCAACTGTAAAACTGCTATCATGTAAGCACACATATATTCTTCTTCCTTAATCACCAGTTAAAAAGATAAAAGTTGCATTTCACTCCGATTGTGTTGCTACAAATACACATTTGTCCACTTGAACATATGTGTATATCTTTCAAAAGCCAATGCATTTAACTAAATTTACCATCAATCAGTTTAAAATCTAACATACCTGTAGTGTAAAATTGGTATCATTTCTAAGAAATTCCACAAAACGTGGCACAATTCCTGTTTGTATTACTTCATCTATAGGTGGATTAGGCTCTAAAATATATTTTTAAAAGGCATTTCACAAGGTATGCAATTCATTCCCAATAACAATTCACAATTCTATATTACAAAACATACTACATGTAAATAGTAATACATTACAAAACATACTTCATGTAAATCAATTCAATATATAAACTGAAAAACCAACACATTAAGTAAAATTCACTACTTTCAAAGATGGATTTGGTTTGTTTTCTTTAATGATGCTAAATTTACCTCTAGACAATAGTCTTCTAAATTTCTGAGTTGCTTGCAGCTGTTGTTCTACACTTTCACTATACAAAGCCTGTACCATATCTTGTGTGATGCCACCCTACATTAGATATTTATTATGACAGCTTATCAATAATAAAACACACAAGTCATCCCCTACGGAAAGTATGCAGAAAAAAAAATTGACGATAAGGAAGAAAAAAGAGCTGAATAATAGCAATTTAAGTTTCTTCAATGTCATTCACTTTGTGATTAATTTTAACCAATATAAGGAAAGTGAAAAACAAATTATTGGATTAGTTTAAAATACACCAATACCAATTAAGTGGCCTAAACTGTTTTCAATAGTTCTTTGTAAGTCATTTAAGCATAAAACAAGCTATGCTCTTACCACAAGAGATGAGCTGACCATTGGATCTTGTATATCACCAACATCATCTTCATTGTCCTCATGAACAGACACATTACGCCTTTTGAATAACTGGAAAAAATCCACAATATATGTGACTGAAACAAATCTATCTTTATTCATTAAGTTCAACAGATGTTCAATAACCTCTTCATACAGAGGTGGGTCACTGAAGCATCAGTTATTGTCTTGGTTAACATTTTAAAAGAGGTCATTACTGATATTTCATCATGTACTTCTGGTATAACACTTAAAGTCTCAATTTGTTCACAAAGCATGCCCTCTTCCCGTTTTGGCTTTGGACCTTGATAGTCAAACCATGTCATAATCTTATTTCTTATATATAAAGAGACAGTAAAAAGGATAGAACATACCGAAGACAAGGTATAGAATACCATTCTATACCAAAAGATTCTCGAAGTTGTTTTCATACCTGTTCTTCTCTTTTTTGTTTTCTAAGTTGAACTCCTTCTTCTTCTCTTCTTCTTCGTAATTCTTGAGAATCAAGGCCTACATTTTTGTACGATTTGAGGCGACTATTAGCAGCCTTCTCTGCTTTATCAGGATCTGTACTAGCCATCTTCAAAAACAAAGAGCAGAAATGACATTTTTATTGATGGCATATCCAAAGGTTTTGTTAAATTGATTAAGTGGACAAGAAAATTTAAAAAAATTGAATAAATGAAAAAACAAACAAGCACCTTATCTAACCAACAATGTGAACTGATTCTACAGCAATATTTATACTGTGCCATAATATATATTTTTTCAATCTAACAACATCTAACACAATGATGTGCAGTATACCATGAGGTCAAGTAAAGCAAGGTAAGAAAGACAACTGCATGTTAAAAGGAAAATCCAAAAATTGGATTTGAAAAAAAGACTGCTTTTGATCTTTGAACACTTTTAAGGAGGAATTAATACTGTTAGGATACAATATCTAACACATTAAAAGGGTGCAATACATATTTTTTTCTCATTCACCAAGTTAGGCATGGTAAGGAAGACATAACTGCATGCTTATAGCATAATCCAAACATGGCATGTCAAGGGACTTGCCTGAAGAGAGATACACCTGCATTTGGTTTGCTGACGAGAACTTATAATTGGGTGTCCCTAAATTGCTGTTCGAATGAAAGACATTGCCAGTGAAGTCACAAATGACCAAACATATTCAATAAAATATCTTATATTTTCCGTCTATCATCGAAAGTCCAATGAGGTCAAGCATAAATCTGTGAGATTCTACAGCATTTACACTGTACTACTTCTACATCTAAACATGCAGACGGCAGTGTGGTGGCCGGCCATCTTGAGTTGATGATGAACACATGATGGTACTGGAAGACCACACCTATTTCCTATATCTTTAGAGATCACACGTAACTTGACACGCATATTAAAGAAAAATATAGAAACCTCCTTTACATATAACATGTTAAAATCTGAAATATGCTCCAGTAAACGAACAAACCTTTACATTCTTGACAGCGTGATTTCAATCCTCCATATTAATAAAATAGGGTTTTCACTAAACTAAAGAACATATCACGCCGCCTAACGGCAAATTATATTTTGTATGAATTAAAAGTAGTTAATAATCCCCCGTACGATTCAATAGTATAGACCATACCTGAAAGTGTTGATAAGACAAAAAATTCGGCAAATCAATATGAATTCATGTTGTGTAGACAGAGAAATCTGTGCGTTCCATGTCACGGTCCTTGTGGCCTGCTATCGGGATTTTCTCGGAATTTCCCCCTTTGTTCTTGATTTATTCATGTTTTATGATATAATTTCCTCATTTTATTACAAAAGGAAAAACGAAAAACTTTCTTTTAAATTGAACAGATCATACAAAAATGAGCCAGTGGAGTTTAATATTGACATTAACGTAACTTTACCTCCGCAGTCTGCACCAGCTCGTCTTGACTTTCACCTTCCAGGGTTCTTTACTATTTGGAAGTAGAAAAAATAATCTTTTCACTTCACACATTATTTTTGCAACATGCGTCGTGTTTTAGAGTGGATGTTCTTCACTTACTTTTTAATCAACATTCCAATCGTTATAATTATGGACTCACAGATCGTCTTTCCCAGCTGGCTTTACCCACAGTCTGTAAGTAAAGCAGATAAGCTAAACCAACAGGAGTCATAGCCCAAATAAAGTAGCCAATATTGCAACTGTTTGTTAAGTTGGCTCAACGATATTAATTACTTACGCTAGTGGGCATGATTTGGTCTTAAAGTGCAATTTAAGATCACATATAGTCTTGCATGATCTTAAACCACGAGTAAGACCATTTTTGGACTGACAGCCAATTAAGTTGTCTCCCCTTACACATTCTCCTATTGTGAGTAGAGTGGCACGAAAATCCATGCGTTAGCACTCCTATTGACGATTCCGATATGTACTGGCTGAGCTAATGCATGAAAGCAAAGGCCTCAAAAAGTTGGAAATGAAAACAGGTTGCCGAACCAGCCGCAGTGCGGCAGCTCTCAAATTTTTATTTTACATCTCATCTCCTCAACACGCACATTACTGTGAAGCCAACCAGTTTTCCCACTTTCCTTAACTTCATCTGTCTGTCTACCAGTTTGACTGTTGTAAAATCATACACCTGTTATAAACTGGCTAAAATCAGGTCAAATCTACTCGGGAGGTCTCCCCACACAAAAAAGGAAAGAAAGAAAAGAAAAATGAATAAAATTCAATTTAAAAATTAACATTTTTCACTTTCAACCATTCTTAGATTGTCAAAACATTGCCCGTGTGGCAGTATCAGCTGCGCTTAGTCCTATGTTGACAAAGATAAGTTTCCTACTCAGTGGTTTAGAAACAGCATGCAGGACACTTTTTTTGCGGTTTGAAAAAACAATTAGCACCTACTGTAAAGCTGCCTGTTGTCATTACTTTAATAAATAAATAAACAAGACATGCAGCCTATGCTTTTATCCATCACTTATTTGAAGCTTCTCTCTTAACTTTAGTCAGTACCCAAGCCTTGTAAACTCAGGGCCAGTTGCAGGTTGCATATTGCTAAATATTTAATGTCTTATAGTCACTTTTACAAGGAGTCTCTCTTTTTCATCCCAATAATCAAAGCTCTGTTGAATATGCTTTAATAAAGTGAAAGTCCTGAAGAAATCACAAAAATGTAAATTATTGTCATTCATTCTAGAATTAGATATTTTTTATTTAGACTTTTATTTTTTCATTAATACCCTGGACTTTATTTTGAGGTTGTAAATCAATGAGAGTTTTCATAGACGTGTTTGCGCTAAGGTGGAGATGTCCTTATTTTAACGTTCTAGAAATTTGCACTTTTCAGATTGAAAAAAAAATCTTTTGATGATATTTGTAGTTAAGAAGATTGCACTCATGGTATGGCAATGGCATAAAAGACAACATGTATTTGGATCCTCCACCATGGTACCAGGCAATTTTCTTCTGTGAACAGTTCCTGCATACACCATTGTCATTCGCAGCTGCCTATGCATTTTATAAAGGTGATACAAAGTAGAATTTATAAACAGTTTTATGATAATTGCTTAGAAAATAAGCTTTTGGTAAGCTCTGTTGGTAAAAATTCCATGGTGCAAGTTATGGTTGTTAGTAGGTTAAGGTTTTATTTTTGACAATTTTCTGGGGTATTGTACTTTGTTCAATATCCTTTAATGACTAGCGATAACTGCCATGTGCACTAATGCTGTATATTAAGTGATTGTTGTATATGAAATGATACAAACTTTGATCTCCACCATTATCTGACAGCTGTTTATCCACAGCAATGAGACAATTTGATAATATATCACACTTTTGTGTTTTAGTTGATGAAACTACTATTTAATTGACCAAATTTATTTCTATATTATATTTATTTTATGGAAACAAAGACTTCATTTCAAATTGCTTTATTGCAAGAATCATTTCATTGTTACAGGTAACTGTAGATGGATAAGAATGCCAGCCATCATTTATTCTGCACATACTATAACAGCAGTGATTGCCATCTTGTACCACATTGCAATGCATGATTTCAGCCAGTCAAAGTATCCAGGGCCCAGCACTATGATGGAAAGATTGACTCTGAGTTGGGCCTATCTGCCATTCTTTGTTGTACCACTCTTACTTCTAACTGTCATGGTACAGGATGAAGATTATGGATTACATGTAGAAGCTGAAGGTGCATATAAGCAATCTCCACGAAGGTCACAAAGACTGAAAAATGCATAGAGATTATTTTGCTTAAAGCAAGAAATAAAGCAAAGGCAGAATGTCCCAAATCTTTGCCACACTTGTACCTAACATTCACATTGTACCAGTAGTGTAGTGCTCAGAGTAGCTTGTCCTACAGTTTCTTGGGTACCTTGTCTATTGGTTGCTTCAAGATTGATTCCATTGGCTTGTCACCACAATATGAAGATGAAAGTTTAGGAGTTCCCTCTGAAAAATGGACCAAGTCAATGCTCTGACATCTTACTGCCATCATGAAGATATTTCCAGTAAGATTAGCAATTCTGCTGTAATCATGTATCATTATACTGACATTCAATAAGATTTACCAGTATAGTAATCAAGTTTAGAGAAGCAGTAGTATGTTTTCCATCAGAAGCAGACAATGACTTTTCTGTTAAAATTAGCAGTGACAACGAAAGTGGCTCCACAGTCTGAAACTAGAAGCACACACACCTCTACAGTTATCTCAGTTGGTGAGTTGAGGAGGAAGGGACCCTATGACATCAGTCCCTTGCAGCAGCCAAGTGCTGGGACCTCTTATCCTCAAAAGTACTTCTTGCTTGTCAGATGAGGAACTTCCAGTTTGTTCTGGCCCTGGCACAGGATTCAGGTTCACCTGGACATATGTCAGCCATTCAAGATTGTTATATGGCGTGTCTTTACATACCAACTTTAGTCATCCCTATTTGTTAATGTTATTATGACAAAACATGCTTTAGTCACTTTCTCCACACTAAGTGTGCTATACTGATGCTTTTGAGGCTGAGCCCAGAAGTGCGTATTCAGTTTGTTCATGTAACAATTAAGCTGGAAATTTGCCTCATCTCTGAAAAAAATGTCCAAAAATTCAGAAGGGTCTTTGATTCGCTGACTGTTAGTTTGCCCAAATACACGTCTCTCTGCCTTATTTGCATCGGTGTGAAGTTGTTAGTTTTGTATGTTATATGAAAACGAGGTTAATTTGCTGGGAAGATTGTCATCTAAGTTTGGCAGCAGAAAGTTCTCACACATGACTGATTCATTAAGTTTTTTAAAATGAAGGGAAATTCTGACATTGTCATTTTTCTTATTTATTAACACCATAAGGGTGAACTGATGAGTCCTTCCTGCTCTAAAATATGTAGTTTCTCTTTAACTTTTCCCATAAGCAGAAAGGGAATATGTGCTATAGACAAATAGTATGGCTGGGTATTTTCCGTCAGTGATTCGCACTGGTATACAGTCGAGGTGACCTGTTGATCCAGATACATAAGCTTTTACATTATCAACCTTTACAGTCAGTCCCATGGTGCTTGCAGTACTCCTACCAAGGATATTGTCCTTTTGACAACACACACGAATCTGTACATCTTCCCTTTTAGTTGAGTGACAGCATCAAACGTGTCCATACTATTCAATTTTCAACCTGGACTATGCAACGTGACACTGGTTTTCTGCTGTTATAAGACTTCTCACTTATCACTGTAGTGTCTGCGCAAGAGTCAATATTAAATGTGACATTTTCCCCACTGATCTCTAAATTCAGTTACCAGGCTTCTTCTGAGCCTGTGCAGACTGTTCCTGTATCAAGATATAACTGCTGAACTTCACTCAACACATGGTTTGCACAGGTTTCATATAATTTTTCCCCAGTACTTTTCAAGGACATTTCCAGTATACTGAACAAATTTTCAAAGACATTTTGATCAATATAGAATTGATGAAATAAATGTATTTCTAGGTCATATTTTGGCACCAGGATGCTTTAGTAACACACAAAAGCTAAAAGTTGCATATTTATTTCATGCTAAACTGTTTTGCCAGTGAGCAAGAAACAATTCATAGGAAGATGTCATCTATTAAATAAAAGCTGTTCTGGTAA